AGGGGGGGGGGTTTGTTGGGATGAGTGTTGTAAGTTCAGGGGATTCTTTACGTTTTGATTTGTGGTGTTGGGTTACTATTTGCTTCTTCTTTTTTTAAGGTATTGTGGTATTGAAGGTGCTTGTGGTGTAAGGTTGTTAGTGTAGTAGTGTGGAAGTTTTAGGGGTTTGAAAGGGGGCTATATAGGGATGTTGGAAGAATGGATGGTCTTTACGTTTCTGTTTTTGAATCCTTCTTTTTTTTGGAGTGGTTCTTTTGTTGTGGTGAGGTGTTGGATGGAAGTACTGGTTTGAGTATGAGGATAGTACGAGTAATGTATTCTATCTTCTTCCTGCTGTTGTTGAAAAGGATTTTTGAACTTGTCTATATAGAGATATACATCAAACTGCTCATTTGACGCCCTACGTATCCTCCTACTGTATCACCCCTTGTCTCACCTTACAAAATCAGACCTTTAGCATCTTCTTGTAATGGTGGAATTTCTTAGATGTTTGTATTGGCCTTTTTCGTGAAGCAATCTGAGACCTGGATCGAGTTTAGTCGGATGGAAATGTGCTGAATTTTCTAGCTTGTTTCACCGCCATCTCACCACCATCGAGATACCCGAGCGATATTCGAGTAGAGGCAAATGAATGATGGATCTGGAAAACATGAGTCGTTGGCGGGTTATGCGATGTATATCCACGAATGCTATTCTTTTTGCATTACAGAAGGTGTAGGAATATGACGTAGCTACAGTCACTGTAGCTTAAACTAAATCATTCATGAAAGGTGATGACATGTTTCTTTGGATCCACGCATCCCACAACCGACGATAACCTTTACGGGTTTCGTGATCCCTCCTAATTCATTTCTCCCATCTTTCACTACATGGTTATCCCAACTTCACAACTTAGATTCCTACGTCCATTCATGCACACTCCCAAAATACCATGTCACCAGCCACAAATCTTGCACTTGCACTGGTGTTGCATCCAGCCCTACGGAAGCATCCGAGAATTCCCTCCAATAACACACATCCACCTCCACACTCCTCGATGTTTGCACGTCAGCCAAGACATTCTGGACCCCCTTCCCCATCATCAGCCACGACCCTGATGCCGCTTAAGGTTCGCTTCCCTTGTCTGCTGACAGTAAACGTCCTCTGTTTCCTCCAATGGAAATAGCATGCAACAGACCCCTAATTCTATCATTGGGTCGCATGCGCTGTAAAGTCTCCGAGATGACGTCCCTAGCCACAGGGATCGGGAGGAATGAGGGGAGTGAATCCCAAGAAGGGTCCAGTATCAAAAGAGGAGATTCAAGAGGCTCGTCATTAACACTGTAAAAACAGGTTTTTATTTTCTAGATCCATACGAGTACGCCTCTTTCGTTGCACTAGTATTTGCACTAGTATTTGCACTAGTACTTGCACTAGTATCGAAATCGAAACTTCACCATCTCAATTCTAAAAATTTGCCTTCCAACTTTTCCAAGCAGCTTATAACGTCACAGTACGAGTAACAACGTCTATATCTAGCAGAGCATGCACCCTCCTTCTGCTCTTCCAAATTCATCAATTTCTACAACTCCCACAACAACAACACCATACAAACCCACAAACAAAATAGCAATCCCAATCCCAAACAACACAATCTACAACCTCCCAAGAACCCTCTCCGACTTTATCACAAACCATCCCAAACTCCCCCCCACAGAAACCCCTCAAGAACCCTTATTCCAAAACCCACTCTCCCAACAACCCACCCTCCAAACCCCCTCACCAACAACCTCAACAACCACCCTCCAATCCCCAAAACCTCCTCCCAAAATGTCTCTCCGCTCCTCTCCCCGCAACAGGGTAACCGCAACCCACACCACCAAACCCACCTTGATGACCCGTCTCCATGGCCGCAACGCAACCACACGCACCACCAAGACAACAACCACCACCCATCCTACTCACCATAATACCCATACGACTGGCCATCATACCACAGCTGGTCACCATACTGCCGTTGCTCCGAGAACTACTCGGAGATCGGGATGGGGTGGTAGACGGACGGCTCGGACGGCGCATACTGCTCAGCCGGTTGTGCATCATAAGAGGCATGCTACGCTTGGTGATAAGGTTTCTGGTGCGATGATGAAGTTGAGGGGTTCTTTGACGAGACGTCCGGGTTTGAAGGTATGACTCTTCCTCTTTCTTCCTTATCCTTTCTTTTCTTTTCTTCCAATACTAAAAGGTTAAATAGGCTGCTGGTACGAGACGTATGCATGGAACTGATGGACGGGGAAGTCGCCGAGTCTATTAGAATGTGTCGTACCTACGAGTACATTTTCATGACAGCCTCGGATTTGGAGATGAGAATTTGATGAATGGATGACTAAATGATTCGTTGGCCTTTTTTGAATTGCTTGGTTGGCTGGTGTAGGTTTACTTTTGTAATGTATTGTATGATATTACTTGTATGATGATAGATACCCGGGTGGAAATTTGGATTTGGATGGGGATTAGGTTAGCAAGCAAGCAAGCAATCGAGCAATTTTACTTTATGAATCTCTTTTTTTGCCTATTTGATTGAGTGGTTAAGTGTGTATAAGAATCTGTCTTCGACAATTACTCTCTCTACCAGAATAGAACATGCATGACTACGAATTCATTAAGATTAAAAATGATCGGGGATAAATGAGCTAATCATACCTACTCGAGTAAGAATATGGGGGATGTTTTATATAGGTACTAATTCTAGTCTTACATTCTTTAACGTATACTAGTCTAGGTTCCTAGAATATACGTCTATTGATATAAAAAAGGCTACTTAGAACTTAGATCTAGCTAGGATATTTATATACTTTACATCTATTAGAAGTAATACTTAAATATAAATCTACCTACCTCGAACTTAGAATTCCTAAATTTTTAGCCAAAGAAACCTAATTCTTATTATTACTCGTATAAGATACTTTAATACCTATGAATTTCTTCCTACCCCGCTTACTCAAGCAATAAAACTTGGTTACAACTATTATAGTAGTAAGCTACGGTACATCATCGGGTTAGTCCTATAAATTTTGATACAGCAACCCTCGTTTCTATAACATATCTTTTCACCGAATGACTCACTTGCCGGACTCGTATCAATACACCAACAGACGTACCCTTTTATCTCCATTTTGTCTTAAGGTATGGTTATATCATATCACGTCGAGTATCTTACTATAATATAACCTCAATCACCATTCCTCCCAGTCTCCTCCTCAGGCTCCTCACCTCTCCAACTTCCATCCCACAACCCCTTCCCCTAATAACAAACCAACCCAACCCCAAACCCCCCAAAAATGCCCCCCAAAATCCCCCTACTCCCCCACTCACCAACCTGGCTTACCCACTTCACCCTTCAAAAATCCCACCTCACCANCAAACCCCCCAAAAATGCCCCCCAAAATCCCCCTACTCCCCCACTCACCAACCTGGCTTACCCACTTCACCCTTCAAAAATCCCACCTCACCACCCTCCTCTCCCCCCTCCTCTCCACAGACACCTACCGCATCGAGCACGTAGGCAGCACCTGCATCCCAGACCTCCCCGCAAAACCCGTGCTGGACATCGATATCTTCGTGCCCCGGCACCTAATCGAGGCCGTGCGTGCTCGATTAGTGGAGAAAGGGGGATATATGGATTTAGGCGAACTAGGGATTCAGGGACGGTGGGTGATGAGACAGCCGGGGTATGGCGCGGAGGATGTGGCTGGGGTGGTGGATGAGGATGAGGATGTTAGTGATGGGAAAAGGGAGGGAGAGGAGAAAGGGAAGGCGGGGATGAGGATTAATACGTATGTAGTTGAGGAGGGGTGTGTGGCGGGGAGAAACCATGAGGATGTTAAGAGGGTGTTGCTCCAATACCCGGATTTGAGGAAGGAGTATGGGGATGTGAAGAGGGCGGTTGTGGAGAGGACGGTGGATATGGATGAGTATGTTAGGGGGAAGAATGAGGTTGTCCTAAGGATTTTGGAGAGGGCCGGGTGGAGTGAGGGGGAGTTGGAGGGAGTGAGGAGGGCGAATGAGTAGGTGGTTGGTTAGCTAGATGTTGGATGGGTGGTTGCGAGTAGCTAGATGTTGGATGGGGGGTTGGGAAGTGGAGATGGTGGGTTTGGTTTATTGGTAAATGACTAAACTGCTACTTATACACTACCTTCCTACTTTACTAGGTAGTAAAGCTCCTAGCAAAAGTAATGCTTGCTCTATAAGTAGGTTGTGACCAAGTTTTAACGAGCGGGACAGGAAGAAAATTATAGGTATCTAAAGGTATTTATACTGTCATGATCATAAAACTTGGGTTGCTTTAGCTGAAAATTTAAGGATTCCAAGTCCGAGGTACTATAGGTATATTTGTAGTTGAGTGCTACTTCTACAAAAACAAATGGTCAACCTAGCCAAAACACCCCGAGAGTGCACATTTTCCCCTCTCCAAAAGTGTGAGCTAAAAAGTCAAAATCATTCTTCATCCTTGATTGACTCCGTCTCCTCCAAAGCTCTCAATACCTCCTCAATCTCTTTCGGATCGCTGATCCCCCAAACACCTCCACCTTTCACAACGTCTCTCCCACGCATACCAACCTCTTTCCCAACCAGATTTCTCCCAACCTTGCCAGGTCCAATACCAATCCAACGCCGAACTTGCTGTTCCTGGTCAAGATATTTAATCGAATCCCACCAGCGAACCGTTTCCACGCATTGCCGAGCCCAAAGATCCTTCAATTCTTCCTGACTTTCAAAAGGCCGAGCACTCACATTACTGATACATTGAAGTTTTCCAGGAAACGAAACGATGTCTTCGTTTTCCCTTCCTGGAACCCTACTCTTTCCATCCAACATCTTCCTCATGGCCTTCGCAGCAGGTCTCATCAACGGACTATGAAAAGGAGAATCACTCTTCAGCCTAACAGCCCTCGGATCATGACCCCCAAACTGTCTAACATGCGTCAAAAGAGTCCTAATCCTCTCAATATTCCCACTCAGCACAATCTGATTCTTACTATTGATATTCGCAATAAGAACCTGTTGTATAGGAGGCACATCCTGCGCACTCTCCGATTTCGACCCCGCGCTATGGAAGCCGAGAAATTCATGGATCGACTCAATTAATGGAACCAAGTGATCCGGTTCGGTGACCAAAGCCACCATCCCATATTCCCCTCCGTGTTCCACACTGGCCCTTCTCGAGCAATCTGCCATGGCCTCCGCCCTCTTCCGCACAAGATAAAGACTATCTTGGAAAGAGACGAATCCCCCCGCAACCAAGGCCGCAAATTCGCCCAGCGAGTGACCTAGTGTGACATCTACTTTTTCTGCAGAGTTGAAACCGAAGTCGCGCTCCAGGATTCGGAGGATCAGGAGGGAGCAAGCCATGATTGCGGGTTGCGAGTTCTCGGTGGCGGTGAGTGTACTGTTAGGTCCCTCTTCGATGACTTTCGAGAGTTTGTAGCCTAGCAGATGGTCTATCTCTTCCACTGCCGGTTTTGCAGTTGCAGGAAAGGCTTCGAGCCATAGTGTGAGCATTCCGACTCTCTGAACTCCTTGTCCTATTTTCCGTTTCATTAGTTCAAGCACTTATTGAATCCAATTTACATAGACAAAGATAAGCATACCAGGGAAGAAGATAGCCGTCCTCGGTCTCCTAGCTTTCGTCGAAGTATTTCGTACCCGTGGTAAGCTCCCAAAGGATTGGAATCGTGGTGAGAAATTCAAAGTGGTTCTGTGAAACATAACTCCGGTGAGGGCTTTCCCGGAAACGTGGAGGCTACATTGCTTTGGCAGGCCAGTGGCAAGACCCTTCATTGCGGAAAGCTACATATGGCGTGGAATGGTAGGTTTGCAGAATCCGAAAACTATGCAAGGTGTTGTCGTTGAATTGAGAAGTCTGGGGAAGAGGGAGTTGACTTGTACTTGAACAATGGAAGCTGATTGATGCATGGGAGGAGAGTGTAACCGTGGATTCCCCGATCCTCGGCGATCGTATGATCGACCCCACCACAGCTTCCAAGCTTCCTTTCGTCCACATTACTTGGAGGTACCCCGTACATTGTCGAGTATTGTGGAATAATTTGCGGAATTTTATGGAATTTTATGGAAAAAACAATGAACAATGTTTTTCTAGAATCTATAGGTGCTTTTGAGAAATCGAATTTCCATTATATCTACCACTTCCTGTTCCTCGACGCTTAATACACCATCAATCGTTGAACAAGGAGGTGGGGTATTGTTACACCATGGCTAAGCGGGACAAGTGCCGAGAAAGCATTCATGTCATACTTCATCGTTGAATTTTCATTCCTCGTTCTTAACTTGTATCAAAACCACCTCCAAGCTTTTCTTTTTTCCACAGCCCCAAGATTCCGGTCGATTCCCGCACTCTTCCTAACTCCCAACAATCACCCCTCCATTCGGATGTAAACTCTGTCCACTCATAAACCCACTATCCGCACTAGCCAAAAACACAAAGCAAGTAGCAACCTCACTAGGTTGTCCCGGTCTACCCATTGGACTAGTAAATTCCTTTTGCGCCTTTTCGTTCATAGTAGCCGGAATCAAAGGGGTCCAGATTGGGCCTGGACAGACGGCGTTTACTCTAATCCCCTTTTCGATTTGTTGGTTGGAAAGGGCGCGGGTGAAGGCTACGATTGCACCTTTGGTGGATGTGTAATCTAGGAGATCTGGTCGGCCGATGTAGTGGTTGACAGAGGCACATGTTATGATTGATGAGCCCGGTGCGAGATAAGGAATGGTGTATTTGGAAAGATAGAAGAAAGGGTGGATGTTGGTATTAAATGTGTTGACCCATTGATCTCTGGGTAGGTAATTGGTTAGTACATGAATGACATGCCTGGAATCCAAAGAAGAAGATACTTACTCGCTCAATTCCGAAATATCCTCCTTCATCATCTGATACCCATGGTTCAAGATCAAAACATCAATCTTCCCCATAACCTCCTTCGCTTTCTCAACAACTCTCTTACATTCCTTACTACTTCTCAAATCCGCCTGGATCAACTCGATCTTCCCTCCTTTCTCTTCCACCAAACTCTTCGTCTTTTGTGCATCTTTCTCTTCCTCTTCCAGATAGACAATCGTGGAATGCGCTCCTTCCATGGCGTAGAGGATCGCAATGGCTCTTCCGATGCCACTATCTCCGCCGGTAATCAACGCTTTCTTTCCCTTGAGTTTGCCGGCTGCGAGGTAGGGCTGGTAACCTCCATCTCCGGTGGGCAATTGATCATTTACAGGATCGGGTCCTTTCATTTCATGTTGTTTTCCTGGCGCAGATTGATGTGCGACGGGAACCTCGTGGCCTGGTAGGGTATTTGTCAATTAGATGTTTTTTTATTAGGAAAGATACTGTATGAGAAGTGCTCTTACCTTTTTCAAATTGAGAAGACATGGTGATTAGCTGTCGTGGGTTTTCGATTAAAAGATATGATCCGAAATACTTCACAGTACTTTTGAAGTAATTCAGAAGCAAGACCACAATTCAAAAATCAGTTGGCAATAAATATCTAGGACTTCAAAATCAACGACGTAAGGACAAAAACACTCAGCTCAGGGACGGACATTTGCTCCCCAGCCCTCAGACAAAGGCAGCTAATTGGCTGATGGGAGGTGGAGTGGGGGGTGTTTTTCTTGTAAATAAAGATGATGTATTGCATAGACGTCACTCTGCTGGAGTAGTGGCCTGCAGCTGTACCTTGACTTGAGTACATGCACTTGCATATGGTGGCACGGATAAAAAGTATTCATATTCGTGAGACGGATAGTTATCTGCGAATTTTAATCACGGTGAAGAATATTTTATGTTATTGTTTTGTGCAAGTCGTCTCGTTTTCCACTTGTGGACTTTGTGAGGGTCGTACAAATAAATTTTTGACAGAGAGGGGTTGGACTTCTCTCCTAGACTTAGATGCACAAGAGACGAGATTGTACCGCTCGCTACTCCCTCTGACCTCGTGTCATCTCTTGCACTCATAATTCTTGCCTGTGTACAGTTTGAGAGTTGAGCTGCCCAGTTAGATGATTTGTCACCTGTCAACTCTGGAGGTCGCTACTTTCCCAGCTGGCATCTTTTCTCCCGAGTCGACCCCGCGCTACAATGACCAAGACTAGGATCCACGGCTAGAAGAAAGGAACGAGTTTGACCTTGTCCAGAGAACAAACATATATATATATATATAACATGGTGTATGATCTTTGACTTTCGAAACGGAGTCGGGGAAAGGCATGTGGACTAGGAAAATGGAAATCGTTAAGCACACTTAGGATACTAACTCCCTTTCTCCCTAGGTACGAGCGTTGGAGATACGAAGTCTCAATATATAGGTACTGTGCCTTGCTTTTAGCTGGATGTTGTTAAGCAGCTGGGATATAATGCACTTTTCTAACACATGGTTATTTTTGTTGATTTATTTATTGATTTCTTGTGAGGGTTTGAGGAATGGAACCAACGGGTTGAAAGCCAGTGGCATTCAAGCTCTCCTGTGGTGCTTATACATAGATGTAAGATCCTAGTCTGTTCTGCATAAGTGATTGAAGGTCTCCAACAATGTTTGTTCATCGATAACTCCTGGGCAATTTTAACATGTTAAAATGCAAGTCACACAATTGGATAAAAATGCTTTGTATTGGAAGTAACAGATCAAACATCTGTCTCCCAGTATTCTAGCAACCCAAGACCGCCAGCAAGCGGCACCAGATGGTTAAGAATAATTTGTGTAGAGGGTAAAGATGCTGGAACTAATTATGTAAGAAAAATAAGAATATCATCGCGCCCAATATTTTTTTGCAGGGAATCCACCCATGAAAGTAACGCCTGTCATCACAAGCCTTCCTTGAACGCCCAATGTACAAACCAGAATATTACACACCTGTGAACGCCGTTGGTTATTGATATTTGTGTGGTCGCTCACATCATGTGGGTAAAAAGATGTGCTTGTGTAATGATACCTCCCCATGCCAACCTTCCCCCGTGGTATATGATGATGATAATGATGTAAAAGAAAGGCAGCCCCTGCATAATAGATAATTCCCCAATTTGGCTGCATGGTCATGTTCCCAAAGAAAGACACCTCATCGTATGAAGATGATTGTCGTCCGAAATGATTTCGATGACACACTCGCCCACAAGAAGAGACGTTCCCTGTCCCAAGTCCGTGACCATTATCGTTAAGTTGTCGCAGCAGAAGGAGTCTCCTCTTCAGGATACTCTTGCACAATGTAGTTGTCTCGGTGGTCACCAAACATTCCCTCGCCTGGACCGTTGAGAATTACCTCTTCCGGAATATCAGTCTCCCATGGCTTTCTTCGGCGAGGCAACGAGGACTTGCTAGCGAGATGAGGTGCGGGAACGCAGGGGATGTCTCGAATTCCTGGAATAGGAGTACCGGAAGAGATGAGCTCCACAATCTCGGCGAAAGTGGGTGGGTAAGGTGCAGACTGCTCTAGGGCGGGTGGAAGCTCGACTGGGTGTGTTGAGTGGGAAGTCGTGGTTTCTTCAGTCTGAGGCGTCTCGGGCGAATTGACTGCGTGAGTTGAAGATGAGGAAGTATCATTTTGAGAGGCCGAAGCCGAGGAGTTTCTTGCTGGAATACTCATGTTGGAGGTGGAAAGTGAAGTTGGTAATGATGCTTGAGAGAACCGTTCAGGGTATTTGTTGGTTAAGTATGTTTTGTAGGAATCGAAGTCAATAGTAGTCTTCTCCTTCCGGGCTAAGTAGAAACACTGCGCTCGAATTGTGAGGTCTTGTACTTGAGAGGGAGCAGGATTTGGTCCGAGGATTGCAGTGAGACCGCCCTGTGTGGAAGGTTTAGTAGGTGTTGGAGAAGAGGAGAGAGGAGATGGATGATTCACGGAAGGAGAAGGTGGAAGATATAGAGAACGCTCGGATGAAGTTGAAAGTGAAAGTGAGGAAGAGAACTACTCTACTAACAGATTCACTCCTACTCTCTTAAGCTACCGAGGCTGACTTCGAATCAAGTCAACTTACCTGGAATTGCTTGTCATTCTCCCAATCGTAGCTGTCAAGTTTTTGGAAGATATCACTATCTCCAGCTGCCTCTGAAGATCCTGACATGGTGTTTTGCTTTCGGTATTGCGTATGTAGTTGAAACTTGAGTGGGTGCAGTGCTGCAATATATTGGACCGTAACGTTGACCTCACAGCCTCGGGTGAGGGGTTTTGTAAGGCTGAGGACGCCGGGGGATCAAGTCCAAGTCACGTGAATATCTAGCGCCAAGACCATTACATCCGATTAGCGGTGAGGCCCACTTGTGCTTAGGCGAGGCAACAAAGCACCAGCCTTTTTCTTCTCGCCATCACACAAACCTGGACCCCAAGCTCAGCCCTCATCTACAAACACCACCTCTCTTCCTCTCCTCCTTCCCTTCTTTGGCGCAACCTTTACCTTGAGCTTGATCGTGTTCGCCACATAATTGTGCGCGTGCATACTACAATTACTACCCTTCTGACCCCTCTCCCCTTAAGCACATCTTCGAGCTTGCTGTGAGCTCATCGCAGTCCCCGCGCGGCGACACCATGTCCGAATTCTTAGGGTGAGATCAATCGCCTGGACCCGATTTACATTGGCCGGGTGCTAACATGCAGCGATTGAAGAGCGAGGATATCACTGGTATCCAGGAGCGACATTAGGTAAGAGACACCTAGTCTCATCGCAATCTTCTCCGCGCTGACAGACTCACGCAGATATGTCGGCACGCTCCACGAGATCAACTCAGAGGCCTCGACGGTCGCACTAGAAAACGTATCCTCCTTTGGCACAGAAGGGCGTAAACAGAACCCAGATGAGGAAATCCCACCGTCCGATAGCGTATACGAATACATTGTCTTTCGTGGTAGCGATGTGAAGGATTTGCGAATCGAGGAAAAGCCAGCCGACCCAGAGACCAAACGTCCCCAAGTCCCCAACGACCCTGCTATCCTTGGTGTAAGTCATCCTATTTCACATATTATTCGATTACCTTTTTCGATGTTATCCTGCTTTATGTGATGAAAAATTCCGGATGTTAACTCATATTGTCTCCGAGAGCGCAAAATCGTGTGGAGATTTCCGTTGCCTTCCTTCTGATTCCAAAGCTATAAATATATTATCGTTTTTAAGACGTTTGCTTGTCGTCTTTTGCTGATTATCATGCTTAGGGAACTCGACCAGCGCCTCAAGGTCAAGCTACTCAAGGTCCTCCAAGACAGGCTCCAAATCCTCAACAAGCTTCCTCTCCCCCATCCTTTCCCCAACAGGGTCCACCACCTGGTGTTCCTCCATTCGCTCAACATCACCAATTCCCTCCTCCATTCTATCCTCCCCCACCAGCTGGATGGGGTCGCGCTGGTCCTGGCCCTGGGCCAGCTGGCTATCCCGGAATGCCTCCATTTGGCGGTGCACCCCCAGGATGGTATCCGCCTCCAGGCCAAGGATTTCAACCTCCAAACTTCTCCCCATATGGCTATCCTCCTGGTCCTCCAGGCCAGTTTCCTCCAGGCCAGCAGCAAGGTCAGCCACCTAAGCCAGCTCCGATTGGCCCTGGCGCAAACAAGCAAGCAGCACCAGGCCCAGCTGCTCAGCCAAATGATCAACAAGGAGAACCAAAGAGCTTGGCTAAGCCGACGGAAATGGCTGCCGCCGCCGTTCAGAAGGTTGCATCACCACCAGCTGCCTCTAAAGATTCTTCCCCTCCCACGAAGGCTACTGAAGCAAAGCCACCTACTTCACAAAACAACGCGTCAGCGGGTCCAGCTAAGCCAACGCCAAGTGGTCCTAAAAACAACAATCGCATTCAGCCAGCGCTCCCATTGCAAAGCCCAGCGGCTATCAAAACCCCATTGACCAATGTCGCTAATGCTAACGCTACTTCTGAGTCCGCTTTGAAAGATGCAACTGCTGCTGCGACCGCTGCCGTCGCGGCTGCGATGGCTAAACTTCCACCTACTGGTGGCCAGGCAAATGGAAACAACATGGACAGTTTGACCAAGAAGGTCAATGAAATGAGAGTCAACGAGCCAACTCGTGCGCCTCGTCAGCCAACTGGTGCGGGCGGGTTTAACACCGGAAGAGCACCACGTGGGGGACGAGGCGGTGCGAGAGGTGGTGCTGCTCCAAAAGTAGAGGTTCCAACTACTGATTTCGACTTTGAGGAGTCTAACGCCAAGTTTAATAAGCAAGACTTGGTGAAAGAGGCCATCGCTGGATCGCCATTAGGAGAGCATGTTCCAGAGGCTGCACCCGAACCAGAAGTTCCTGCTGGCGGATATAACAAGTCGACTTCGTTCTTCGATAATATCTCATCAGAGAGCAAGGATCGAGCTGATGCAGGAAATTCAAGACCAGGTGGACGAGAGTGGCGTGGCGAAGAACAAAAGAAGAACTTGGAGACTTTTGGCCAAGGAAGCGTCGACAATGCCCACGGATATCGTGGTGGGTACCGTGGACGAGGACGTGGACGAGGTCGCGGCCGCGGTTATGGAGGCAGAGGATATCGTGGAGGACGAGGTGACGCACAAACTATTGTGCAATAATTGAAATACTGGACTCCCAAAACGCCTAATGACGAAATCGAAATTTCTTTTGCGTTGTATCAAAAGTTACTAGCGACGGATTCTCTATTTCGGAGATGGATGATTCAATATCTTCTTTTCTACCAGGCTTTGGGTATCACACAACGCTGCCATGAGTAATATCTCGGGAGTTTTTCAGTGTGCTTGTGTTTATTATTTTCCTTCTCTTTCTTTTTCCTTTTGAACTGTACCATCAGGGACAAATCACGGACTCTATTGCACGATGGACTCCGGGTATTACGAAAACTACCAAATATTTGCAACGATCTTGGCTGGATGGCGCTTACGAATAAAGCGAAGGTCTGATCTTGAATCAATGACAGGGAATGGGATGTATGATCGGGCCATTACGAGCTCTTTTTCATTTGATGGTATTTTACTTCTTCGCGCGCCTGGTTTGGAGGTCCAAGATCTTCATTTGATTCCTGGATGGATCGAATGTGATGGCAATCATCATTGAAATGGTGGAGTTAAATGATTTCATCTCGAAACGGAGTACGGTGTGGTCCACGGAATGGGTTGCCTATTTGCTTATCATGCAAATTCGGCAAATACTGTTTCTATCACGAGGTAAAATGAGTGTATACCAATGCTGAGATGTGGTGGGGGGATAATCATATTTGGGTTTGAGGGCCTAATGTGGGGTCTGCACGACTAGTTACGTATTTTGTGCAATGCACTCCATGAAAAATAAAAAAACTTCAGACCACACTGTACCATCTTGTTCATTTTTTGATGGATATTATATTTCCTATTTGACTCAAATTATTATATTTCCTATTTGATTCAAATGATTTGCCCCCGTGGTATTCCAACAATTATGCCATTTCCTGATCGTTTCTGCTAGTCCACCCAGCTCAAGTTAACTGGTCAATGTCAACCTTCTCAACCTCCACATACTCGCTCTTCTTTCGAGTACTATTGCAGCAAATCAAGACCCCAGCATCGTCAGAGCACTCTCCATGTGTGTTGTCTCTATCAGATGTTTTCTTCCAGGCCGCACATACGATCCCGTTATTTGATACAGACGTAAGTTTCTCAACGATGGTAATAGTCCTCGTCATCGCATTCCAGTCATCATGATGCACAACCCTCTCATATCTCCCTTCAAACTCTCTCCTGGTAATTTCCGAATGCATGTAATGCTGTGTGCCAATTCGTTGGTCCAGATAGTTAATAGATTGTCGAAGACTGCTGCAAGGCAGCGGGTTCTCTCTTTTCTTGTGGCACAGGGCGTTGTGTAGGGCGATGATTGCGATGATTGAGAGGATTACTAGGATGCTGACTCATAACAATGTGGAGATGAACCAGAAGATTGTAGAGAGGGTGTGGAGGATACTGGGTTTTGGTGTGGTGGTGACGGTTAGAGGGGTCTTGTCGATGAGTTTGTGGAGTGTTTGGGGGAGGGTGGTGTTGGTGAGGGTTTGGCAGTATGTGAGGAGACCGGGTGTTTCTTTTGTGAGGTCAAGATGGAGACCTGGTGTTAGTCTTTTGAGGCCTAATTTGAAAATTGGGTTTGGGTAAGGCATGGTGGGCGGTTGTTGTGTGTTTGTGATTTTTTAAAGTGTGTATTTGTTGTTTTGGGGGGTTTGTAAAGATATTGGGACGGGAAAATGTGGAGGTTTTTATAGAAAGAGATGGATGGTTGGTTTATTATGATGGAAATATACTTGAGCTAATGGCCTTGGTATTACGCTGGACTAAGCGATTTTCTTGGGTTAGGGAGGGGGAAAACGGAAAACTGCCGGGTTGACTAGTAGTTAGATTCTTATGTCATAGAAGAGTACCAAAAGCCGCCTTGAGGAAAGCACAATTCTAGATCTGAATAAGTCCGTATTGCTGCCTGCTCTACCGATGGTGGCACAGCAACCACATTGTCAAAGTATGATCTGACATTGAGACTAAGACTAGTGTCTTTTTCTTTGGTCAGTTAAATTGTCTCACCAAAAGAGGAATATGATGTGCAATACTGTTGATCTCGCTTATTCTATATCGCGTTTAGGGTCCGGATGGTTCTAATTATTCGAACATTTATGTAACTAATATTCTGAATGCTACCTCTCCCGAGTTCCTAAGAAAATTGACTGAAGTCTACTGAAGAATTGCAGTAATAAAAATTATCATTATTACTAGCTCTTGACTACCTTGCGCACACTAAATGTAATTTAGTTCCTAGGAAAAAACAGCGACGAATTTCAGAATACTAGTACAAGACTAAGGAACTCAAGGAAAATGACTAGCTCCGGGTTCAGAGTCTACTCACGCAGCCATAATCAAATCAATATTCCCGATAACATCTATCCACCTCACGACCGCTCTTATCATCACAAACACATTCCTCCTCCTTAGCTGTCTGTATCAAACATTTCGCCACCCGAGCTGCCTTCCCCTCCCTGTCCACACTATCAATACTGTCCCCAGCCTCCAAGACCTCCAATCTCTCAATGATAGTAATGGTTCGCAGTCCTGTCCTCAAATCATCATGGTGCTTTACGCATTCGTACCGCTCATAAAACTCTTTGTACTCTGTCCCTCGCTGTTCCATAATTGCCCATAATAGATTTTTGATGGAACATTTCAGACTAGGACATGGAACTGGAGACTCGGTGTTTCCTGAATGACGAAATTGTGAATCCTTCCAGCTTAAAACTAGACAAAGGGATACTAGAGTAATGGTGAAAGCGAGGCCTATGATTGTGAATGGCAATAAAATCATTAAGATGAAATTGGAGTCTTCACAAGACAGCAATCCTGTCGATGTTGTGTCTTGTATCACGACTGCCATCTTCGGGGAGTTGGAGTTGTTTATAGGTGTAGCAGAGAGGTTTGGAAAGGTTTCTGGGTCGTGATGTTTTGTGGATGAACGCTTTTGGGTGGAAAAACTGCATTAAACAATTTGAAGGTGGTTGAAATAAAGTATCTGATAGGAACGCGATTTATACTTATATATATCTTGTGCTTGAAAAACAAGAATGCACCCGAGAGCCTCAAAGCCCGCGGTCAGAGCTGTCTTGGACAGCATTAACCGCGATATCCACAATCCATTCCTTACATCCATAAAGTGCTAAAAGCACTCTGTCTCGCCATCGGAATTTGTGGCTTGTAGCACCGTGGCTCGGGCATGGATCAGGTACCCCTTGATCCAAACCACGCTTATCTTGGAATCTGCGCCTAACCATTTTAGAGCTCTTCAAGAACCAAAAGATTTATAGTTCGAGCCGTTGGCGCTAAAGTGGACCCGAAACTGCCTGTCTATTTACTAAGTCGAAAACTTTTGCTGGGACTACACTGGCGCCTGAAAGTAGCCTCTGTTCTACTGTTATTTGGGGTAATCTACGTGAGTACTTTCAAGTTTAAGACGATTGAAAATGTTAGCTCGGGCACTAAAGAGAAGTGATTCAAGTTATTCTCCGGGGTAGCGCACAAGTGAATTATTATAATTCTTCAAGTTGCTTAACATTGGTGGTGACTTTAGAGAGATAAATGTGATTATTAATCGACGTATCTAATTAATATTGATTCTGCCACGCTCGAAATATAAAGCCCTAATCTAATTCCGGCAGCGTTCTGGTACCATCATCTCACTCAAATCTATTGCATCATTTATCTTCCAAATTTCTGCTTTCTGAATGAACGGATATGTCATTACACAGTCATTCCAAACTGTGTAGAAACTAGTATACTCTAGCCAACAACTAAAGGTAGAGAACTTCTGTCTCAGCCAAACAATTCAAAACGTGGGTTCATGGGGGTTAATTGGTAGGGCAATGCTAAAAGTTTTCTCTACTGGCTTTACAAGCTGGGAAATATATAAGAATGCCCCTCCATTTCAATTCTCGTCTTCTTGCACATAAACCACCCTTCTTTCCAACCCAAAATACCACTGCCCACCCATCGCTCAAGGTCAAGCCTTTGACGCTTCAAACCGCACCATACAAGGAGCATCAATTTACCCGGGCAAATTCCCTCTGCGGACTGCAAAAATGGACGTTATCTTCCAAAGGGTTTTTTCCAAAAGACGGTCCATGATTTCTCAACAAGGCGCACAACACGCAATCTGTTCTGATCTTCTCGATGTTCTCAACAACAACCAAGAAAAACCTCAACCTCAACCACAACGAGGATCCGCCCTGCGAACTACGGAGTTGATGATTCTCCTCCTCGCTTTCGCCTTCCTCACATTTGCGCCTGTCATTTGTAACTTCTTCGCGAACTACATGTATCAACGCACGGCACGAAAACGTGAATCAGCTGCCCAGGTCAAGAAAATGGGAGAGGAAATCGAGGCCCTCAAGACGGAAATCAACGCAGCTTGGGCTGCCCTCGAGGAAAACAGGGCAGAACTTAGGGCAATCAAGACTCGAGGAGAAGAGGACAGGATCGATTGTACGGAGTATGAGATTTTGCATTGAGCTTAAGTTGGGACTGGTCAAAAATCGGGGGTGCGCTAGGAGGGGGGACCCACGCCAATTGAACTCGCTTAGTATTCGGTGCTGCGGTTTTTTCTCATAACATCATTTTCATTGTACGGCACATCATTTTTTTTTTTTTAAACAGAGCTAATCTCAATGTGATTATGAATTAATTTCTACTATATAATGCTTCGAAAGTGACCAAAGATGGTAAAAGAGGCGACTTAACATCCTCAGATGCTCACTATAGTCACCCGACAATTACCCGACAACCTCACAGCGATGCGCCCGACAGTTATATAATAACAAATACCGCATCTCCTCTCAGCAAATCAGTCGAAATGGATACAGTGTGCCTGCCACTGGGTCAAATGGCCTAGTTGGGCAGATGAAGCTGCCACTGATTTGCGAGATAAACCAACTTCCTGAACTCAAAGAGACGTAGGGATGCAGAGTTAGTCCGAGTTAAGCTTGTTTTTTGCCAATTTTTGTTTTATATTGTACATACTTTCTTAATTTTTTTTTATCGTTCACTAGTTGGCCTCGGAGTATATATAAATTAAAATTTTTTATAAGTGAAATATGTAAGTCCTTATAGTGAAAGTTATAATTAACCAGTCAGATAATTATTTTTTTTTGTTCAGGAACTTTGGCCAACCACTAAAGTGGTTGGCCTGAGAATCTAAAACTAAAAAAATAATTCGATAAAATATTAATTCTCTGATTGGTGGAAAACAAATCTCACTATAACAAAAACATATTTCACTATAAAGATTTAATTCTTATATACTCCGAGGCCAACTAGTAGGTGTGGGTAGTAAGATTAGATGTCTGGAATTGAATCTGGCACCCTGAAAGGAAAGGGAGCAAGGGTAGTGAATAGGAAAGTGGTTGGTGGCTGGGATAGTGACTCGGTCCAATTAGCCAGGAATATCAAATAATCTGTTGGGCACTTGATACTTCGCCCTAACAAAACCGTGACCATATCGGCACATCTAGCTTTGCAACTAAGCGAGAACCCCCCTGTACAGTAATGGCATTTCATGTTTGGTAGTCCAAAAACCGTAAGAACTTGGGACTGCTTATAGCATGTTGTACCCCCCTACACCATTCTACAAATCTTCACTTTCTCTCAATTTTCAACCCACACTCTGACGGTTCAATAAGAATCTCAAACAAGGCACAAGCTATTCTTAGAACCTCGCCTCAATGGACGCGAGCGAGGAATGGTCTACCTTCACCAACTCCGAGTTCTCGCACATCGACTCTCCCTTCGACTCTCCTTACAATAGCCCAATGACCCTTTCGTGACGAATTTACTCCGCGATATGTTTACGCGCCTGGGATTTCCTGATTGGAAATGCCCCACGAAATGGCTTGATAGGAAAACTATTTCTCTCATGGCTTCTTCAGACGAGATGAACATACCTTCTTCATGGCGCCTTCCTTCGTCAACGCGCTCAAGTCAAGGAATTGCTCAATGACGTCGAAAGATACTTTGTAAGCGCTCCAATTAACAACTCTACCCCCCTAAGCGACACATAAGCGTATTAATTTAACGGAATAGGTTCCTCTTATGTTTCAAGTTAGTTAGTAGTTGTCTCGCTTCCCAAATGTTTCGGGGGGCTTTCCCATCCAAAGACTATTAACAATCAAGGAGATCGAAATTGAAGTCCATAAAACAGGCAAGTCGATTTTTCTAGGTCTTCTGAATGAATAAGATTTTACAACTATATGGAAAACTGTGGCTAGAATTCTTCCAAGCGGTTAAGTCTCGTCGTTCAGCGATGTCAAAAGAATGTTCTTTCTAGATACAATACAGGTGACAATGAATCGTCTCTCCTCGTCATTTACGATGATCCATGCTCAAATGTTTCCCTTTACATGAAACAGAGATTTCTTGAAAGTACTCGTGTATAATTCTCTAGAAATGACACTTTCAGTTCTTTACCGAAACATCTCCCTCATCTACTATATTCAGGCGGCGATTCATCCTCGTCGATACCCGGCAAAAAAGATATTGCTCTCAGCCCCTGCAAACTTACATCACCATCCGCATTCCTTCTTCTTGCTCTCTGATAACGCATCTCCCTTATCACCTGCTCAGTCTTGTCCCCTGCAGTGTATCTGGCAAGTACATGTTCCCTCTCCGTCCTGATCAGCGCCCTTGGTTTGCCCTGTCTGATCGCTATCGCTTCCTCTCCTAATTGAAGCATGCTCAACACAAGCGGTGATGCCTGATAACGAGTGGGGTTATTGCGAGCGTTCTCTGAAGGACCCTGGTGAGGCCCTCCTCGCCGTTCTCGTTCCAGATCATAAGCATCTAAAGCTTGCTGTCCGGCATAAGCAGGATTCTTGAGTAAATCCTCTACAATCGTGATTGTTCTCCTCTGCGTCGTGAAATCGTCCTCATACTTCATATCAACATATCTATTCTCTTTCTGACGAATCGCAGCTCGGGGCTCGTTGAGTAACTGAAGGTACATGTGGTGCAACCGCCGATGAACTGAGTAGGAAGGTGTGTAATGAAGTTCCATTACTGCTCTTTTGTAGCCGTTCGTGTCTCCTTGCGGTGCGGGCGGTATGGCTGGTCTTACTTCGTGACTTGGTTCTTCATGAGGCACTAAGTCTTCTGAGATGCTGTATCTGGAGGGTATTGTTGGTTCTTTGCACCTCAATAAACAGAGGCCGCAAAGAAGAAAGACGGACCCAGAGAACAATATTATGAAGATAATCATTATTTTCTTATACATGTCTGCGTTCTGTACTGTGGCGGCACTGATACTGCACACTGTAGTCTGACTTGTATTGAACATGACGCTGTAGTTCTGAGTATTCAGCGAAACACATGTCTCGTTAAGGAGAGGAGGGATTGGTAGTCTTGGTGTACCTCCCATTTTCACTGTTGCTGATCCGTGCCGCAGAGTTCTTTCCCAACTTTTTGCAGAAGGTCACAAAATATCTTTGAACAGGCGGTCGAAGCATTTAAGTGTACAATACCCATGTCACAAGATGTCTAGAACATATACTGGGATCCAGGTCTTTAAGCTATGTCTAGCGAACATGAGGGAGTGGATCTCGTGATCCACTAACCGCCCTAAGCGTTGTAGCTAGGAGTTCAACTAAGTTAGCATAACCACAGCACTTTGCTGGGGTCGGCAGTTGCACGAGCTCTACAAATTGACAAGACGAACTCGAAGGCTAGGTGTTCAACCCTAGGACTTAGTGAACGCCTCCTGAAGTCTAGAATAGGGCAATTCAGCCCAGTTGACGACGGATTTGTCCAGAGTCTGCAGAGCTCGTATGATGGAAGTTGACAAAGCAAGAAATTTGGATTAGCGGTACAATGAGAATGCAATACTTCTCCCAGTATTCAGGAAGTGGTGAATTAGGTAGTATCTTCTAATGTTTCTAGCTCTAAAACAATTCGCGGTTGCTCCGGGTCTATCGCTAAGTTGAACGTTCTCAGACGACTAAGATAATGACGCAAGAGTGCTTGGCTAGTCAATCTCGAATGCTAGAAAACTAGACTGAATTACTGCCCCTCTCATTATCCAAACTGAGCGCCTCTCCCGCAACCACATGTGTTGACCCTCAAAATCGCTGTTCACAAGGGCTCCCTGGCCTCGCTTCGGAGGAGAGGGGGGCTGGCGATCTTTAGCCGATCCAGCCGCTGTCGCTCACTAACAGTGATGTACGCACCGCCAACACTACTCGGAAAAAAGGGTCAGCCCGCTTCTTTAAAATTGAGAGCCCTAGTCATTACTCTGCACACGTGGTATAAAGCGAAATTCTGCTGAAAGGTTTGGCATACCTGACCTAATTGTCTTGGACATTTGGTTAATAGAAGATAAAAAGTGTGAATTATATTAAAGCATACGGAAAACCAATTTAGTTGTGCCACGCTTCCAGAGTAACGTGGTCTTGGTATAGGTGTGTTCAGAGTACTGGTACGTTTTGGTTGTATTTTGTGTACTGTACCCTCGGCGAATAGGGCTGTAATATCCTACCAGCCCACTACAAAATGACTACGCATCAGTAGTGCATATGTATTGGGGGTAGTCATGGAGCGTCATATCTATCGCAGCTGCCCCCACATTAGAAGACCCAAGGCAATACAAGCTCATTTTCCAGTCTTCTAGAATATCCAAGTTGGCTGCTGAGATTTACTGAAACGGGCAGCTAAGCAGATTATCTATGTCTACTTTTCTCCCCCATGGCGACTATTCCCACATATGTAAGCATGAAAGATGCCCCAGGAAGACAGACCACACCAAGTCAAGTCCCTCAATAAGAGTAGCCATTCCTGCAAATGTAAAAAAGTAATGCAGAAGTATTATTATACCTAGCAAACCCTCTTAATCCCGTACTCCGCGCTCCTCCCATGCAAAATGATACTTAAACACCAGATCTTCAAAAATCAAGAAAAAGAAAAATCAGGACTCAATACGCTCCTGTACTATACAACCCCCCATTAAACGTCCTATGCTGCCAAGGCTGTTGCATCCCACCCGTACCAGTCGAAGTATGCGTCGCAAAACTAGTCGTCGAGATACTACCCGGCGTCGTCAAAACCGGAACCATATCAACGCCCCTATAAACCTTATCCATATCCGGCATTGGCAGTTTCTTATAGCTCATCCCAGCATAAGCGGGCTGACCAGATTGTCCGTATCCCTTATGGCCCCTAGAGACGCGGTTAGTAATTGTGTTGCCTCCCATGCGGGTTAGTGGTTCATGTAATTACCAGAACATCCTGTCATCCCAATCGTCAATTAGATCTGCCATCGTTTGGAGATGTCCAAATGTGGCCGGCATAGGCCCCTTGGGACATCTTGCACTGACATATGTTGCGAAACTTGCAACCGCGAGAGCGAAAGCTGTGAAGTAGAAAATTTGGGGCGGATACATGTTGACACCTAGTCTGAAATCGTTGTTTATTGAAAGACCGAAGAGCCAATGAACAGCCGCCTTGAATATGAAAAGAGTAATGGTTTGCCAGGAGGAGAAAGCAGCTATAATGCTGTTGAAACGGGGATCAGTACCTTTCGGTGTCGTTGCCATGCGGAAAGTCATTTCATCTCTTGAGAGGTTGACAAGAAGCTCTGCACAATGAAGAGCAAGTGTTAAACCTGCTTGGAAGGCTGCAATCAGAAATATTGAGCCAACATTTCCTACCATCCCGGAATTTGCTGTCCATCCTACATTGAGAACCGATGTTCCGTCTGTACATTTTGCAGCGGGACAGGAAGAAGCATGAACGGTCTTGCCTGTAAACATGGGAAGAAAATTCCAACTGCTCCCTAAGATACCATTTGGATTCTTCTCAACGATCATGAAATGTATTGCCCATCCCCATAGACCACCAAGAGGAACAAGAGCCCAGAGGAGACCTAATACGTATCGAACTTCTGGATGTGCTTTCCATGCTGGCCCTTGCTTATTTTTCGGGTAGGTGGGTATAGATGGTTCATGAGCTTGATGAACCGATTTCATACAGCGATTTGAGCGGCGAACCAGAGGGTTTGGGGCTGCTTTTCCGGTGTCTGGTATACAGGTGAGTGTACATGCGTAGACTGTATCCAACGGATTTGAAGACCAGGTTGGTACGTACGTGGTCGACAATGCCCATGTAGCAATGATCGCTTGGCCAAGCAGACTGATACCGAATAAAATGAGTGCAACCCCAGAGACTTCGATGAGATTTTCGTCTAGCGGGGGAGAAGTGTGCTCCCCGTGAAAGGTTTTGGAGAGCTGCGGGTTCCAACCCAGAAATATTAAAGATGTTGTGGCGTATGACAGGATGATAGAGAACAGGTATAATATGTTTGAATACCATTTATTCGGCAGAGATTTCGCTGAACTCGAAAGTAGTCGTAAATTCGAATTGAAGGTAAGCCGGTTTTCATACTGCAAAGACCACCGGAGGGAAGTATTGTGTATATACCCCATGCTTTCATTCAGGAAAGTAACGACAATATTTATACCCAAAGGCAGCACCTCTTTCGCAAGATGAGGAATGACAAATTCTGGCCTCGAATCCACTTGTCTTTCCAAATAAACACAATAACATCCTCCACCCAGAGCAGCAACACCAGTTATCCAGCTGGCAAACAACCCCACCGCGCACATGTTTCGAGTAAAAAGGGCTTTATCGAGCTTGTCATGATGTTGTGAATGAATCTGGTGGTAGGAAGCAGACATCTTCAAGTTTCGATCTCTCGACCTCGCGGACAAATGGGGCGCGATGTCCGTTAAGGAGCGACTGTATGGTCCTCTTTCAGCACAATTATCGCAAGAATGGTCTGTTAGAACGAGGGAGGGGAAGAAGCAGCTTGATTACAGGAGAAAAGGCATTGAAAGACTTGAGGATTCGAAGAGAAAAAAGAACAAACACCTAGACCGCTTCAATGCGCAGTCAAGCTACAGAGCCTCACGGCCTAGACCAACAAATCTGCCTGTCCCCATTGCTTGGATTTGGCGAAGTCGGGGAAATTCATGTCCTCAATTTTGACTGGACCCTTGGTGTTTTCTGTGCCCTGTATGGATATCAGCCTCGCGCCACCAATATTGGCTTGCCATGGCCCCCTGTGTCCATTTTCGTCTATTGAAACACTGTAATTGGTTTTTTAGCGAGCTGAGGGCGTTTTGCTATTGCGCGATTCGATGGAATTTCACTGAAGCCTCCACCATCTGTCATCTCTCGCATTCGGCAATGCTGCACGGAGAGGCTGGAGCTATTTTTGTTAGGGACTTAGAGCGCAAGATATTTTCAGTTATTTCCCAGTTCTGGCCGTGTGGCTTTGATAAAAGAAAATTCTGTCGCATCTTCTAAGGCGAAGCACAACTTGTGGTTTTGAAAATTTCACGTCACTGGTGTCGACAATCATGAATGGTTTGTTCCACAGGAATTCTACAAGTCCAACTCAAGAGCTACACGAACATTGCATCGCTCTGTCGTGCTTCGGTACGTCGCCACAGAACCTTTCCTCTTCCTTTTCGTCCCAACCCCAGTGTTCTTCGAAGGGGTTCAATGCCATATTCAAGACCTTACCTAGAATCTCTCTTTCGCCGCCCTTTTCAACTCTTTTGATAAGTTCGTCCAATACCCAACTTCGGGGTATAAACTTAGGGTTCACTTTCTTCATTGCATCTTGTCGAGAAGCATCATCCCCATCTGGACCCCAGTCTTCGTAGACACGTCCCTGCCATTTCTCGAGCCAATTCGCAATGCGAGTGCGCGCCGACTCATCTGTATTCCCGAGGCCTGTGACGCCTTCTCCGTGGAAAAAGACCCCAGCTGATTTTTTGCGCAGCTCTGAAGTTTCTAGATCGACTACGGAGAAATGACTCAGCCTTCTGAAAAAGTGATTGAAGTCTAGCTCAAGAGCTTCCATAGTGTCCAAGAGTTCACTGTACAACTCTTCGAAATCTGACTCTTTAAACACTTTGAGACCAAGGCGTGAAGTCATCAGACGTGTGTATTCCTCTAGAAAGGTGGCCTTGAATTCCTCTCCTACTCGTCTAATGAGTCCTTCGGCACGAGAGACTAATGCGTCTGCCTCTTCTTGTCGAACCCCTTTCTCAACAAACTCTTCAGCATCGACATCTTTACCAATTCCCATAAGTTCGCCCAAACTTTCGCCTAGTCGCACGAGGTTCCACCATATAATTGTAGGCTGGTTTCGGTAGGAATACCGAAGCATATGATCATCGTGATTCGGAGTATAATGAGGATCAAAGTTATCGAGGAAAGCAAATGGGCCGAAATCGATGGAAAGACCATGTATCGACGTATTATCGGTATTGAGTACGCCATTTGTAAAGGCATACGCTTGCCAAGCTGCTACGGTCCTTGCGTTACGGCGCACAATCTCGCGATATAAGCGTGTGAATCTATTCTCTTCTAAGCCAGCAGGTCCTTCAATTGTATCTTTGTCAATTCCCGTCCCCAAGGGAGTCTCGTTCTTGCCATCATCTGCTGGGTTTCGAGCTAGAAGTGACTCCCATCCGCTGAATACGTTTTCTGCAATATATGTGCAAAGTTGTCGAATCAAGGCTCGGTCGCCTCTCGCTCGAAGAAGATCAAATGTGCCTATTCGCAACCAAGATTCCGCAAACCGAGCAACTATTGCTCCAGGCTCTATCGTTTCTCTTCGAACCTTTTGGTGAGGTAATAGTGTCAAGGACAACGCTCTCGTCGTGGGAATTCGTAACGCATTCAAAGCTTCCGAGACCACAAACTCCCTTATACTTGACCTCAGTACTGCTTTACCATCTGCGAACCTCGAGTAAGGAGTGAGTCCAGCACCTTTCAGCTGCAATTCATATCGCTTCTTCGTATCCGGATTGGTCGTCTCGAACAGGGAAATCGCACGTCCATCTCCTAATTGTCCAGCGAACGACCCAAACTGCCAACCCCCATAACACTGTGCCCAAGGATATCCACCCTCTCCCTTCTCCGCATCCCAGCCCCAAAGCTTGTTGCCAGCAACTGTCTGCTTGAACTCGTCCGTCTTTGTATCATCCTCGACTATGCCTAAATCTCTCAATGCTGTTGGGCTCACCCCAAGGAGCTCTGGGTCTTCCGATTCCTCGGGCCTAACCCACGTAAAGAGTGCATCATTCACCTGCCGTGGTTGTATTTCATCTCTTGGTGTATTGTGTGAATCTGCCGGACTTGGGTATTTCGAGTCTGCGGGTAAACAGGAAGTGAAGGTCCAGGATTTGGAAAGGTTTGCGAGAGTCTTCCCTGGAGGGGAGCTCGAGCCGTTCGAGAGATGAGCAGCCATTTGTGCAAGTCGCATGCGGGGTATTTGACGAGGTCTTAGAAGAAGTCTAGAAAGCATGAGCTGAAATGGATCGAGAGAAAAAGCTCTGCTCGATGGACATATTATGATTATGTAGGTAAGTGAGTGAGTTGTTCTAGGTTGGGCTTATCAATCATCCATTACTCCCACTATCTTGCCTCGGTTCACGCCACAGTCGCCACAGCATCCCCCCACCACAGCCGAGCAACTATTTACTTCCCCCTCGCCAATTCAAACTTAGATCTAACTCATTTTCACGAATCCCTATACTCGTAATCATTTCTCTCTCCTCCCTCCAACAAGTTTGTTTTCATTCAATCCTTCTGTTGGATTTCCAAGGTATGGGGTCAAGTAGGTCATGTAGAATTGATTGAATTGTAAAGCAGTTATTGTACAGAGTATATATATGAGAATAGGGGTAAAAAGAGTGGAGTAGTATCCCAATGCGGAAACAGTGCAAATAATGAAATACATGTATAAATAATGAAATGAGTGGTTTCCACGGTTCAACGCCTTCTCTCAAATTTGTCAAGGCAACTTATCATAAGGACCCCGCATCGTATAATCGTCCTCCTTGTCATCCATTTCCTGGCCATGAGGTGCTTTTCGTTCATGTCTTGTTGAATCACCTCCTTTCAGGTCAATCATTTCCGAATCCACAGAGCTGCGCTTCGCAAGGCTCCTCCTTTTCTTTAAGCATAACCAGCTCGCGACCGCTATAAGGACTGCTACCCCCAAACAGATGCCAATCGCAATTCCTGCTTTGGCGCCTGTGCTGATGCCAACCCGTTGTGGAGTAGCTGGCTGAAAAGGAACTAAAGTAGAGGTTGCAACGGGTTGAAATCCCGCGAATTCGTTTGTTGATGATGGTGCTATTGGACTCGAGGTATTGCTCGCTCCATTCGGAGTCGGTAAGGAGGCTGTTGAAGTGGGTATATTGCTCTTTAATGCTGGGGTGAAAACCGCAGAAGCGATAGAGTCGGTCGCAAGTGCGATTGTTTCTCTCGGGGCCAAAGCTCCCATTAACGGCCGTCCATCTGCCACTGGGAATTTCCCACTCGTCGATAACGGCTGTCCTAGAGCGCCCTTTGGAGACATTGAAAATAAAGGGTAAAGTGGACTCGCAAAACACAACCTTCGGATGATGGAGGACATTGTGACTTTTAGAACTCCTAGCTTTCCAAGGAGTGGAAAAGAGAATTGGAGAAGAGAATTACTATGATCCTTGAAGTGCAGCCCATCTCACTTAGATACCAATAAATAAATCATCCGCAAAAAGATTAATGGCGCCTAATTTACGTGACGAGGTGGATCTGATGTAACTCTAGACGCTCGAGAACAACTGCGCCTGAATGTGCGAATCGCTTCGACCCAATGAGAGAATACCAACCAACACCACGAGCATTTTTTTCTAGATTATTCCGTTAGCGCCAACACAGCTACCCCGAATAGACACTAGGCTGCTGCAAAGATACAGTAGCTTCACTTTCAACCGCGACTCACGCTTTGCGACTGATTGTGTTGAGAGATTTATATATTTTTTTGTATCTTCATAGATGTGGTGATTTTCAAATGCAAAACAGAGGGACAGAAATGCGTCACAGATCCCCCGCAATTTTCCAACGATAGTATTTCGACCGTCCTCTCTTCACAGCTTCATCCTTCCCCCTCTTCAGCCAGGGCCCCATCTCCCCAACCGCATGCTCAGTCCGATCATCAATATGGTTGTTCGTCACTCTGTCAGCCCAAGCATCTCTTGTCCCTTTCTCACTCAGATACGCTGCCCCATTCCACTCATCCAATTCCTCTTGGTCGTTGAAGCAGATATGGAACACCCTACATAGAGCCTTGTACTCAATCGGACAGTCATTCGCAGTCCCAATCCACATGTACGCCCACATTCTCTCAAACAATCTGCCCGAAATATAGTCGGGTAAATCCGTGTTAAGAATCCAATCGATCCGGTCCTGATACCACTGTTTCGGTAATTTCTGAATCGCTGCTCGGGTGGCGGCAAACTGAGAACAACATGGTCCACCAAAGATCTCGGGAACATCATGTCCAGGGAACATATTCTGGAACATTTCTCGGACATAGATTTCTTCTGATCTGAGCTCTGAATAATTGGGCGAATCTATGGTTATAGAACTGTTGATCCATTGGGGACATCCACCTTGCCAATCGACTTTTAGATTTACGTAGCCGCGTCTTTCGACCTCCTCCAAATCAAGGCTGTGTATGGTGTCGGTTAAGTTTTGGCCAAAGATGATATCGTTGTGCCAGGCGTTTTCGCTGTCGTGAGCAAAAATGCTAATATCGGGAAGGTTGTCGTAAAATGCTGTTATGTAGGAGAGGTAAATCATTGCTTCGTTCCCTTTATTGGAGGGTGGATGATACTGGGCGGACGGGTCGTTTGCAATGTATGGGATGACGACTAACTTGGGGATTTTGAGACGGTATGCCCATTCGTAGTTTCCTGTCGTTGTAGCTGCTATTACTGCATTGATGCTTGGTGCTGAGGAACCGAAGAGGTGAAATGTGACGCATTGATGGTAGAGTATCCATAGGAAGATGGTTGCAAAGAATACAACAAACAGGCGGCGGAAGCTACAAAATGAGCCGCTTGATTGAAGCATGATGAAATGATATATGTAAAGTACGAAGCAAAAGAACAAAATTAATAAACAGCAATAATTATGAGCAGTGGTTTGATCTACAACCAGTTGCCAGATCTGAAAAGTTTTCGAAGTGTTTCGATTCCACGATACAGTTAAGATCTGGAGGAGTCTAGGTAACAAAGGAAAGAGGGTTTGAAAATGTCAGTTGTAAGAGCACAGTGGCAGCACAAGTACTCGAGTACGGGCGTGTAAAACATTTTGAGCAGACGCACACGCAACCTTTTGTGGAGATGGATACAAGGAATGTGTTTGAACTTCCGCAAGAGCCGGGATATTTTTGTAGGATCTCCAGGGGTATTCGCCATGAAAGTGTGAATCTCGGAAAATCCGTCCCCTGACGTTGGTCGTCCCGTATTTATTTTACGAGGAAGTATAATAGATCAGACAAATCCACTGGAATTTCCACAATTCCAAACTCTACTCCACGGTAGCATACATCGGCCTCTTACTCATAAACTTGAATACCTTGCTCATGGACCATCGCCAAGTTTCTTGGACTTTCATCACGGCACACTGAAACCTCGTAGGAATCCCAGAGGAAGATTGATATCTTGAGCTTCTCACCTCATCCTATCATCGCACCGCGTCTGACTGCATACCTAGGCAAGTACCGGTAAGATTCCATTCGCATCGTTGAAACTCACGTCATTAGTACGCCCACCACCTTCGATCCCGATGCTGAAAATGGAAATGGAAATGGTGATAAATACTCGACATACGGAGTGCTCTATTTATATAGAGACTTCCTCTATATGGAGTATATCTCGCAGAAACAAGCCTAGCTTCATCTTGACAACTTGTCAATTTATTACTCATTCATCTCGAACAATTACTCGCGCATAAAAAGGAAAACATATGAAGACTCATTCAATTGTAACAACACAAGAAGCATGGCGTTTATCAAATCGCAGACAATGCATGCAGGAGTGTGGAAAGAAAAGGTGGGATGAAAATTGGTAAAGAGGTGCGAGCTGAGGATAGAGTTGTTACAGGTTCTGACGACCTCGGGAGTCACGAGCCTGAAATAGAAAAATGAAGGGATATATCGGATTTAACCTTTGGGGATCCGAAGATGCGGGCCGAGATCGGCATACAATCGGCTTCGGCTGCATGTGCCCTCGGTACCTACCGGGGCACGAGATAAATACTTCTATGACGGAATGCGCTAGGCGAGACTGTGGAACATTCGGAAAGGTTCCGAAACACCACAACCTCAAACACAGATTTGCAATTACAAAGTTTACGTATCGCATATGCCCCTTCTGCTAAGATCTACCCGATTGACCAAGCTCTCCTCAACACCCAATACAACGGCTATTCTAACCACGTGGCGAGCTCTCTCTTCCATATCCCACCCTTCCAGGATGAATTCAGCCACTTCAGCTTATCAAACCTCCTTTGAAGAGGATGGAAATGCAGGAAAAGGACCTAAGCAACAGTCCCAACTAAGAGACTTGAAGCTGAACGACGGAAATGAAATCCCAATAGTAAGCTTTGTCGTTAGAACTCCGAATTCACTAACACTGACTCTCATTAGCTTGGATATGGTCTTGGTACAGCTCGATACAAGAACGATCCAAGTGCCCCTGTTGACAAAGAGTTGATAAAGACAGTGGTCATGGCAATTAAGGCGGGCTACTATCATCTTGATGGCGCACAAGGTAATTATCGTGGCAGCTACCTTAAGTATTGAGCTTGACGAATCCCATGGGCTAAGTCGGCTTATTTAGTCTACAACAATGAGACCGAACTTGGAATCGCAATCAAGGAATCAAGGGTGCCACGGGAAAAGTTATACGTGACGACCAAGATCTCCGGTACCAAGGTCCAAGACACCCAAGAAGCATTCAAGCTCTCGCTTAAGAAATTGCAACTTGATTACGTCGATCAATATCTGATCCACGCCCCATTCTTCGCCGAAGGTTCTAAAGCAGCTCTGCAGGTGCGTTCCATCGATTTTCTCGAACTTTGACCGTTTGACAAGAGTTCTAATTGCCTAAAATAGGAAAAATGGGCAGACTTGGAAGCCATCCACGCAACCGGAAAAGCAAAATCCATCGGGATTTCCAACTATCTCCAACCAGAGGTTGAAGCCGTGCTTGAAACCGCCAAAATCAAGCCCGCAATCAACCAAATAGAATACCACCCTTATCTCCAACACGGCACTCTTGTTGACTTCCACAAAGAAAATGGTATCGCTCTCTCAGCCTACGCATCCTTAACTGCCGTCGTGAGAGCCAAGCCAGGACCATTGGACGAAACTTATGAAATCTTGGCGAAAAAGTATGGTGTCACGCCTGGAGAAATTGCTTTGAGATGGGTTATTGATCAGGGCATTGTGGTCTTGACAACTAGTCAGAGTGAGGACCGGTTGAAGGCTTATCAGAAGGTTGCTTCGTTTAAATTGACGCCGAAGGAGATTGAAGATATTAAGGTCTTGGGACAGCAGAAGCATTATCGAGGGTTCTGGAAGAACAGGTTCGCTGATGATGATAGATCCTAAATTAAGATTGCAGGTATTGTGTGTTTTGTGTGTTGTGATAATGGAGGAATGGAGATACTGAATTTTGGTTGATGATTAATATACTTATACGTTGTTGCAAGGAGATGTGGAGGATAAAGAACTGGAATCCGATATACCGGAGTAACCTGTCTCCAAATTTTCTGTGTTGTTAGTAGCTGAAAGGCTCATAAAACCCTAAAATCGAAGTGTTAAGTCACACAATCATTTCCTGGCTCTGCTATTTTCTTGTTCGACCTCACATGCTACAATCAAACCCAACATAAATATCTCATTCCAAACTTCCTAGAAACAGCCAATTTCCGTCCACTACCAGTAACGTCCAAGTTTCGACACTACTCGACCATCCAACAAGGTGTTCCCTTCCAAACACCCTTTCCGAATAAGCGAGAACCGATCGCGAGGATCCCTCGACCATCAAAACCAGCTAGCTCATGAACCTCTCAAAAAAGTTTCTTCCCCAGATCTCCTTTATAGTTCAAACACTCTACGATCAACAAGTAGGAGACGCGTTGATTAATGATCGCCGTTTTTTCGAACCATGGGTGTGTGCTTCGGATAGCGTTAACCGATGGGTACTGTGAGATTACAGGGAACTTACTAGTATACGGATACAGATACGATACTTACAACGATGAGTTGTCTAAGGCGACATTGGATCTAGAGCTACTGGTTGAGCTGGATTTGGTGTGCTGCTGGAGGTCCTTGTTAGGAGAAAGATGAAGGATGCTTTGTCGCCTGGTATGAATTCGTCTATCTTAACAGATTGGGAATTGGAAGCTGACCTATATTCTTCATATCGCTTCTCCTTGAGCTTGATAATCAAAAAGTCACCAGCGCGAAAGGACTTGCTACCGAGTAGTTTATAAAAGAGGGCTTAGCTGGCCTACTTTAATTCCTTTCTTTCTTGGTCTTGCTGGCTTATCAGGGGCGCTACAATCGTGGTATTCTATGGTTAGGAAAGTAGGAGGTATGGTCATTACTCTGTACACACTCAAAAAAAAAAAGTCTGGCACAAGGAACTCCTTTGTTCTGGTATACCTGGGTAAATACTGTAGTAAATCAAAAGTGTTGATTTTTCTAAATAGTTTGTGTAATGAGTTTAGTTGTGCGAGGATTTTAGAACGATGATAATTTAACTTACAGGGTGTCTAGAATAATCACTGCGTCTCGTACATCATTATAGCAAAGATCATGGGAGAATAAATTGCTTGGATGCAAGATGATGAAGAACTAGGTAATCAAAGCTTTATTTGGAAAGGAGCTAGTATCCTCCTCTTGCCATTTACAGTATTGGAGACTTGGTCGTAGTGTATTAACCTAGCCAATATTTAGAAGTAGAGACTTATAGGACAGCAAAGTAGGAAAGTACTTACAAGGAGGGACAGAGGGGGAGGGACAGGTAGAAACGGCTAAGTACTTACAGATAGGGAGGGAGAGGGAGAAGGACAGGTGAAAACGACTAAGTACTTACAGGTGGTTTATAGAGGTAAAGGGAGGGGGAAAGGCCCTCTAATATAGACAGATAGCTGACGGAAAGCTCGGGTTACGCTAAAACTCTCTTAAAAGCTAATTATAGGCTGTGTCGGTTCCTAAAAGTTTAATATTCTCTTCTACTTCGAAGTAAAATGCCCTCTGTTTTCGCTTAGCAGGGGATAATAAAGTATAAAATCCGAAAAGTGGAGACGCTTACTTTATAGTACTAAAATCTCCACTTTTAACTACCTAATTAGGCCTGTGTACGAAATTTTCGTACGTGTACGAGAATCTTTACCACCGAGTTCCCAGAGGGAGGTTTCGTTTGGCGTTACATACTTCTTATGTCCCATTCTTCTATATATCTGGCAAACTATTCTATATCCACTACAAGTACCTAGTGCTATAAGCAATTGAAGCCCATTTTCGAGTCAGTATCTACAAGAACAAAGAAACAAAGAAATCGAGGTAGAGTAGATAGATACAACCTACTACAACAAGAGAAGTACACCAGCAGCTTGCAAAAACCTCAGGATAACTCATCCGTGCATTCTATAAGAACTGAAATATTTCGCCCAAAAGATCAAAGGTTAGCTGAATCGATACACACAAGAACTCCGAAGAGAGAGAAAGAGAGCTGTATGCTACGAGATGGTGTGATCACGAAACTACTCAACCACTCACCCATTGGAATTCGATGTCTTTGTAATTGATTGAATCGGAGCTCGATTAGACCTGATAATACTCTGCTTCAAGTCCTCGGTAGGAACTTGATCAAAACCCAACTAAAATCAAATCCTGTACCACATTGCTACGAAGTAGCGAAATTGCCACTCGAAACCATCAGTCAATTATCTGAGAAACCGGTAACCCATGACATGAAAGGACCAGATATCCCAGCACCAACGGAGCTACAAGATAAGTTGTTTTAGCCTTTAAAATTCGAGCAGTTGAGTTAAGCAGCGGCCTCTACTCAACTCAACTCGAGTAGTGAAAATCGCTACTCAACTCAACTCGCCAAGTACTCGAGTAACTTATGACTTATCCTGGATACTTAAATAATATTAGTAGCTATTGTGCCTTTTAGCTAGAATAATCAATAGTAGGAAATTCTATAAAAGACATAGTACTTAAGGATAATTTCTTTGTAGTTTAGTCACGTTTTATAAACTATTCGAGTACTTCCAGTTGTTACGACACGAGCACTCTTGGCTCCACTGTCTGGCACTAGCATATTCTATGGAAGGCGCTGGTCCTATTCCAGAAACTTCCCAGCCGACAGACAGCTTCTATATTAGAGCCCTGCTCGCCCCCTAGCTTCTCTTTGTATTCGCTTATCCATTCCACATTGTACCCTCGTCTCCTAACAGTACTACTCGGTTAGAGTTAAGTGGTTGAGTAGTTTTGTTTTAACGCCAGATTGCTTAAATCACCGCTTTCAACAAATAAGAAACCACTCACACAAGTCAAGTATTTCTCTCCCACATGTCACAAATCTCATTTCACATTGAATTAAAAACAAGTAACCCATTACAGGACTATCAAACAGTATCTATTCGTGTCCAGGAACCCAGGTCCAACCCCCCAAGCATAAAAGAGTAACCACAACCCCAATCCCCAAACAGAGGGAAAACAATAGTAACATCATCGCCAGATGTGTGACGCCTTCCTGAGTCAAACCACCTAAGCATGGCTAAAAGCAATTCAAACTCAGAGGGGCAGCAGACATGAGAATCACATCCAACGAATAGCAATTAGGAAAAAGAAAGAAAGAGAACCCTGGTTGAAAACATAACCTCGTTTCGTCATAATGTATTACTCTCCTCGTCCCTTGTGACTCCCCATTCGCTCGATGGAACCCATAATTCCGCTTCTGTATCCCATCCCACTCCCAGGTCTCGACCCTAGAGTGCTATTTCGTTTATCCAGATTCCCTGCTGGCATACCAAAACCTCCTCTACCAATACGGCTTTCCCCTGTGGGCTTGGAAACACTGGATGGAGCGCGAAGACCCGATGCCTTTGAAATGCTACCTCTCAGGTGATCAACATTGGATTGACGTTTCGCGGCTGGCGAAGTGACGGCAGGCTGGTTGCTCATGTCGGCAAGCATATCATCAAAAGCTGCAACCAGAGGGATCATTTCATCCACGGCTTGTACTAGTTTACCCTTCTCAACTCTTTCCTCGTCCAACATTCGACGAAGATCCGAGTTGTCACGCTTGACGCTTCGAACAACTTGACTCAATCCTTCCAACTCGGCTTCCATCTCTTTGGCTCGGGCATCTCTAGCGAATTGTTTTTCAAGGTCTTCTGCCGCCTGTGCGGCAACCTTCGGGTCAACTCTGGTCATTGTTGCATCGCGTCTGAGTTCTTCAATTTCCTTGGTGAGATCCTCAACTTGGTTCTCGAGTTCTGTGACCTTCTTATCCCATCGTCGTTCGTAACTCTTCTTCAAAGCGGCTACCTTGGTCTCGTGTTTATCTTTGTATAATGTGTGGAGTTCTCTCGAAACCTTCTCAACCGCAATTTCAACTGTACGACCACCACAAACGCATTCACCAGGCCTAGAGTTAGAAGATTCCGACACGGGAGGTGCTTTTCCGGCCCTCATTGCTGCTAGTTTGCTTTCGGCTTCCTGAGCCATGACTTCAGCGGCCTCCCTTCTTCTCTCCGTCTCCTCAAGTCGACCTTCAAGCTCATCTCGTTCTCGTTCTCCGTGTAGTATCTCCTCTTTCACGTTACGCAAAACAGCCTCCATTTCCCGACCTCGTTTTTCCCACTCTTCTTTCTCTGCATTTAGCTGCTCCTTCAAATCTCGTTCTTCTCGAACTTGTTCCATACTCTCACCAACTCTCTTTTCGGCGTCCCCCACGGCTGTTTTCAACGAATTGACTTCTGCTTCTTTACCACTCAAAGATGCCTTTAGGCTGCTGATTTCGGAGAGAAACCCCGATTTCAAGCTCTCTAGCTCCCTCGGTGTAATCGACGGCATGCTCCTTGGAGTCGGAGCAGGTGGGATGTCAAAATCAAGTAGATTGGACATGGTGTGTCGGTTCATAGAAGGTGTCGAGGGAAAGGCTGAGCTCATGTCTGGCAGTGTATTTTGCTTCGATGGAGAGTGTCTGCCATTCTTGGACGGGGATTGGCGATTTCGACCTGAGAAATTGTTGAACTGTTCAGTAAAATCCAGTAGATTCTCCGTATGTCCATCGTCACGAGAGTATTGTTCGTAATTATGCGCACGGGGTGTTGGGGACGGCGAGTAGCTCATTGGGCGACGAGCTTTCGCAGGCGTATTAGCGTACAATGGGTTCCGTCTCGGAGTTGGTTGGAGAGTTGATGACTTCATAGGATTGTGTCCAATTTTCGCAAAAGATGTCATATCCGGAATAGCAGAAAAATCGCTGAAGGTGCTGATCATTGTATCGTCTATGCTGTGCTCCTCGTAAGAAACTGCACGTTCCCGGCACATTTCTGTGTGAATGCCTTCGGCATGCAACGATTCGTTCTCAGTATCGCCATCCTCCAAAATTGCGATTGCTTTCGTAAGACCCTCGTTGTTCCTGAGAACATCATCAATCTTTAGTGTTGTCTCAACGGGGGCAGCTTGCGTATCTGGCTGTGGCTGTGGCTGTAGCGGCGGAGAAGAGATTGAAGGCTTGACGGGAAATCTCTTATCTGACATCTTTCGCGGGCTCTTGATAGAGTCCGACCGTCTGGGAGACGAAGGAGTTGAAGTGGGCGATGCCCGGCTTTTGAGTAGCCTTAAAGGCGACGGTTCACGTTCACGTTCGACGGGGCTTGTCGTTGCTAATCGTAGTAATGTCAACTTGTTGGGTGACATATTTTCGAGGTCTGCGGAATCCGCAACGTTGGTGATAAAGGGTGAGCTCGCAGGCCCAACGGAGCTGTCGCTATCATTAGCTGTCATGTTGGTGTGATTTTGACTCTGAGTTGTGTATGCGACAACATCGTAATCGTCGTGAGAGGTTTGCATTGCATTGAGAGCCATGTCACTAGTTTCCGAGAGCGGCCTTGCCATTCCAACGCAGGAGATTTTCGAGGCGGTGCCGTGATCTGGATCTGTGCGATCGCCTTTGGTGAAGGGAGTGGTGGTTTGTGTGGTGGAGTGTATGAGTGCAGTGCTGCGTATCAGAAAAACAGTCAGTGGTCTCCGTTGTTGAGGTGCGAGAGATTTGTTGTGGTGGTCCGGCTCTCTCAGTTGTTTACCCTCGTACGGGGCACGCCGGCACGCCGCGGCTGTTGCTAGCCCTTGTCGCCGGGGCAGTTCACGTGATATCAAACGCTGGACAACCTTACCACTCGTAGGTACTGGTGGGTAACAAATAAATTCCAAATCTCCCTCATTAGGCACTTCGTCGTCTCATCATTCATGATTTTACATGGACATCTTCATGCCTTACTTCCAAGCCCCATGCCCATGCCATACTATGCTGCCATCCCAAAACTCCCAAACCGTGCATTCAATAAACCATCCCATCTCACCAAGCCATGCTATCCGTGCATTGCAGCATTAGCCACACATTGATGCGACTCGAAGATACACTACCATGGGCGCTCGCATTCTCCTGGTTTCAAGGAATCTTTGACCCCTGCGGATGGCGCGGGACCTGCGTTTTTCTGAAAGAAACCATACACGCTTTGCTGCGACTTTGCAGCTACTTTGAGGTTGGAGTATTGACTTTCCGGCAGTCTTTTTCCAGCCTTTAGACTATCGAGGACCCTTGATCGAGGCTGTGTTAGCGGATTCCTTCTCATATTGAGGCCTACTTACCATTCTACACCCACGAACTTGATCCCACATCCCCCGACCCTTTTGATTTCTTTCTCAAGCTTGCTACCTGAGAGCCCACCGCCCGCGCCAATTTGCATGCCGGACGGGCGACCAAGTATGACATGAGTGACCTGCTTTCTTGCCATATGGAGTGAGACCTTTGCCCCATTCTCCGCAAGAAAATGCTTCAGTTTGTGATCGGATATCATTGGGTGCGTGCTGCCATTGATGTAAAGGACCAGTCCATTAAAAACCAGCTTCGTTCTATTCCTTTTCGCCTCTTCCTTCATGTCATCCTCCTTCTTCCTCAAGGCCATCAATTTCTCCTCTCCACTCAGCGAGTCTTCCAAGAATTAGCAATTTTCAAATATTTCTCCTCTTGAACTCACCGGTTTTTTGTGCCCCAGCAGTGAGCATATCCCGTACACTGAGCTTTGCTCGTTGTCTGACATCCTTCGGTATCACAGCCTGCGCTTTTTCGTCCCAGTCTTCAGACCCAGCACCGACAGCATCAGAGATGCGCTCTCCTCCAGAATTTCCTCCCTTGAATTGATGCGATAATTTCATATTCCTTGACTGCCGCCATCCCGTCGAACCCCCAACACGATTTTCCGCTCTCTGATGCCCAGTCGAAGAGCTATTCCATGCGTCGAAATAGGAGCCAAACTTTGGCTGAGCGGCCGTCTTTGGTTTGGAAGGAGGCATGGCGCGATGTTGTGGCGGTCGGTGCTGCCTAGCTTATTCTGATTTACTGGCGATACGCGATAGGCATGATTAGTGGATATACTGGCCAAGGTGTAACTGGATCAATGTTGGGGATACTTGTGTATGAAGAACGCGCACCGGCCTGAGGAATGTCGCGCATGGCTCGCCAAGTCAGGTGACTTAGTCGGTCGCCGGTAAAGGAAAGGTTTGTTACCCGGCGCTACACATCGAAAACACCAATACCAACTTATCCACCACTCCATTATCTACGGCATCTTTACTCGAGTACTACGTACAATATGGAGGAGAAGCCATGTCGCTATTTGTTGGAGAATTGAAATCCTTCTGATATGATATGATATCGTCTTGGCGCGAAGGATTGGGAGCCTGCGCTCCACCTACCGAGGCGAAAGGATGGGGGGGAAGGGGGGGGGGAAGAGGGGATAGGTTCATGGTTCTATGATCGCTGTCTGCTCGAGTACCCAAGTACTCATACATGGATTTTCCCTCTACTTTTTTATCCGGCCAACATCAAAGACATGCATTCCAGCAAAACAATTGCTCTCTTACCGCGCCCTCCTTTCCCAGTGTTCTATTCCCTCGCTCATCACTTCTTTGTTCCATTCAATCATGGACCAGTCTAACATTTGGGGGAGGACGGGGACATTGGACTTGGTGGTTACACCTGTCCGAGTCTTACAACAGAGGCATCAAATGCACATATGCAACCATCCGCTCTCTGCAGACCACCAGTTTTGTTCTGCACAATCGTTGTCCCGGATCTGCTTGAATCGAGCTTTATTCACGCAAGTATGTCGTGCGTGAGAGTCGATGCTCAAGCTACGGAGTATCTCTGCAGATTTACCTGCGCAGTCGCTTGCCCTCCACCAGTGCAGACAATCTTGCTCCACATCTTCACGGAAATGCCTGCAATCGTTCGCTTCTCACGATTCTCACCCTCCCCCGATTGATTTCAGAGGTGGGACATGTTTTTTCCTCATATCGATGCTTTTGCATCCATGCGGCCGCGAAATAACCAACCGGGTTTTCATTATCTGGGACACGAGGGTTTCACGATTTCGTCAACGGCCTAGAGATCAGCATGCTGAGCAGTTGCTCATGTGATTGTCACGGGAGTAGGATGAGAAAGGCGCCTCCGAAAACGGGAGTATCCGCGAAGAGATGTTCATAATGCCCCCGCTTATAGAACAGGGAAACGGGGATTCAGGATTACGCTCCTCAGAGGCATGGGGATGTGGTGTGGTGTGGTAATATGGGGAAGGATTGAGGCTATATCCGACCTGCATGGAAACAATGAAAAGGGCTGCAGCACACCACTTCTCTATTACCAGATTTGAATTATATGTGTCGACATGGCCTACTTGAAAATTTACAGCACAGATTTCTCTCGCAAAATAGTATGGAATATGGAGGTACGACCCGTCTCTTTCAGGCCATCTGCAACCTATCATCTGCTTGAGATTAATCCTGAATGGATGGGTACCAGGAATAGTTTAGTGCGAATCTGTGGAGGTTGTTATTTTTGATCAAGGTGTTGTGCCGTCTGACGAGTCTGTCTGCTCCTCAGTGGTCGAAACTTTGTGGTTTTCGCTGCGGATGAAGGACGAATGAGAAGGCTGAAATGGTGTGAGAAAGTGGAGCGAACAGCGGTGAAGGGACGCTAAAGTTGGGGGAATCGACACTCAGAATCAGCCACCATTCGGAAAACGGGTTGCTTAAATATCACCACCGCCCGGCGCGACAGTGTTCATTGTTGGTGTAGGGAACGGTTTCTGCAGTGTTCGATAAGCGAAGGTGCCGGCAAACTGGCTGGTAGGTAGGTATTATTATTGATGCTGGCCGATAGCACAGAGTACTAATGTGGGTAGGAAAGAGAGACAGAGGAGAGGTCGCTAAGAAAACTGCTGAGGCCGGGAAGGTCTACAACATCGAGATGTCGTGCGTCGTCTTGGGAGGGTCGAGGTTGAGCAGGGTTTTATGATTGGCTCGTTGCCGTGGACGCCACTGCTATGTCATGGAAATCAACAATGCAGGATGTGCATTATCCTGGTTGCAAGAGACGGACCGTTATCCGCGCTCGCATCTCACGATTTACTTTTGATTGATCCGCCTTACGGAGAGTTCCTGGACCACTTCTTACGTTTGCCATTGCTCGCTCATCCGGCTCACCTGTCATGGCCAATTGTTCAGCGATATACTACTTCGATATAGCCAGCATCAACATGCCATGCCAGGCCATGCTGCAAGCCGTGGTTGACCGGGTGGGTTAGGCCATGAGCTGCAATAATATGCGAGGCTACCAGTTTTGGCAGACCATGCCATGCCATCCACCATGGGCGGGGCGGTTCTGGCTTGCTGGCTCTGCTGGCTCTGCTGCACTGCGTTTATAAGAGGCTTGGCGTCTGCGGGCTAAAAGTTGGACCCCCCCCCTCGCGCCCCTCGCCTCTCGCCTGTCCCTCCTCTCAGACGACACCCTAGACGCCATCAATTCCGCTGGCAGTTCTCCACCACACCACCACACCACCTCCCCACGCCAGGCTCGGTAAAGTAGCGGGGTTCGCTGAGAACTGTTCGCTTGACGACGTGGTCATGATTGATTGGGGTAGCCCGCTGGACGAGGCCGCGAACAGGGCCTGGATCGACACTACACTATGGACTGGCCAGCAAGTGGCAATGATCCTCTGATAAGCCGATGAGACAGAACGGTGCGACTCGCAGGACGTTGAAAAAAACCAGTCCAGCACGCAGAACGACATGATCATGGTTACACGTTGCACAACTCGAATCCTTTTCTACTTGAACTCGTAGCTAAAATCGTCGCCGGGAACAGCTGCTAGCACGTCGCACATAATCCGGATGTTGTCACCTCTTCCAACTCCCCACCCTCCTTGATAGGCGCATGAAACAGGCTAAGAAGCTCTCATCCCAGCCACTCCTCGCGCACGGAGTCCTGAATTCGCACGCTCCGATAATTGGCTATGCTCGCTGCGCGTAGCCGCTGTACTGCATATGCACATGCAAGTGCGTGCTCTGCTCCGCGCACAGGCGGGGCCACATGCCTTTGGAGGCGCTGCAGGGACGCTGCCGGGAGTGGGAAAATAGACATATTCCTACTACGGTGGCCAGTACCAGAAGATTGAAGCGGTGAGCTTGAGCTTGAGCTTGCAAACATACGTGGGTCATTTATTACCAATGAACCTCCAGATGCTGTAAGACAGCTTGACTCGTGGTCAACATGTCTTTGATGGAGACGCCCCAGGTGGTGCCATTAGGATTTTGCAGGCCGGATCAGAAGCTGGGTGTTCCGAGTACCATATCATTCCTTTGATTCGATTTTGGTAGAGAGCGAGCCGCAGACGACATGCCACTCAGGACTGACCTGTGATCACGAAAGTCAGTGCAGAAATCCTTTTAATTCTGGTCAATAGCGTAAATCGCCATATTTGGAAGCCAGGGAATAACTCAATTGACGATGACTTGCCGAACATCTCAACCTACATCAATGCAAAAATGAGGCTCGCACTACCTAGACACTGAAATTGCAGTGGCAGAAATGTTGTGCTATCTGTTCCTTGCTTTGTGGCAAAGTGAATAGCGTTGAGGTCTTTACAACAAGGGACGTGTGACATATCGACATTCTCGTAACTAGTGGAACGACGTGATATGAGTCCATCCTTCAGCGTTTTGAGTCAACTGAATTCAAGGGATTTTGTTTGATTAGGGAATGCTCTATTTGATTCGACTTGTCTGGGGCCCGCGAACAAACGAATCTCTTGTGGTAACACGCCGCAACTCGAAGCAAACCAATTCCTCTTTGCGCTACGTGCTGTAGTATTGGCCGATATATGGAAAGAACCCCCCGTATCCGGCAACGTTTACTGAAAGATGCTCATCTAGCTATCTCCAGAAAAAGTTGCACAAATTGAACTTCAAATTCCCCTGTGTCTAGAGAGACGATGGATATTTCTGTTCCGATATCGAGTTATATAAATTTATTTCAACTGCGTCTAATGCTAGAGTTTGGATGAAAATAGTCCAAGTTCTTGACGGAGCCCTGCATCCACCAGCCTCCATATGTATGATGCCTGCAAGGCACGAAGCCTGTCATTATTACCCTACAAAACCAACAAGGAGGGTGTGATAAGCCAATTCAAGAAGATCACCATTACGAAGACGAGGAAAGCAAAGGAGGTTTCTGTCACTCATTATTGGGGCGGACTTATTAAACATGTTCAATTACTTCTAGTAGTACAAATATCTCTTCAGCCTGGCTGCCTCATGGACCAACAACATTTCTAATACCAAATCGCGTCTGCAATTCTTCAACACTGCACTCCAGGTTTCGATAATCCAGAAGCTTGAACTATACTGCATACATAGCGGCAAAGCAGTCAATCGGAGAATTGCCCCCCGCTACTGGCAGCTCTTGTACTCTGTGCATTCCCTCATTTCAGGTTTTGATCGCTCCGAAATTACTGCAGCTCTGTTGCATCTGCATTGCGTTGCACGGCGTTGCAGCAGGACACGGGGCGTTTCCTACCACTTCCGCCCTAGTATTTGGATATGGGAAAACGACGATAACAATATAATTCCTGGCGCAGAATCTATCAATAGATTGGCATGCTTCCGAGCTTCGGTCAATTCGACGATAACAATAATCACTGAAAAAGACGGGATGTTGGATCTGCCGATATTTTCAGCACTCAGGTTGCCGAACTATGGTCCGCTCAGTGCCGAAGAAACGTTGAAGATTCAAGATTGCCGGGGGGTTACAGGATGCAGTACAGCGGCGTTGGAGGGCTAGAAAGTGGTGATTGTCCTCGACCCAACGGACAAATGTGCTTCGCCAGAACCAACGTGGTGCTTAATCACCGAACGGTAGTATACCAATGTAATGGCACGGATATCAGAGCTAATTGCAGATTCATTTTTGAGAAAAGAGGTTGATATTGAATGAATCTCCCGTATCAGTTCGCAGCCCCAGCCCAGGCGTACAGTAATCAAGCTCGGATCCGCGCAGGCTAGAACCCATAGTCCGGGAGCCCAGGCGAGTCCTTGTTCTCCCCAAGCCAGTTGAAGTGCAGTCAGTGCCTGCAGGTGCACCATCCACGCTCAAGACTCTCGTCCAAGCTTCCTCATCGTCCAAACCAGATTCATGGACCAAAGTGTACCGGCAGAACATAGCGTAGCGTAGCTAACGCCGTACAGTACATTGCACGTGCATATACCAAGCGATCTTCAAGGTCAGTGTTTCCCCCACGCGGTGCTGCCAGAAGTTTCAGACGGACTCGGTGACAGAAGCACAGCAGAAGTCAAGTGCTACAACCCAGATCAGAGGAGAACCAACGGTCTCATTGATCATTTGAAAAAGTCCGACTTCCTTTGGCCGGAGCAGGCCAATTTTGTACACTTTGGCGTCTCACGAGGTGGGATTGTGGTTTGTTGTCAAGGACCAGGAGGGGGTGACGTGCCCTTGAAAGTTGGCTCTTTCAGAAACATCCAAGCCGCTCCTGGTGGAGACTCCGAGACAGACTCGATGATTAACGTTGGGTAGAGATTGTGGATATTTATTTCACCGAAGCGTCGACCGTGTTCTGGTCTACGGAGTAGTAGTGGGTGGATCTTGAGCTTGAGCATTCGGGCGAACGCCACGAGAAGTGAAAGTTAAAGTGGGCACCATTTCTCACCGTCGAATTCACAGATTCCCACGGCCAGAGTAACGGTAACCCATAGCGTTGAGCCGGACACAACGACGGCCATTTCTCTTTCTCTTTGTAGCCTTGACTAAAAGTGATTATCAGAACATAACATCTTGGACCTTGACTGTGCCGCATTAGATGCTCTTCGCTGGCCATATCCAACTGGTAGAGAAGACGCCTCGCTGTCGCCATTATTGCTGGTGGAGAAGCTCATCTAGGTAAATTTATGATGCTTAAGAGCTAGGTCGGCTTACTTCATCTATTCCGTACTTCGTCTTATCCGAGAATTATTCCCACCACTTTCTCTCCCCAAATTCTCCCGAGTTTCCAAAACGCCCGGCTATCTGTTTTCTGTTTATTCTTGTATATTTTCTCGGACTTAGCGGACTCCTCTTTCACAAATTCCCTGGCCAAAATGGGACTCTTTCTCACTAGGTTTTCTATCGAATTTCCCAGCTGGGCAATACTGGTCATGCCAGTCCACTCCCTGGCCTGATGATGGTGGTCCAGTTCGAACAGCTCGTTTAAACCCGGCATCACTGGAGCACAGGGAAATGCTAGCGCAAACAAGGGGCAAGAATTGGCGCGAGTGCTGGCTGGCCTGTGTCGTTGTGGTGTGTGTTCATGTCCATGTCCATGTCGACATCCAAGGCTCCCAGTAGTGGGCCTCGGAAAACCGGTGTGTGAGCGAGCTTGGCGAACTAGAGACAAACTTTGAAGGGCTGGAAGCTTCATTGTGATATTCCCACGCCGAGGCAGTGATGGAGAGGAGGAGAGGACTCAGAGGAGGGGAATTCCCTGCCATTTTGATTTTCCATTCCCATGCCCAGTGTCAGTGACAGTGTCTGTGGGCGAGCCTAGATGGAGCAGTTCGCAGTCCGTGATGATGATAGTGGTGATAACAAAGCCCACAGACCACGATGTGGATAGGTTGATGTTGATGTTTGCTTGCTTTCAGCGATGACGGCAGAGTGCTTCTGTTTCTGCTGCTGCCGTTTCGATGCAGCTTCCACGCTGCTTCCATCTCGCTCGCTTCTCTACTTCTACTTCTACACAGTACTCCTTACGGTATGTCTGGCAGGTGCTGATGGTAAACGAATGCACCTGTCAGCGAACGAACCTCCCACAGATGACAGACAACAGACGACATCATGTACCGGTGTTCGTAGACACAGACCTCTTCAGGACTCTGACCACTGGCCACTCCACTGAACTCCACTGGAGGTTGACCCCTCATGGGCAGCGCTCAGCCTTCTGCTTTGTACAAGTTACGGGGGTTACCTCTGGCCCAGCGTCCCCTTCCCGCCCTGACACAAGCTCACGCACTAGCCAACTAGCCACGAGGAAGACTCTGGTACAGAGGGCCACAGAGGAGTTTGCCTCGGGATTGAGCCAAAAGCGAAGTGATAGACGCACAGTACCAAGTACTCGTGCTGTATCATGTATGGATAGGGATGGGCTATTGCAATCTGAATGAGAAGAACTCGGGAATGAAATCAAGCCTCCAGTGCCTGTTTGTTACCCAAAAGGGGGCATGCCATAGAACATAAAAACCTAGATAGCATGGGAATCTCGAAATAGAGATCTTTATATCTAACCCTGCCCTGTATCTCCGGAGTAGAAGTAATCATAGAGAGGTCACGTCACGCCTGTTCTCATCCGTCCATTTTCCCGCAATACTGTACTGTAGCAACGGAGTCCTCGCTCCCCCTTATTCCCGTTTTCTACCTACCCAGCACCGTACCGTACTTTGTGCTGCCGCTAGTCTGCGAGTAGTCTTCTTCTGCCACTGCCACTGCCACTGCCACTGATCTCCCTATCCGTATCGTCTAATCGATTAGCAGCGAAGCGCAGCGTCTATCGGACGTCCAGCTCCACTGTCCAGCCTTCTCCCGTGGTTGCTTTCTCCGTCGCCCCCCCAGGTCCTTCCCTTGCGGCCTTGCCCCCTCTCAACCCTCTCCTCCACCCCCGGCCGTCAGGGTTCCTTCAAAATTTTTCGCTAGTCGCTCGTCGCTAGTCCGACCCCGCAAACCTCGCTAACAACGCACCCCCTTTTCCCAACCTCCTCCTCCCCTCTACCTCTGCCTCTGCCTCTACCTCAGAGACCTTCCCTCCTCTTCCGTGCCGACCCTCGCGATCCACCTCATCGCAACCCTCCTCTCCCAACCCTTCCCCCGACCTCTCTCTTTTCCTTGGTAGGAAGGTGTTGGTCTGCAGATTTGTGTCCGTTCTCCGTACCGTATGTTGTTGCCTCCAAACTCTTCATCTACTTGCTCCCATCTCCCATCTCCCCTCTCCCGCCGCATTGCATTGGATGCGAGAGCGATACTGGATCCTGTTGCCCTCTCTTCGTTGCTGCGCTGACCGGTACCAGTACCTGCATTAAGGTGGCAGAATCTTCTCTTCCCCATTCTCCAAACGAGACTTCCCCTCGCTCCCCTCCACGTCCCAGTACGGATCCCAGCGACTGTACCCTACCAACACAGACAGTACCCAGCCCAGCCTACCCACGACTGTCCACTCAACTACCCATCCACATACTTCTACATCCTCCGGACGGTTGACGGTCTTACCCACCCTTCCCTTCCCTACCCACTCCCATCCTCCCATACTCCCACCTCTCTCGCTTTCTCTACCCACCCACCTGCTTTCTGCTCAACACCACACACACTACCTTCTCTTCCTCCACCTCCCCAGCCAAAACTGGCCCTGGAACTGGAACTGCAAGCAACTGCACCGCTCAACTGCACCTACCGACGCCTTGCTTCCTCTTGATGCCAAAAGCTACCCGAGCCTCTGTTCTCTTCTCTTTGCCCGCCATCGACTTCACTGCCGACGACGTATCCCCCGCGGGACCAACGATCTCCCTCCACTGGCGTATACTCGATCTAACCAAGAAAGCACAGTACAGGTCAAACTTCCTTCAAGGAACTTCCAAGCAGCACAAGCATACCTGCAGCTTTGCGTAACCAGTCTCTGTTCTGCCGTGGAGCTTCAATCGCAGCTTCAATTGCATCGCCGGTTTTTTATTTTCGGAAATCTTCTTTCTCATAACGACCGCTACGAGTTAAACGTCTGCTTTCCAAGTTGGAGGTTTTACGAAATCATCATTTTTGCGTTGTATCCATCATTTCTGTCTAGCACGATAAGACGCTTCACGATCAACGCCCACGCGCCTGGTCACTACGAGCCCTGCAGCATATTTTCCTTGATAACTTGATTGAACGAGACACGGTTAACGGGACGCCTTAGCGCAGTTGCTCAACCATCAATTCGTGCCGCTCTCTTCGGATTCACCCCCGAAGCCTGAACTTTAAGTTTACGAGATTCTCGTGAACCTTCCCTTCCCATTGTCCATCTCGGACTTGATCAATCAAACCGAAAAGCTGGATCTCCCGTCGATCTCTTCAGTGTCAACCCGGGGTCCCTCTGACGTGCCATACTACAATCATCACGCTGCGCAACGCCCATTGTATGTGAATGACAGGTTGCCCTCGCTGCCTTTGCCCCAGCCGCAACAGGCGTACTCATCGGGTACCTCGTCACCCCGGGTTGGTTCTCTGAGTTCACTTGGATCATCTTCAATACTCAACGGGAGCTCGCATTCTTCCTACACGACCGCATCGTCCTCGAACGGGCCAAAAACACCCTCTCCGACCATCCCATCTAACACTGGTCTTCCCCCTTCGTTATCCCAGACCAACTATAACAATACGTCACCTTCTGGCACTACATATCCCTACGGACAAGAGTATAACTCCAACATGAATCACGGTTCTCAGGATATGTACTATCCGTCACATATCTCAACTGGACAACCGCCTGCTCCGCAAACGGTAACATCAGGCGGTATGGGACACTACCCTCAGCAACACCAGCAACCCCCATTGTTGCAACCAGGTCCAGCGCAGTATTCACAGCCAGCCCCTGGTCAATACAGCCAGTATGGAGGATACTCTAATGGGTTGACATCTCCTCAATCAGCTGGCCACCAAGTTCCGGGTTCAATGGGCCAGGGAAATGTATTACCTCTTCCGGCAATGTCTTCGGCACAGATGCCTACTCAAGGTGGTTACGGGGCACAGCAAGGTTTTGATACTACTGGGCAAATCGCGCCTCCAGGAATGAAGCCACGAGTAACGGCGACGTTATGGGAAGATGAGGGCAGTTTGTGTTTCCAAGTTGAAGCCAAAGGGGTTTGTGTTGCAAGAAGAGAAGGTGAATATAAAATTCCTCAGAAATCCGTGAAGCGTAGCTAATCAGGTGCTTGGCAGACAACCACATGATAAATGGGACCAAACTTTTGAACGTGGCTGGAATGACTCGAGGACGACGAGACGGAATTCTAAAGAGCGAGAAGTTGAGGCATGTGGTGAAGATTGGGCCAATGCACCTGAAGGGCGTTTGGTAGGGACTTAGAGAACACTCTCTAAATGTTACCATAAACTAATTGAGTCACAGGATCCCATTTGAGCGCGCATTGGACTTTGCAAACAAGGAGAAAATTACTGAGTTATTATATCCCCTTTTTGTCCACAACATCGGGGCGCTGTTGTACCATCCTACAAACCAGAGTCGCACAAACGCAGTCATGGCCGCAGCTGAGCGTCGGAAGCAAGAGCAGAGCCAAGTGAGGAACTCGCAAGCTCCAGGGCTTCCATCTCTGCATCAGCATCACCACCATTCTATGAATAATTCTATTGGTGGCCATCTCCCTTCTGGGCCACAGCATTCCCTTGCCCCACACCCTAGTACTGTCGGTCGTCCTGGCTCAGACAGAGCACACACATTTCCAACGCCACCTACTAGTGCTTCCAGTGTCATGGGTAACATGGGAAGCTCGGATGGAAATTTCCATTGGGGACCGCAAAGTGGATTGCCCAGCGCCCAAAGTACAAACCCTCTGTCAATTGACACCGGTTTGAGTAATACTCGCTCAATGCCAACAACTCCAGCGACAACTCCTCCTGGAACCTCAATTCAGAGTATGCAACAATATCAGCAAGGCTCACAGTCCTATGATGCCTCAAGACAGATGTATTCGGGCCCACCTTCTCAGCAAAATGTGTACCCCCAGCCTACCAATGGCCAGCAAAACATGTCTCGTTACTCGCAATCAAACAACTACATCAAGAATGAGATGGGTCCCCCATTAGCGAGAGCGCCTGGTTCGGAATCGGACCATCACGAAGCCAAGGAGTCGAATGGGATGCTCCACCACCCGCAGAGCCAGCAGCAGGTTGGCCATAGTCAAGGTGAGGAAGAGGCCGAACATGAAGCAGAATATACCCATGATCAAGCCAGCAACTACGACGCAGCTCGTGCGTCTTATAACTACACAAATGGTCCCCCAGTCGGGTCACTAACTGGCGAGCACCCTCATCTTTCCCCCGAAATGACGGAATCTCCCAATCATCCAGCTTCTGGTCGCGCAACCCCAAGAACTGCATCCGCTCCTCAGTCATACTACCCCCAACAGGCTCAGCCAGGCGGCTATCAAACCCCCCCGCGGGTTGCTCAGCAACCCCCCTCAAGTAATCTGTATAATGTAATTAGCAGCGAGCGTGGGACAGCAGGTGGAAGCACCAATAATGATGTGTATGGGACCCAGACTGATTTGGGCAACTCAATTAGCAATGGTTATACCGCACAGCAGCCCATCATGAACGGTGCTCCCGCGACGAACAAACGTGGGCGGGATGATGACGATGAAGGACGGCCATCAAGTCGAGGTCCCGGTGGAGACGTCAACGATCTGAAAAGACGTAAGACTATTCGTGAGGGTTCGGTGTCTGGACCAACTTACGATGCAAATGCGCCGTTGAACCGGTCTCGATCCGTCATCACCCAAAGACGGCGGTAACCTTTGCTCGATCTCCGATCAGAAAACTATGCACCTCCTCCTGTCACCCTGGTCACGATAATGAATTCCTTTGAAACTGTCTGTCTGTGCGTGGCCGATGGCCTTAGAACATGCTTTCAACCTTCACACTCATTACACAAAAATTTCCTTCGACTCAACGCACCATTGTTCTTGTATCGGCCGAAAACACATATCCGGCACATTTGTTCGGCTTTCGAATAACGGACGAGTTACGATATTGACTTTTTAAACAACTCCGTATGACTATGCATATGGTTGATGAATTTACGCTTTGCAATGGGCAACGTGGCAACGGGAGGACTTTAATCGACGAGATGACTCCAAAGATGATGCATGCAGCAAGCAAATCCTAGGTTTTTTTTTTTCGGAGAAAAAAAAAGGAAACATTCGCCTGCTTATGAACCTAGGCGCGACGGACGATAATTATGGGGCTTTTCCAAGGATCAAGGGCCTTTGATAATCTTTCTGTCCAGACATTTGTTCTGATTTTCTTTTCACAAGCCTTTTTTTCTTTTCTTTTGTTGAGAACCGGCGGAAAGAGTATGTGTGGCTAGGGCTGGCTTTTCTGGCTTTGGACTAACGACGATGATAACGATTTTTCTTTTTCTTGATGTTTTCCTTTTTTTTTCTCGCCTTTTTTCTCTGGCTGGCTGGCTTGTAAGAAAAAAAACCTTGCCTTTTACCTTTTTACATGGAAATTTCTGCTTGCTTCATAGGGGGGCTGGGGGCTTCGGTTTGGAACACTGGTATTTGGTTTGGTTTTCACGAACCAACTTGACATAACAACTTTTTTCTTCCGTTCTGAACCCTCATGACGGGGGGTTTCGTCTGTTTTTTTCTCTTTTAATGTAAATCCAACGGATGACTTTACGAGAGAAAAACCAATCAAAAAGCTTTTATTACTTGTGTGTGTTCAGGCATCTACTGCATCTACTGTTTGCTTGATGCTGTTTGGGTATGCGTGCATGAAAAGGACGGTGGTGAGAGGTAGCGGGAGGGGATCTTTTGATAGCGAGGCAAGGGATGTCTTGCTGAGGGGTCGGTGTGTGGTTGGGAGTGTTCTTTTTTTTCTTTTTTGGCCTGGTTATTGATGGGGGTGGTGTGGATGATGAGAGATGATGGGATGGATTTTATGTTGGGATATAGTATGCATATAGGATATAGATTTATATTCATTATTATAATCTTTTTGATGTGCGGTTGATTAGTTGAGGGATATGGAGCTTTTTTTGTTGGTTTGGTCTTGTGGTTTTGAACAATGCCTTTGGTTTCGGTGGGGGTAATGTGGTATTGTAAATGTTTGATGTTTGTGCACTCGCTTTATATTGGTGTAGCTTTGTTTTTGGGGTGTACAGTTATAGTGTTAGTTAGGTTTTTGGTTGATGGATTGTCTCTATTTTGATCAAGATGGGATGGGTGGTTGTGGTAGTGTGAAGGTGGGTTTGGCTTGTAGGAATAGTCCAACTATAAGCTGTGCTAAGCGAGGGAGGGGGAGAGGGGGTAGAAGCTTGTGGTGTTGATTGTATATTGAGATACTACCTGCCAGTCCAAGGTCGTGTCTAGCCGTTTTGGCACTTGTATCGCTTATGCTCAATATACCAAAACCTTTAAGTGATTCCATCAGGTTTACCTAAGGTTACTCTACAGCCTTCAATCACGTGTTCTCGTGACGAATTGACGGGTAAACAGCTACGCGCCTTACTTGACCTTCTTTTCCACAACACTCATTCACAGAGCTGACGCTGTCAATCATACAACCCCACAATCCCATACATACACAAGCAGGATGCCATATCGCGTCAAACGAGAGGCCCCGGCCATGGAGTCACCTACTAGTAGGAAGCGCGCAAGACCTGCGCAAGAAGCAGTCGAGGATACGGACGAGGAGCATATCAAGGAGTTGCACGAGTTGATTCTGCAGCAGGGTATCTTATCTAGTAAGCCCTCCCTTTGCATACACGCTCACAATTGTAGACCCTTCTCTGACTCTGGTAGCATTGTCCCCAGCTGCTATAACGCGAATTGCGAACCATCCGAATGCCGCGAGTATTTACGGCCAACAGGTCCATAAACGAGTCACGACGTATATCAGGAAAAGATCCGAACGAAGAAAGCGTGGCGATCCATCTCTTAGCGACATGATCAATGGATACATGGCTGAAATATCGGTGCTGGCTCAGCTATCTGACGGTCTTCTCTGGGCTACTTCCTTTCTTTGGACCTTAGTAAAATGGTCTACACATTACCGCCAGACCGTTTATACTTTGAGGGACCGGAAGAAGACACAACAATATTTCCACGGTCAGATGAGTTCTTGGTTTCGATATTGAGAAAACTCGGACCACAGTCCCTGGATAAACCCATGGACGCATACGGCCCCAAATCATTGCGTGCCAACCTTTCGGAATTAGAAGGGCGAAGAGGCCCGCTCGACAACCACCCGAAAAGTAAGGCGTATTATCCCAGAACAATCGGACTCGCACTGTCATGGCTCAATCCATCCGACTTTCCGCAAAAGGAACACGACGTCGCGAGACAGGAAATTATAACGCTGAATAAATTTGCGAAGATAGAGCTGCAAATGGCTAAAGATGTGCAAAACAAGTATGAGCAAAACCGTGATATACAAGAAGCCTTGGGTACGTTGAGTGAAGGCTTGGCAGATTTGGTACCCAAAATCAGACATCTCAGTTATCTTGATGGTGGCCTGATGCTCGCCTTTGACCTTATCCAGTTTCTAGACCGACAATTGTTCTTCTATTGCGAGCCCGGAGTTAAAGGCATGAGAAGGAGTGGACTCGATGAACGCGCCGATGAATAGCTTGAAGACATCGCGAAGAGCATACATGCAGATAATCCTCGATTCAACCCGAAGAAAGAGGCGGAAATGTTGCAGGAACAAATTGAATATCTTTCTGAACTTGGAATCGAGTCTTACTTCCCCCAGTCATTCAAACTCCTTCAAACTTACTCGCCAGAATTTGGAAAACAATATGCGCTCGAAATGTTCGAAATGATCAAGAAAAGGATCGAGGAGAGCAAAGCCGCTGTGGGAATTATTATTATTATTATTATTCCTTTTAACGTGCTGTGTGAGTCTGAGACTATAGTAGCACGGCTGGGGGTTTCCCTCCAACAGATGAATAAAGCTGTACTAAATACAAGTTTGAGAAGGGGGTTATGGTGAATACAGTTCTTGGGTTGTTGGAAGCAGCTAGGCTTCTGGTTATGACAGAAGAAAAGTTGTTATGCTGTAGTACGCCCCCGCGTTTCACGCCCTGTGGGAAGAAGATATGCACAATGCACATATGACTCCAAAGTACCTATCGCTGACTGGCTAAGCAAATTGATGGTTGAGATTATTCCTGAAATTAAGGCTCTGGGCAAAAAGCAACACGGAGAATGTCTTGCAGGTGAACTTCTTCTCTACCTAGGGATACACTCTTTCGTGCCTATGTTCGATAAAGATGGAAACCCTTGCAACTATGGAAAGAGGGATTCGGATGCGCCTGCTGATGAAGCCCTGGTGGAATTGATCACTGCTGTGAACGACAGCGAAAACATATATCACGACATCCCGTGGGAGACGAAGAAAGCGGATTGGCTTCAGACGATCCTCAGTGGCAAGACGCAGTTGAGCACAATGGGTGTTGATGGTTATTTCGAGAAATCTGAGTGTCTACTTAGAGCATAGACCTACTCGTACATATCGGAAAGGAGATTGTAACATATGTAGTAATAATGAAGATACTTTTGCTGAGCAATAAAATACTTTATCAGTAATAAATCAAAATTCTTCCCATCCCATTTAGCACTTTATGGTTCCCATTTTCCTGTGATGGTATGCCTCTAGGTTCATTCGTAGATTTAGCTAGTAGGAGCCTCTGGTTCATACAATGCCGTGGTATCCCTTACTCCATCACTGACACAAACCTGTAAGCAGAAATACCTCATCAGATTTGGCCTTAGTACTCTCGCCAATCAAAACTGGCAGAAAATAATCAAAACTGGCAAAAACTGATCAAAACTGGTAGAACGCAACCTGCCAAACCTGATTAGGCGACTCTGCCTACCGGTTTGTGACTCCACTTTGCTACCCTAGCATTTTTGTTAACATCAATTTACTACAGTACTGGTACTAGGCTTCTTGGCAACATGACTTACAAGTCATTTTGCGTCAGGCACATTTACCCCTCTATTCACTTTCGCAACACCAAGAAGTAGGCGAGTGGGTATACCAAAGCCCCCTTTTGCTTCACTTACAGCGAGAATGAGAGACGTGTCCATTTACCAATCGTCTTAACTTCTTTTTCCAGTTTTCCTATCATCAATCTTGGAATGAGAGAGAGCAACTCGAGATAAGCCACTGCTGGATCTTTTACAAATCTGTTCCAATTTCCCGCTAAACAAGCGAATCAGAGACATTTGGTCCATGCAGAGCTAGGGTTATACAGGGTTTACCCCACAGTGTTAAGCTTTAACTGCACGCTATCCAAAGTTTAAACATACTTTTTGGTATTTACATAAAGTTTCCATAAAGTTTGTTTTCTACCTAAGTCAATGTTTAAATAATGCGGGTGGAGTCGAAAGGATTTGCACTTCGAGTGTGTGTGTTTTCTCCGTCTTTGCTTCTGTTTTGAAGCATTTGTGAACTGTAAATTAACTGCAATGATACCTTTACCACTGCTATTTGCAGTGCCGCTTGTTGCAGCTCAATTCCCATCGAACACATGTCCAACGGTATCTTTCTCTGGCTGCGAGGCGGCAGTAGGTAACCCAATTATAGGCTTAACCTTCTACTGTACCTAACAAAAGGCGTGTAGTGCAATATTTTGTCTGAAACTCTCGGATCCTCAGTCCATTTCCCAGCCAACAACTCCGACTTCATCGTCTGGGACGCAAAACAGCAAGAAGTAGTATCCGCCTGCCGAGTAACCCCCACAACATCCGAACAAGTCTCGCAGATCCTCACCGTTCTGACCGGACATTGGTGTCGTTTTGCCGTCAAGAGTGGTGGTCATGCAAGAAATGCTGACGATTCGGTCTCGGCGGGGGGTGTGACGATCGATCTCGTTGAGATGAAGTCTGTGGAACTCCTGGAAGACAATACAAAGGCAACAGTGGGAGCGGGTCATACTCTTGGATCGCTGTATACCAGTCTCGAGGCTCACAATTTGATGTTTGTTGGAGGGAGGGTCTTTGATGTGGGCACGGGCGGTTACTTGCTGGGAGGAGGACTGTCTAATTGGGCTCCGGTCTATGGTTTTGGTACTGATAACGTGTTTGAATTCGAGGTGAGTCGTTTATTGAGGCTAACTCAAGAACTCCTTGCTAACGAGCTACATTGTAGCTTGTTCTCCCAAACGGAACTTTGACCAAAGTCAACGATGTCTCGCAACCTGACCTCTATTTTGCCCTTCGTGGTGGCATGAACAATTTCGGCATCGTGACAAAGTTCACGGTTAGAGTCTTTCCCCAGGGACAGTTTTTGTATGGCAACGTAATGGGGCCACTTTTGGACAGCAGAGATGCGGTGACTGAAGAGGCCTTCAAACTTACCACTGAGTGGAAGAACGACACCAAAATGACGTTCTCATACGGCTACAGGTACAATGCATCAATGGACCAGTTCTCCCTGTACTTCACAGAAACTTACACGGATCCGATTATGGAACCGGGACCTTTCCGAGGTCTCAATGCTATTCCGGGAGCTGACAGGTCGGGATTGCGGATTGATGTAGCAAGTAGCTTCGCTGCAGACGGGGCAAGAGGTCGACCACCTGGAGCGCGGTAAGTATCCGAAATAGTATTAAAGTCCAAGATGTAAAATGCTGATGCACAACCCAGGAACTTGTATGCCACAATGACGTATTATCCATCCGCAGAGTTAGACAGAGGCATCCAAGACATCTACGGCGAGGAAGTTCGCTCAGTGAGAGATGCCACGGGCTTGTCGCCCAACCTGATCTTCCAGCCGGTGTTTGAAGCCCAAATCCGGTCTTGCAAGGAACGTGGAGGCAACGCTCTTGGAATCGAAGCTGATGGACCTCTTTCTAGTATTACATTTTTCATCCTTTCAAACTTCGTTCCAAAGCTAACGAGTTCTAGTTGCCTTGCTCACCATCGGGTGGTCGCAGCAGAAGGACGACCCTTCGATATACGCCCTTGCAAAGCGCTGGGTTGACCGAACGAAAGCCCTGACTGTAGCAGCTGGGAAAGACCATCCTTGGCTATACATCAATTATGCGAGTCAGCAGCAAGATCCTTTCGCTGGGTATGGAGAGAAGAACCTTGATCGCCTGAGGAAGGTTCATCAAGATGTCGATCCAATGGGTATCTTCGGTTCGAGGGGACTTTGTAGAGTATATTTCAAACTTCTCTGAAATAGTATCTAGAGTAGATCAGCACTCGGGCCCATGTACCGTACATATAATTGTGGCTCTGAAGCTGTCATGGTCATAATCAAAAGTGTATTGAGACCTTCGATGGCAGAACCGAGATTTTGTTTATTCGGGTCAGCGAAAAAGATTAGTAGAGTAGAGTCGAGTAGGAGCACCTACTCAACCCTACTCTAACCGACTCGCCAAGAGTTGAGTAGGTTAGAGTACTACTTAAGTAGTACGGAGTAACTCGGACCGAGGCTCCGTAGCGCGCCCAGGGGGTTCCGGCTTGTCGGTCCACCTATTCGGACTTAGCCGACTACCCCTATTCTAAGTATAAGCGAATAGCGGTAGCTATACTGTTTTATCTATTTTAGCTAGAAGATCTTTACAAATACCTACTAAAAGTGCGGCTAGAGAGATGCTCTTTAGCTAAGGAGCTAATATTATTTGCCGTAATAGGAACAGGTTATCTAAGGAGTCTTTAGAAATAATAATAAGCCTTAAAAGCTAGGGTTATAACGCGGGAAAGGAGGCAGAAGAGTAAATAACAGGGCTACTATTCGAGGATAATTACTTTATACTTAAGTTGCTCTGTATAGTAAAACTACTTGAGTATTACTCAAGTAGTTCTTTCTTTCGCTGATTCGGGTAAAATTTTCTTCAAAAAAGCTTTCACCTCAACCCTGGACTCGCTTAAGGAAATGCTTCTAGCAGCATCCGAACTATTGCGGGGCCATCATGGTAACCTGCCGTTTGCTTCAACGGAACCAGCTCGATGGCAAAGTGGGTGTTTTGATTAAGACAAATCTGCTCTATCACCGCTGCGATCAAAAATCGAGGTCCAGATTCAGATGGTTTAAACATTATCGCCATACATATACAACTTTGCTTGCTTCTACCTCACTAACCTCCTCAATATTATCAGCCCCAAGTTTTCATGAAATCATTGCTAATCCCATTCCCCAAAACTCCAAATATCCGTCTCCAGCGCCGAAAGAATATTGTAACCCACCTCGCCCCATTCCCCAAAACCCCATTCCAAATAAAACCTCCAAATACCAACTCCGAATCTCTTTACTATCGCTTTCCTCTCATGTCATCAGCCCCCTCAATCAACACGATAAACCAGAAAGCTCGCCCTCCCCCCGAAATCCCCCTCCGCACCCCCGGGAATCTCCAACACCCCCTCCATCAGCCTCGTCCTCTCAACCTCCCCCACCGCACTCTGAACACAAGCCAACAACCACCTATCAACCTTCTTCTCATCCCCTCCCCCCATCTCTTCCGGTACAGGTACAACCTTCTTTTCCCTCCTCTTAATCTTGACCCTGCCTCCCTTACTGGGTGAACGTTCTGGTTTTGAATGAGATGTAGATGTATACACCAACCCCACCATGACACCCTCAAGCTCCGCATCATCTGACATCCGCCCCAGATTCAGGGTTCGAATGCCGTTCTGTCGCTCCATGATGAAGTCTATGAGCAGTGTGGAGATATGTGGCCATGCCGAGGGAGGGATTCCAGAGGGCTTGGTGGATGGAGGAGAGGGGAGTTGGAGGAGTGCTTGAGGGATGTTGAAATTGGGTGATGGTAATAGGGAAGAGGAAATTGGTTGGGCGTTGGGAGATGTGAAATGGCATTGGTGGAAGGTTCCATGGGAGGCTTGTGGGAATGAGAGGGGTTCGAGAGATGAATGGGTTGAGGGTGTGTTATCTGGGACTGTGAAGGTGTTAGTTTTGGATGAGAGATTGCTTAGGATCGCAGGGTCGGAATGATGGGATGAACGCCTGATGGTACGATTAATGCTTAGAAGATAGAAAAACTACAAGAACAAAACTAAGTGTTGTGGGCTCGGAATATTTCAAATAATCAAGGTTGTCCGTATTTGGTGATTCAACAGGAAAATTGCAATACATCAAAACAGAATTCTACGACATACAATCGAACGCAACAGATCAAAACCAAAAACCAAATTGGTTCCCCAGTCCGAAGAAAGAAACCCATCTGATGATAAACAAACAGGAATTATCAGAACTTACGCGAATGCAGCGGACTCGACGATACAGCCGTCGCCACCAATGCTATTGAATAAACATGTTGCATTTTCAACAAAGTCTAATCAGGAGATCCGACAAGACGAAAGAAAAAAATTAAACACAAACTTCAGAAGCTCGTGGGTGAAAGGAAAAAGAGAAAACAAAACAAGTTTTGCCAATAAGAAAGAAGCAAAAAGACCAGGGGTATTTCAAAAGAGCAGAACCCCACGTTTATGTCCCAGGCTGCTGGAATTCAGATGCTCTACCCCGGACCACGTTTGTCAGGTCCGAGTGTTTGCAAAGGCTGAATAGCATGATAGCGTCGATCAGATAGCATGCGTTCCCCAGCGTTCGATAGATTCTGTGTGGGCGTTTGAGGCGTGATATGTTTTAGCTGGCGCCCGAGTTTGGTGTGGAGCTTATGGTGGTGCGGTATGATGAGCTCTGTGTGGGAAAAGAGGGGGTTGTGGCGCAAACGAAGGAAAAGAATACGCACTACTGGGTAGGGGTTTCCACTTTACGGTACAGTATGATGGACATGGCACAGGATTCCCAAGATCTGCATGTGTGATGATGGGGAAAACACCTCGATAAGTTTCATGTTTCCTGTCCCTCACTCGCCAAACGAGGAAATATCAGATACTGTAACTCATTAATAATAGTAGAGTAGCAGCTATCTTCGACTTCAGCCTTAGAACGGTGCGCGTGCTATTGTTGGCCCAAATCAAGTAAAGATCCGTGGAAGGGAGTTCCAGCCGCCCCTTTTTTTTGCCGAATCGTGTTCACACAGACTATTGAAACTCGGTTCATGAACAAGGTTATCCTCATCCTAAGAATGAAGCCCAAGAACATGGAAAGTACACGGATAGACAGGTCGACAGACAGGACATGCTAACTTCCACAGCTCCTGCCAGGGAATTCATCTAGAAAATCTGGATTAACTATTTGATGCAAATCGAGGTCTTCCACGTGCACAAACGTAAACATGATCTCATTTGTTTTGCCAGCTCCCTAGCTCCAAAGCCAAATCACAACGCCAGATATCAATAAGGAAACATTCAATGAGCCTTCAGCCACGCCAACATATGGTCAAAAGCTTCCGCTTGAGCGGCCTTGATCATAGCATCCTCGTACTCACCTACTATTCCGAATCCATGAGGTACGCCTGAATATGTCTTGAATTCGCATTCGACGTTGTTCTCCTTCAGGTGCTTTTCTCCGTATTCTTTGATGTCATCGGGAAACAATTGATCGTTTTCAACGCAAACGAAAGCGACTGGAACCTTCGTTCCCTCGAAATCCTCTCTTGTCACTAAAGTCGCATGGGCAATAACTCCGGCTTTGATAAACGGTCCATGGTTTTTGGCAATGGCAGCCTCCTCGTCAGTGACTGGCTGCTGTCCCAATGCTCCCGCAATTGCAGATGCAATAGCTGTATCAGGCTTGTCGGGTTTCTCACCAGCCAGCAATAATGTCATTCTAGCACCAAAACAATAACCAGCACAGTATATGCCGCCGCCATTTGCAACAGCGTCCGCAAACTCATCCTTAGCCGCCTCAATCACTTTGTGGATCGCCGGCAGAACTTTCTCTGGGGTTTGTCTTGCCAACCACATATCAATAAGGAAGCTCTTGGCTGTTTCCGCCGCTCGTAATTTGATTTGCTCAATCAGCGACGGGTCTTTCTCTTCGGAATAGGTTGCTGAACCGGGTAATGGATCATCACCAAACATATCGGGTAGAACAACTAAGAAGCCTTCTCTCGCATAGATGTCGGCTTGTATCTGGTTATTCTTGGAATGTAGACCCGTTGCGCCCGTAAGGAAAAGTAGTAGTTTCGATGGAGCGTGAGGATAGTCGGCAGGTTTCGAAATATAAACATCCACGCCCCCCAATTGTGACATCTCACCAGAAGGACCTTTTCCAGATGCTGGTCCAAGTCAGCACATGCTATCTGCCGTTATGGAGCTGGTAGCCCTTTGAGCTTCTACTCACGCGTCGGGCGATCCGTGACACAGTGTTCCTATGGTCTGTCAGTATAGTGCCAGCGACCTTGAAGGATTAGCATACTCCTAGGCTTGCACCGCTCTGAGCGGGGGTATCTCCAGGTACTAAACTAGCTGGCGCTGGCTCGGGAACTGGAGAGGCTGTCTCGGCGGCATCGCTTTCTGGCGCCTTGGTGGCAACTTCAGGGTCTGCCATGGTACGAGTATTGTGGTATGAAGCTATCAATATGGAGTCAGATGCAGCGGCGAATACTTGCTTGTCGTCGAGGAAGCAAGGTACTTGTATGTGGTAGTTGTAAGACGCTACGTAATTCTGAAGCTTCACAATGCGAGAGCAACCTTGAAGGCGGGGGTGCCGGTTTACTAAGTAGTGGGGGGAATTCAATATCCACACACCTATAACAAAAGAGAATAAAAAGATCCTTCAAATTGTTTCAATAATTATTCGCAGATTTACGGCTTAGCACAATTAAGTATTACAGAAATTACACTTTTTTTTTAGAGATCTTTATTGAAAGTTAATCATTGGTCTCTAAAGAGCCCCTCTTCCGGTTGTAAGCATAAGTCTTCTCGATATCATGGCAAGTCGATCGGGGTACGGAAAGCACACTTGAAAGGATAAACTTGAATCTATCAAAGTGTTAAAGTAAGTAAATCTATAAATAGAATCAATCACAAGAGAATAGAATCAATCACAAGAGAGGAAGAAATACCTTGTCGAAGTTCCATACACCGCTTTTTGCATAAATATCATTCTTGAGCACCTCAAGAACCTCTTCCTTGGAGCTCGCAATTGCAATCATAGCACTTCCCTTCATTTTCAGGCCCTCTCCTTCCTTTGGAAAATCTTCAAGGAACGCACCTATTCAAGCAGTTCTTAGTGTTGCTCCCTCATCACTGGTGCTGTCTTTGGACTTACCACCCATCTTCCAGAATCCAGACTCGACGCCAGCTTTCAATCCTGCAAAGTGTGTTCTATATGTCTTTCAGCCAATATATCGTCGGTTAAGGACGGGGCAACAAACGGTCTGACTTCCATTCTCTTCTCCAATAAGCCCTCGTGATCAGGAAGGATGACCAGCCATTCAAACTTGCCAGCTGGAGTTGAGGATGCCATGGTTCTTCTGATACTTTGAAATCGACACTGGAGGATCGATGGACGGCGATTGATGTTTCTGATGAGTAGTTGAGGACGGAAGAAAGTTGTGGTTGAGGACATTGTTGAGAGGTGGAAAGATGGGGAGGGTGTGTGGTTCTACGAGACCAAGTGTGGGGTTAATCCCGGGGTCATGGTTACGGCAGGTGCCATTGGGTTTTTCGATTCATGGGTGACACCCGTCATACGTAAATGGAAAACCTGATCAGAAAGAACTCATATCAATTGGTGATTTATCGGGGTCCTATTTCGTATCCTGATATGTTATCCAGCAAGTCTGATTAAAAGTATGTGTGAAGGACAACCCGATTGTGCAAACCTGCATGCCCCACATTCCGCCAAGCAGCCTTGAATTTGAACTTCCTAGTCATTTTAATACAGTAGTCGACTTACAGGAGATATACACGAAGTAAGAAGAAATACATAAATGCCAAGAGTTGGAGAGCAATGAGAAAGGACTGAAGTGATTGAGATGTTGCTCAAGTTGGGGAGCTTTACCTGTCAAAGATCTCGCTTAGTACTGCAACACTTTCACCTTTATTAACGTAGTGATCTAGTGGACAAGATGAGTGGCAGAGGTTGACTTTCCTTATATCAAACTAAGCTGATTGAAAAAACTTAATTCTTTTTTATAGATATCTTAAGACATTATAGGACCTTTACTAACAATATTTAATTACATTAAACGCCCAAAATGATAGAATAGTTTATAGAGTTAGACTAAGCCACGCTGGTAGGAAAAAGATTTCTGCTACTTGCCGGTGTTGCAACAAACTACTTAATAACTCGAGTACTACTTAGAGGCACTCTGAGTTGAGTTGAGTCAGTACTCGAGTAGTTACTATAAATAGTAAGCCTTAGCTTTTTAAAAGTGATTACTACCAAAAGGCTCTCTTTTGAGAGCGTTTTCCTGGTCCGTATAATAATATTAGACCTTAGCTAAATAACCGTTCACTAGAAGTACTTGTCACAAGATATCTAGCTCTTATACGCTTAGTTATTACGCCGCTTAGCATCGTCGATCAAATTATGTATTAGAGGATACGGGGATGCTCACAATGTTAAGAAGGGTCTGTCATCTCCCTATTTCGAGAGGGATTCCGAGCCCAGGTGAAATGGCGTATCGTATCCTATTAGAATACGTGTAGTCTGAAATACAGGATTGAAAAAACATCTTTACCTAGTCAACTAACAAGAAAGACGAGAAACCTTTAAAGTAGTTCTATCCTCTAATGTTGTAGGGCTCGAATGGCAACTAAGCGAAGGCAAAACTAAGGAAAATTGGACGCAATGCATTCTTGATTAGTCAAATTTGGTAGTTTTTTTTAGCGCCGCCAGAACGCTTACGCATTATAGATATATGGCCGTCGTACTGGTTGGTGACACCTGGGTAAGCCCGACCATAGACTTCTTCTCAGTAGTCCAAATCTGACAGACAGGCACAAATACTGGGCCACCTGAGAGCTAAGGGAGACCACTCGTATGGAGGCAAGACTTGTGAAGAATTAGGGAGCCTCACTAACCCCGCATCACCGAAGGCCAATATGCAGATAAGGATGGGCAAGAGTACAGCCTCCTTGGCAAGGTTGACGATGAACGTGGCCCTGGTGATGATGATTCTGTAGGGTGATACTACATTTCTATCGTCTTGATTGGCCGCTTCGAGGAAGTATAGTGATGCCACATTTGTATCGTCTTGATTGGCTGCGTCGGTGAAGCAGAGAGATGGTGTAGCTCATTTAAATGGTTCGCAAAAATGCGAACACCCCTCACAACCACCCTTGAGTACACGTTCATTCACAGGAATGCGCCAATCAAGACGACACCATCAGACAAGGCAAATTGTTCCATATCAGGGCCGCCGTGTGAGTTCTTGGAGCGGAAACTCGAAAGTATCAGACAATTCTCTCATGTCCGTGAATTCTCTCTGTTCCATACTTTCTTACTCATACAAATACAATCGTAAAAATGTTGTCTGCTGAAGCATTTATCGCTCTAATCACATTATTTATAATGTGTGCACCAGCCGTGCTATACATTTCAAAGCTGATGTGCCGATCTCCAGAACCCCAAGGTAGAACTGCACCACAGCTTCGTCTTCCAAAATCTGCATCTCTCTAACTATCTACAGTTGCAGAGCTTGAATCCGGAATTGAAATGCCACAATTCCCAACTAATCGCCTACACCACTTTGATCAACGTATCCCTCACATAGAATTGTACAATATATGTTATGAGGTACGAATTTCAACTTAATCCGTGGTAGATGTCATATCTAATCCATTACAGCTTCCTGCCTAGTAAACAGAGATGACACCCAGGACTTGTAGGCCTATAGCAAGGATATGAAACGGGGAATTGAGATAATATGCGTGGAAGAAAGTGGGTGCTTTAGAACGAAAACACGACTTTCGCTTATGGCTGGTGGATTGGAAACTTATACACTTGAGTGATGGGACATAGCGTGTACCTAGAGAAACCATGGGGATATCTTGAACGTGCTGTACATATACAGCGATTATTATGTTGGGACTTAGGCTAAAACAAAAATTAATTTTTCTTTAACTGTTTAAGGTGGGTTTCTGTCATTTTTGCAAACCCATGCCACATTGTAAGATCAATACCACATATACTTGATGAACGCTTGGCAAACCCTGATATATCAAATAGTGTAGTCGAATACTGTTGCGACATATTGCACTCGCCTAATCATATATTGGCGTAGACCAAACTTGTACAAGTACCATAAGTACTCACAAATATTTGGTTCAGAACACCGTCAACTATTATACCATTTCTTCACTTGTTTATTTCTCTCTGCTCCATATCCTCAAAGTTCGTGGTCGTCCCCTTAGACTCATTGTCAACACGCAGGTTTCTCTGAGACCTCCCATCCCAAATATACTTACAACGGAAAACGCCCCGTGCTTCAGAATCTACTTATTTGAACTTAGCACTTGGCACGAAATGCCGAAAGCCCCAAGCAAATGGACCTCTGGTAAGGCTAAAGCTCCTCGATCAAGTCCAATCTTTGTACCAGAAGGCCGAAAGTGAGTACTATTGCTCAGACGAGTCTTCTTACAAATCTAAGTACCTTGGACGATAGACAGCTATATTGAGAAGTATGTAAACCCCATATCTTATACTTGTAATGAGCATCACTTAAACTACCTAATTCTCTCCAGAACCTTATTTCATAGGTCAAAGTGGGAGGTCTATGGGGTTTCGCAGCAGATAAACCAGGTTCCCTAAGCACTCGCATCCGCTGTGTCCCATCCAACTCCTTATTCAGAAAGCTTCATCTAGTAGTCCAGATCGCTTTCCAATGGTCCGACTCATATTCATATGAATGGACGGTCTCCAAAGTAGTGAAGAAAGGAGCGAGGTAAGTCTCCTTCCTGCTAATACATTTTAGACTTGGAATTCATCTTACGAGCTGCTCTAAGCTAATCCGGTAACCAAACCTGGTGAGGATTTGCTATTGCTTAAGCCTGGTTGCGTTTCCATCGACAAGATATAGGGATATGAATCGTAGTCCTCACGTTCTTTCCTGTCTTCAGTGGACGAGAATCCCATCCAGGAAGATGGAGAAGCCCTCCTGGATACAGAGGCCAGAAAGTTCTTGATAAGCGGTCCGCTACAACAGAGCGATTCCAAATACACCCTCGCAGCTGTCTACAATAACAAAGTTAAGGCTTACAGAGGAGGCGTGGGTATCTAATACACGAAGGGCCGTGTGTGAAGGTGAAAATAAGAGTGAATAGCAGTTCCGACCAGTCCTAGTAACCTCACTTCACCTTGCCCCCACACAAGTTAATTTTAAACGCGCTAGATAAGCAACTACCTGGCAACAAAATCAAGACATAATTTTAGTCCTTACTTTATGTGAGAGGCCAGACCTCGAATAGCTCAAAGGTGTGGTTTCGAATATTCAATTAAGAAGTGCGTGAAGACTACATACATGCGAGCTCTTCCTCTATATATAGAGAGGAAGAGCTTCCTGAATATTCCAAGAAACTTGCAAGAAACTTGAATGACGAATACATGATGTCAGAAGAACAAAACAAGAAAGTGTGGAAAAGTAGAAACCTGTTTGGCAGTGGGGTAATGGCCAGTGGGTGACAGTTTTTGATTTAGTGAATAAGGGTTCGCTTAGCGAAGTTGCGGGTGTACCCTTCCGTAGATAGACAAATACCTAAGGAGTGCGAAGAGCGTCTCTCTTCCCTCCTTGCGAACAATCTATTCCTTGATCCCCACCATAACACAGTGCTAAGCAGGGACTTTGGTCAGTGCTTAGCGAGGGCATGGCCCGAGCCTCCATCATGGGTTCCAACCCTCACACTTTACAACAAATAGAGCTCTCTTATTAGTTGAATAGTAAAATATATATATCCCTTGGAATTCTAAATTCCAAGGCCTTATCCTTTAGAATATTCTATTCTAAATTAGAGAGCCTTTAGAATATTCTACCTTGAAATAGAATCTTGGAATCCTTAGAATCGTATTCCAAGTGCCGAACGCTGTCTCTATAGGATAGGAGCCTCATGTACCGCGGAGAGTTATGCTTTGCCAAAGAATGAGTTACTAATTAGGGCTGTATCTGGAGAAAAGAGTGTCTATATGGAACTAAAGGTGATCTTTAAAGATCTAACATTTGCTTTATTCTATGAAAGCTTAGTAGAGCGTACACTCGGTCGCTTAGTAATAAGGCATACCATAATTACGACTTGACATCTATCTCTTTCCAGAGAAGAAATTTTGTAATGTACGAAATCATAATCTAAGTAGCTAATCTCAATCACTCTATCGTCGGATATATATAATTTATGTAGGGTTCATAGCACCTTGCTTTCGCGACTATTCAACCACTTCATGTCGATTTTCTCCTTCCCAGAGACGTTCTACCACCAGTAATAATATTCTCGTATGAATCAGATCAGAGTATAAGACCTGGAGTCCAGAAAAGATAAGATTACTATAGTATCCACTCCTGGGTTACGTACACAAAAACAAGACCCACTTTTAGTGTAACCGAGAACCCCGTACTCTAGACCAACCAAAAGTCCACGACAAAGTGACCGGGGATTTAACCTTAATGTAAAACCAAACCGTCGTCCAAGAAAGCTTTTATAGATTTCCATGAGTATGGTTACTTCATAATACTCATCGACAATTCCTAATTTCAAGTACCTGTATATGCGACTCACCACGAGTACCAAGATCTATCTTACATACTCTACATCAAACTCAGCAAACAACCCAGTCTGCGACCCCTCACCCGGAAATCCGAGAGAGAGAGAGAGAGAGAGAACATTACAATTCACGCCCTTCCCTCACAAGAAGACCCGCTAAAGATTTCCACGCGTACGTCAAGGTGTCCAAGCGTCTTCATGTGAAAAAATTGGATCAGCTGTCAGCTTACAACCGCCTCGTAGCTGGAGAAGCACGGGGACGGACCAATCACAAGACCATTGACTAATCATCTTAAGATGGCCTGTGGATATAAGACGGTGGTATCGGAGGTAGTTTACAGATGGTGAACAAAAATCAGTGCGAGTTCGAAGAGCTGAATCAAATCACTTGGAGTTCCTCTTGTTTTTTGTGTCGAGATTAAGGGCCGTTCTTGACTCTGTTGACTTGGTCCGAGACTTCAATAGAGAATCCTACACGCGTTCAAGCACAGAAGAATTTGTACTGTGTAACTCTTAGCTGACAACCGTTCACTTCGCAAACGTTCTCTCATACTCGATAAGTGAGCTATTTCAAGATGGAAGCATCAAACCTATTTTTCGTCGAGGAATTAGTAGCAGTAATCACCGGCGCAGGAAGTGGTAAGTATCCCCTAATTCCATAATCCCTCCTCATCATCAAACCCTCATATCCCAAAAAGAAAGGAACTAACTCACCCCAGGACTCGGTCTCATCATGGCCAAAGCACTCGAAGCAAACGGCGCCGCAAAAGTCTTCATCATCGGCCGAAACCTCGAGAAACTAGAGAAAGCCGCAAAACAAGGCGTCCGTAATACCCATACACATCCCAGAAACTCATCCTTTCTCCCACTAACCAACAACCTTTCAGAAATACGGAAACATCATCCCACTCCAAGGCGACGTCACGAAGAAGGAAGATCTCATCCGCATCGCTGCGTCAGTTGAAGAATCAGTTGGCTACGTGAATTTGGTAATAGCCAATGCCGGCTCGGCAGCAGCTGGACGTAAGGACTTTCTCACTTTCTCACTCCATCCAGTCCAGCTCTTTAATATCACAAAACCTCTTCAGTTTCACGAGGTTCCCTAAGATAGTAATCAAAAACGAGAATACCATAAAGCATGGGACTAACCATCTTCTCAGAAATGATCTCCGGGCTCACACCCGAATCCAGCATCTCAGAAGTCCAAGAATTCTTCCTCACCCGCCCATGGGAAGCTTACACGCAACAATTCGACGTGCACGTAAGATCTTCCACCCTCCCCCCAAGAACCACAAACCAACTAACCACACCCAACCACCAGGTAACAGCAACCCTCTACACCTGCATCTCCTTCCTCCGCCTTCTGGACGCCGGCAACAAACGCCAAAACATCACCTGGACAAGCCAAGTAATCGCAACCGGCTCCGCCCAGGGATTCAACAAGAACCCTTTATCAGGATTGGGATACAGCACGAGTAAAGCAGCCGAAACACATCTGATGAAGAGTCTCGCGTTTATGTTGGGACCATATAATATCCGTTCTAATATCTTAGCTCCTGGGTGTACGTTTCCTTTCCCTCTCCCCTCCCCGAATAAACCCCAACACACCCAAACTAACAAAAAAAAGTCTACGCCTCCGAAATGACAAGCCCAGCATTCAAACACCTCAACTTCACTCCAGACACATTCCCCGCCGTCATCTCACCTATGCGTCGCATGGGACGGGAAGAAGAGATCGCGGCGTTGATTTTGACGCTGGCGAGTAAGGGGGGTGCGTATTGTAATGGGTCGGTGTTTTTGTCGGATGGGGGCAGGTTGACGCAGGCGCCTAGTGTGTGGTAGTTTGGTGGTGTTGGTAGTGTGGGTTGGGAAGAAGGGGGGGATGGGGATGGAGATTGGGAACAAGGATGGGAGAGGGGGGAAGGAGTATTGCAACTTCCAAGTTCCAGCTTTGAATTTCTTGAGGCGTAGCTTTAGATTGAACCATAAAAGCCTTCACTTATCTAAGACGTAATTCAGTGCCACATATCTATCCATGCATCTAAATCAGTAGTACAGTAGTCTTTGGGCACTGTACCACCAAGAACCCATAACCCACCCATAACCCACCCACAACAAACAAACAAACAAACAAAAAAAACATACCTGCCTACCTACCCACCTACCTATTTATTAACAAGCAAATACACAGTATCTACTCCAAACAACTTATCAAACTAATCAACTAACTCAATCAATCACACACAGTACTCGTGCCAAAGAATCAAAAAGCGTCATGGCAGAATAACGATAATAGAACTGCAACTCTAGTGATTAGAAGTAAAGTGATAAGAGGATGAGTTCTCGTACGAGTACGAGTAGCATGTCCAGGTGGTAGTAATTCTTTATATATCACTCTGAGAGGAGATAAGGAAGGGGATTGGGCTGTACTGGAATGTATATGAAATATGAGAAATGAGAAGCGAAGGGAAATAAAATACCTGTCGGCTGTAAGAAAAACAGAATAAATCCAAAAGAAGATTTACAAAAGTATGGTATAAAACCCCCCCTCGCTTAAAATAAAGTTTAAAAGTGATGTAGATAGATAGCAAAGTAGAAAACACAATGATTTCAGTTCATGACCTCAAGTGTATATTCGTCACTAAAGCATCAGTATGAACTCCATAAATCCTCACCCCAACCTCTACCATGCAAAGCTCCACCCACCAAGCTTCTCACCATTTCAATAATCATCACCCCGACTAATAACCTCCTTAACATTCGGTCTCAGCAGAATAGTCTAGGTAGTATCAATTAGCCCACTTGCACCAAAAACACAAGGGTATATAAAAGACTTACATGTTCAAACTGCGCGGTGTAAGAACCCTTCTTATCAACCAACGGAGGATACGCCTCTACAATACCGCTCGAGACCAAGTTGTTTAACTACACATGTTAGAAAAGAACGGAATTAGAGGGATGAGGATGAGGCTACGCACTCCAAGTAGATACTTCTCCTGACCCAAACGATCCAGATATCTTCTGCAGAAAGGCAGGGTTCCAAAGTTCTTGTTGATAACATTGAGGAGTTTGCTCGCGGAGGCGATTCGCAAAGGGACGTTGGGGGCATCTGGTCGTTTTGCGTAATGTGATGTTTCATACTAAGATGCCATTAGTAAAGTTTAACTTGCAAAGAGAGAATAGGGAACTTACATCATCTCGAACGTATCCATTTCCCGTACTACCAAAAGTCTCAATAGCAAAGACTTCTCCCTCCTCCATCTTGGTCTGATCATTTCCCTTGACAATGGGGACACTCTTTCCACCATGAATCTGCCACTGGCGGATATCATGTCCATTCAGATTCCGAATGCACTTAACAGGGAATGTCTCCCCATTAATCTCCACCTCGTAACTCTCCATGGTCTCCTGGATAGCGGCTCCAATATCACACATTCGTACATCAATACCGGCCTCCTTGATCCCCGTATTCGTACCCTCCCGCACTGCCTCGAGGAGGTTATCATACATAGGGTCAAAAGACATCGTAAACGCACTATCCACAATCCTCCCATTGATATGCACGCCAAAATCAACCTTCATAACATTATCCTTGGCCAGTAACGTCTTGTTCCCAGCATTAGGACTGTAATGCGCCGCAATATGATCGAGATTAACACCAGTAGGAAAAGCAATCCCGCCTTTAATATTATCTCCCTCCTCCAGTCCCTGGTGCCCCGTCAGCGCCCTCACACTATCCTCAATCCCCTCCGCAATCTCCGTCAGACTCTGTCCCGGCTTGATATTCCTCGCCGCATACTGCCGAACCTGTCTATGGATCTCAGCACCCTGTCGATACTCCTGCAAGAAATCATTGTTCATCCGATCCAGATGTCTCTTCTCCTCATCCGTCGTACGATATAGATTCTCATCGCGGTACTCCACTTCCTGGCCGACGGGATACTCGCCATTGGGGAAGAACGTCGAGAGAAGCACGCGCGGTGGTTCGGATTGTTGTTTAGGCGCACCGCCTGCCTTCTTGGGCTTGCGCTTGCGCTTCCTCTTCTTCTTTGCTGCTGCGTCTGTTCCTCCCTCTCCAGCCGCCTCGTCTGAGTCTGAGTCTTCTGCTTCCGCAGCATTTCCGTTACCGTTTGCTTTTGCGGCGGCGGCGGATGCCATGACTGCCTCTGGATCTTTCACTTTTGGAAGTTAGTCCCCGAATCGCACTTTTTTGGGTAGAATTTTCAGAACTTGGTTACCCTTCAGATTGGCAAGCGCATCTGCAGCTTGTGCGGCCATGATTATTCGCGCAGAGCCGGTCTTCTGGAATGATCCGTGGGGAATTGGGGCCAGCAAAATGTGTCGACCCCAATGCCAAATACCGAATGTGGCGGGTGTTGATTTCTTGAAAAAAAGGCCAAGAGTCGCGGGGTCAAATGCAGGGGTTGAGTTCAATTTACTTACGAGTCCTCTACTCAAGTCCTCGAGTACTTGCAAGCGCCAGAAGCAGACTAGCTTATCTGGGGAAATTGATAAACACACGACCCTCGAGTGAATATCTATCGATGCCGTCACTCACCCGCAGCCAAACCACCATAAAATGCAGCAAAGATCTTGCAACCAAAGATGAGGAATGCCACGATTATTACCTCTCATTTGCACGCCATCCAGCCAAAGGCTTTTCCACACCTACACCAAACTACAAAATGCTAACGCACAACCCAATCACTACGAGGCCTTAAAGATCTCACCCAATGCCACACCCGCCGAAGTAAAAAAGTACAGCTCCCTCACCACACCCCATTGCCCTCCTCCAACCCCAAAACCACCTACTATAACAATCTAACAACCCCCAAAAGATCCTTCTACACCCTCTCCAAAGCCCACCACCCCGACCTCCACCCCAATGACCCCAACGCCTCCACCCACTTCGTCGCCATCTCCAACGCCTACACAATCCTCGGCACGCCCGCCAAACGCGCCCAATACGATCGCGAGGTCCTGCAACACCCCAATTCCAATTCCGATTCTGCCTCCCAAACCACCGTCCACAAAGGTTCCAACCACTCCTCCGGGCCCGCAGGCGGCCGTCCCGCAAGCGGACTAAGTCGCCGACGAACCCATTTCCAAGGGCCCCCACCGTCATTCTACCGCAGCGGCGGGTGGGGAGACCATGGAGCGAAGAGGGCCGCTGCGCAGAAGGGGAGCTCGACGTCGGATCCCTCGTCCGAATCTTCATCTTCTAATACCTCTTCTTCTTCTTCTTCTTCTTCATATATGAACCAGCCCTATCACCTAAACAACGATGTCCCCCACTTCGATTGGCGCGAGCACCTGCGGACGCAGGAGAACCACAGTCGTCGACTACGAGCCCGGCGCAGAATGATGGGGGACCCAAGGGCGGGGGAAGGTGATGTAGACGAGGGACAGAGTAGTACACTTGTGAATATGCTCTTTATGGGGGGGATTGTATTTTTGGCGGGGTATGTGCCCTGGGTTATGAATAATACTATATGGTCCGGAAGTGGTGGGGGAAAGAAGAGGGCGAGAGAGGGGTAGTGTGTGATTTATAGGTTGGTATAGAGATGTTTTGATAGTGGGTGTGTACATGGTAACTGAATATAGAGTAGGCAGGAGGGAATTGGTATTTGGCGTTGGATCTCAAGCCGTTCCAGTTGACGAGCAAATGCGTATGGCTGAAGTTGCGCGCTTTGTTGGAGTCGTTTCTCGAACTCTGGAATTTGAATAAACAAATGGATAAACTGGGACAGGAAAACATCATTTTCAAGACGAAGTATCAGAAAGCTAGCTTCCATGGCATCTTAATGCTACATACAAGCGATCATCAAAAAGTTCTCCCCTCTGAAAATGCAAGTGAGTATCATTTCGCGCGCCCCGGAAAAATTCAATCGCCATGCCAGCCCCAAGCCCATTTTGTATTCTTCTACTATCGTATCATCTGTTTAATACATGGTGGTCCGTGGCACAAGAAAAACAAATCTAAGAGTCGAAGGTGAAAGAACAGCCGATCTTGTGGGTAGCTTGGTCGAGCTTCTGGGTGTCGAGAGAAGCACCAAGTCCAAGGGTGACACCAGGGCGGAGGAGAACGTTGTATGCGAGAGCGGCAACACCACGGTCGTTGATCTTGACCTGTGAGTGGGATGTTGTGTTAGCATTTGTTTTTATGGAGTCACTAGGTGGGGGAGAAGACGTACCTTGGCGAATGAGACAGGGTCCAATCTGTACTTGCTGGCAACCTCAAGACCAACTTGGTTTCCGCTCTTGGAGTCCCAGGTAGCCTTGGCACCAGCCTCGACTTGTGAGTTGACCTTGTGGTAGTAAGCAGCAGAGAAAACGCTCAAGTTGTTGGCAGCAGTGATGGAAGCAGTGTATTGAGGGGCAGTATATCCAATAGCAGCGCTGTAGTTGGTAATGGCAGCCTTTTGGACATCGTAACCGGCAGAGGCACCAGCGAGGAAACCATCTTGACCGATGACAGCGTCGACGTTAGCGGTTGGGCCCTTGAGGAGATCGAAGAATGCACGGCCGTGGAAGTTTGGTTGTTGGAAGTGCAAGTTGAACTTTGCTCCCTTGGCGGACTTTGCTGGAAGGTATGAACCGAGGACCTCTGCCTTAAGACCCTTGGCGATGGCGTCCTTGAGCTCAATCTTGGTGTCGAGAGCGTTGGCAGTGTTCCACGATTGGGTGAGAGTGAGGCCTGTACGGCGGTAGAATATTAGCAGCTGCGCCTGAGTTGAGATTGGAAAGAGGTTGACAAAAACGTCGTAGTTGTTCAAGTGCGAAAAGCCCGTATGCATCTGTAAGCGGAGCATGTGGAGAGGTATACCTGTTGGCTTGTCTGAGTATTTTCCCTCTAGCTGGTAGTTTTTGGGTCGTCAGCTTCCAATTCCTCAAACTTCCTGCGCATCGCAATCAGAATTGCTGGCCACGTACCAACCCACTGGTAGCTCCCTCGTGTGTGCTCTTTCCAGTGACCTTGAAGGCGACATTGTTTGGGGTGTTGCTCTTGACCTCAAGGGCTGCGGCTGAGAGGTGGTAGAAGTCCTTGTTGAGCAACTAGAAAAATAGTGTTAGCGTGAACCGACCAGAATATTTGGGGAAGCTCTACGCACGTCGTTGGAGGACTTTGCAATATCGGCGAAAGCTGGGACGGACATGATGATCGGTTGGGAGGAGGTGATTGATGAATTGAGGGGTCGGTTGGTGTGTGGGAGGTTGCGTGTTCTGATGGGACAGCAACTGTGTTGATACAGGTCGGGTCAAAATTATGCGATCGGTTGAAGCCGGGGTTGTGTTGAGAGGAACACAAGGGACGACAAGGGTATGTTCTTTGGTGGAACGTGTAGACGTGATTGGCTACCACAGCCACCTACACTCTCAAAATTTCGATTTCCACCTGGGAGTTGTTCACCTAACAGCCTGACAGAGGAGAAATTTAAGCAAGGAAATGTGTCAGTAAACTTATACTTCTGATCACTTGCTAACTATCTCTATCCTCTGAACTATTGTGACATGCACTGCATAGCAACATTAGGTGGACAAGACAAACAAAACAGTTCATGCAGGAACAAACGAAGATTTGGTATTAGTACATTTTAGCAGGGCAATTCTCAACAGAATATGTAACCTTGATATGAATTATCAGAAAGTGTTTACAGTAAGAGGCTTGTCCCTTGACATTAAAAGGCCTAGAAATTGGACATAAATAAATATAATATGCACATCCTTCCATTTTCAAGGTGTCTAGTACAAGAAAACGCAAGTCATTAGCGAAAACTCGCCTCTCTGAATAGTAAAAGTATCTTCATACGTCACTATCTAATGTGGACTGCTTTTCGTCAGCACCAAATTACTCTCCTGTACATGCCCTTGATCGTTCATGAATATCGTGTTCTCATTGACGCCCTCAAAATGCCCCAACCATGCAGTACGCCAACCCAGCGTCTTGAAAATAAACAAGAGCAATCTTTGCACCATGCCCAAATCTAGCAGAGCGCTCATCATAACTGCAATTCCTCATAAATCCCTACCCAGCTTCGCCATCACCCTAGTACTTTTTACGCCTTCAAAACCCCCTCAAAAACCCCCCATCAAATCCTCGTCCTCTACACCATTCCAATCCAAATCATTTCCTGCGATTCCTTGATCCAGATTCTTGGAATTCTTCTTCATCTTTTGTATATACTTGACGTACTCCTTCTCATATGTCATCAGTCGATCTGTGGTCTTGGTTTCTAATATCAATTCCTTGATTTGGGACGATGCTAATGCTAATGCTCCCTTCATTTGCTGTTCCGTCAAAACTGGTCCCTCTTGCGAAAATGCGACGACAGGTGATTGGTTTGGTGGATAGCTCAAGGTCGCATTCAAAGAACCGTTAGCAATCATCATCTGAACCATCGTTTCCACGGCCTGAACATGTGGTAGTCTGGTGCCAGTCTCCGCACTCATCGTTTGAGCGTGGATGTCCGCAATGGAGATTTTGCTGTAGACGTTTGCAAGGTGCTTGATTTGGAATTGCTGGTGGCCCGCCAAAACGGTAAGAACAAGGTAGAAATTGGCATCAGCTTGCCACACAGAGTTTCCAGCGTCTGCCTCCTGCTTGAGTCGAAATGCTGAACCATGCTCGAATAGTTGGGCTAGAGTCTCATATGGCTTTGCGACAACATGATACATCTTTGCCGCTCCAGAACTTGTGGCTCTCGGTAATAGCGGTACCTTTCCGTCTAACAACACGCTTACCAATAACCATCTCTTATATGCCTCAGCCATGATCTTACTACAACTTGTTTCCCGGGCTGGATAGGCAACGGCAACTTCGAAGCAACGTTTGGCATTGGCCCAATCTCTCAATCCAACGTAGATCGTTCCACATAAAAACAAATACTCCAGAACCTCAGGGACCTTGAGCTTCTTGGCAGTAATCCCGCTCTCTGGTGTGACGTAAGATGGAGGAGAGAGTACTGTACTAGAGATATGTTTTGGCTTCGGTTGCTCGCTGGCGCCTGGGATATAGAGGATGGTCTTTTCAATGATTGGGACAACAGCAGCGTAGCTTTGGGTCTCCATCACCAGCTTCAACAATTGAATGTGCTTTGAGGTCAGTACGGTACCACTTGGGTCCAGACCAAGTAAAGCGTCTCTGATATGGGGGATTACAAGTGCAATCTGCTACTTTTTAGTTTCCGTAAATTCCCTTTATCCTTGAAATCATTACAACGTACCTGGTTATGGCGTCGGGCAATTGCAACCGCAGCATCAATGATATTCGATAACTCATGGCCCAGATATCGGATTTGCCGACCATCGAAATTTGAGAGAAAGGTTGTGATATGGTTCCAGAGTGTTTCTATATCCATCTGCTTGTCGTTTCCCTTCATAATCGTATTGATATTTGCGAGGAGAACAAATGCGAAAGATACGGCGTTGAGGGAGGGATTGATGATCTGCAGGTTTGTTAGCATATTGTTTCACATCATTGGCTTGACTTCTTACATCTAGAGCATTCTCGTCGCTGGAGGTCTTTTGTATCAACTTGGCCTCACTGAGACTCTTGACTGTTGCGATCTGGGATTTGATGCCCTCTTCATATGCCGCATCAGAGAGAGGCGTCAGTGGAGAGGGATGCGGCGGGAAAGCCAGAAGCTTTGGAAGGATTTCGTCCATTGTGTGAAATCTCTCAATTGAGGAATCGCTTTAGGATGGTGTGATGTTGGTGTAGGTTCGTGTAGGGCTTCCAGAGCTTGTGGAGTCCGACTTCCAGACTGGCTAGAAGGTGCGCCGACGAAGTCTAAAGAGATCGGAATTATCCCCAGTAGGAACCGACCGTATTCCTACTCAGCGAGAGTGGTAGATGTTTGTGGGGAGAGAAGTTGAGCTTTCAAAATTCTGGCTCTCTCTCTCTTGATACTGTATGTTTGGGCGCAAGGCTAAGGTTGCCTGGGAGCTTGGAGGTTGATGTGCCTGGATCAAAGACGGGGGTGGGATTGGATCGCGTCGGTGGCAGTGACAGTGGCAGTAGCGGGGGAGGGAGATCAGCCTTGGCATGACATCCGTCAGTGCACCAATGCCATTTTCTCTATCAGATCTCTCGTCGGTTGAGTCACGGGTGAATTGTTATCCTATGGATAGGTAAAACTCTACAACCACAACCACAACCACAAACTCCTCCAGTCGGTGAATTAGAAATAGTAAACCTTCAACAATATGTCTCTCACCAACGCATCCCCAGCTGAAGCTGCGAAAGCTGCAAAATTAGCATCTCACAGTCTCTCAACCCTCCCTACATCCGCGAGGAATCATGCTTTGACAGCCATCCACTCAGCTTTGTCCCAGGCCAAAGACGAAATTTTGCTTGCAAATGCTAAGGATCTCAAACAAGCTTTGGAGGCAGCAAATAATGGAGAATTGAGTCTGAGTATCATCTCACGCCTGGATTTGGGAAAGAAGGGGAAATGGGAGGATATGCTCAAGGGCATTTTGGATGTTCGAGATCTTGAGGACCCTGGTATATCTCGCTTCACAACACTATCAAAAAACTCCGGGACTAATTTTTGATTTGGTAGTTGGAAAGATTTCATTGCGCACGAAACTTGACGACGGACTGAATCTTGAAAGAGTTTCATGTCCTATTGGAGTCCTTCTCATCATCTTCGAAGCTCGACCTGAAGTTATTGCCAATATTGCATCACTAGCCATCAAATCCGGAAATTCTGCAATTCTCAAAGGTTTGTTGATTCCGTTTGTATGACTACAATCTTTCGGCTAACGGAAGTATCCAGGTGGAAAGGAATCAACCGAATCTTTCATTGCCATCTCTAAAGTCATTTCATCTGCCCTGGAACTCACCCAAGTGCCAAACAACGCAATTCAACTAGTAACGACTCGAGACGTCATTCCTCAGTTACTTCAACAAGATCAGTATATCGATCTTGTCATTCCTCGAGGATCCAATGAGCTCGTCCGATACATCAAGGACTCCACCAAAATCCCGGTTCTTGGCCACGCCGACGGTCTCTGTTCCATTTACTTAGAACATACTGTCTCCCCAGAACTCGCCGTCAATGTCATAGTCGATTCAAAGACATCATACCCAGCAGCATGTAACAGTGTCGAGACGCTTCTTGTTGAAGAGGCATCCTTAGATACTCTACTTCCACAAGTAGCCGAGGCTCTCTTAGCAAAAGGAGTTTCCCTTCGTTGTGATGCTTCTAGTAAAGCCGCACTCACATCAAAACTTCCAGCAAGCTCTTCTGCCATATTACAAGACGCAGAAGAAGTCGATTTCGACACTGAACATCTTTCATTAACCCTAGCCATAAAGACCGTTCCTGGACTTACAGATGCTGTGACTCACATCAACACCCACGGCTCCCATCACACAGATTGTATTCTCACCTCATCCTCAGAACTCGCAGAAAGCTTCATTGCTGGCGTCAACTCGGCGGGAGTGTTCTGGAACACAAGTACCAGAATGGCCGATGGAATGCGCTACGGATTTGGAACAGAAGTAGGAATCAGCACCAACAAAATCCATGCCCGGGGTCCGGTAGGACTTGAAGGTCTGATGATTTACAAATACGTGATTCGGGGATCGGGACAAATCACAGTTTCATACGGAGAAGGTGAGGGACACAAACCGTTCAAGCATGAGAAAATGTAATATACATTACGCACCTGATACCAAAAACACGAAACAAGAAAAAAAAAGAACATTAAACGTGTGTGGTTCATCTTATCATCTCAAATCTGTATCCAAATTCCTACACCCATCCAAAAGGTACAAACAACCATGCATCCCATCCCACTCCATATCCCACACAACCCCCCATCACACCCAAACATCCAAATAAACCTTCCTCGCAACCTTCAACACCCGTTCCAACAACCGCGGTTCTCTGACCGCCAAATCACGCATCAGCCAGAGATCTACTTCCTTCATCCACTCCCGCTCTCTTTTCTGGGTTTTGCTAGTACCTCACGTCTTTTGTTGCCAAAGGAATCGCGCCTTTTGTTGGTGAGAGGATTTGTGGGGTTTGTGAGTTGAGTGGTTTAGGTTGATGAAGTGTATTAAGTGAAGAATCAGATTGAGAATCCTTCGTGCTTGTAGATGGACAGTACTCCAATCTCACCCTCACCCTCTCCTCCGTAAAACGGATCAAATCCGCGCCGTGTTCCCAGCCGTAGAGGTGGAGGAATGCCTTTGTTGCTATATATTCATCAGCCTCCTTCTCCCTTCCCCCTCTCCCATCTTTCCCCTCCCCTCCCCTCCCTCCTTTCTCCCTTTCATCTCTCCCCTCCTTTCCTTCTCAAAGAAAGAAAAGAAACACATACCATACTTCAACATCAACCCCACGTCCCAACCCCTACCTCTCCATTCTCTGATCGATAGGCAAACGTGACATTTGCAGGTCCTGTTGTGGGGGTGGGGATCGTGGACTATTGAGGGGTTCCAGCGGGGATTGGGGGTTTCGGGGGGTTTGGATGAGGGGGATGTGGGGGAGGATGTTAAAGAGTGAGGGGAGAGAGGTGAGGAAGGAGATGGGGTGCTCTGGGTTCTCATTTTGGGTTGGTTTGGGGGGTTGAAGGGGAGGTGTGTGGGAGGTGAGGTGCGCCATGGTACTGGATTAGAAATAGTGGTGTAAGTGTTATTATGGTTGTTGTTGTGGTTGTGGTTTTGGTATTGGTTTTGGTGAATAAATAAATAAGGATTGTCTGTTTATATATATACTCTCAGCTCTAATCTAATTGCGGAGACTGTGTGTTGTGAATGTATGGGTGATGTTTGTGAATTTACGGAAGGACGGAAGTGTGTAGCTCACCGTTATTGTTTTGATGGTTTGGATTGTGGATTTTGATGTTTAGATATATTAGAAAAATAAATTTTCTAATATTTTTCTAGGTGTGTAATCAGATTGTGTAGTGTTGTGTACTCTCACCATCATTCTTACACTCTTAAATCCCTTATGAATCTTTATAATTTATTTTAGCAAAGTTCAAAGTTCAAGATAAAACCTAGGCGTTTAATATCGCTTAGTAAGTGTCTGTCTCATATTACTTTATAAGTGTGAACATAAGTGTGATTTGCTTCTCTTGCCCTAAGAACGTATAACCCCATCGCGATAGAAATGATAGGCTGGCTGTACTCTACTCGAACAAGTAAGCAAGCAAACAAGAAATTTGCCCTCGCCTTATCGGATTCAATTTCAATTTGGAAAGATGCAGCTGAGATGAGTGCCTTGGTTGGTTTTTTGTTGAGATTACGGTGCACGTGATGTTGGTATTCACTCTAGGACTCTGGGGATTTAGTGATGCTTAAAGTTATATGCTGAAGTACCTTATAATCTTGCCTGATTTATTTTCCAGGTCCTCTCTTTGGAGAATACAATATTTAAGGGGGACTGGCGTAAGTTATACTTGAATACCTACTTCTCCCTGCGCTCCCATATTTGCTTTTTCCGAAACCCGCTTTACTTCACTTTACTCGATACCATCCCTCTCTAGTCGTATAATACTACAAGCCGGCTTCCACAACTCTGCTACATTTCAAGACTCAAAGATTCCAAACCACGCACCACGCACCTCGCGTATCAGTTTGGGGCTACAGCACCCCTTCTCTAGTTTCTAAGGAGGTGGTGGGGATCATACCTTTTCCAAGTTCATTCTTTCGTCTTTCCCTGCTCCTGATCGACTTGAGAGGAGATAAAGATTATCTCCCTTGTCATAACCTGTCCTCTACCTTCTTCATCCTCTGCCTCATCCTACTCCTTAACCTCGCCAAGCTCCCTGCGATATAACCCAATCTTCTCATCTAGAAAGCTCACAACCTTTCTCATAAGAGCCGAGACTTACAAGACCAGCAGAGGTCATCAACAGCAACCCCCTCTCCTTTCTTCGCTCGTCACAGTAAGTCCTAGAGGCGGCCTAATCTGAGATCTCCTTATAATACTGGCCCTTCAATTAAACTGCTGTAACATCGCGGCACTCTTTGGTTATGACTTTCATTCCTGAGGGGTTGCGATTTGTGTGGGTTGGTAGTATCTTATGACTCCCGGTCCTTTTTGGAGGGAGAATTGTAGTTAGACTTGGCGGATTTGAGGGTTATGAATGTGATGAGGATACTTGGTGAGGATGGAAGTTGGGGCGTGCGGTCTATAGGACGTTGTGGGATTATCGATGGGTCGCTGTATGTGTTTGTGTTTGTGGAAAGATATTGTGTGCTGAGAACCAGGTGTTTTTGGGACGATCGAAGGCAAATATTACCTAAGGTCTAAGCAGAGGCGATCAATTACGCTGCTTTGAGAATACTGGATGGGATTGGGGATTGGGGTTTGGGGGTTGTGAAAGTTAATTATTGCAAAGGTATTCTGATATGTTTTGTCGCTTTGATTGACGAGTTTAGAATGGATGGATACATGGAGAATTGGTTGGCTTTGTTGGTTATTCAATTCGTGGGTGGAAAATTAGTATTCTATCGTGCCACTGAGTGCAGCGACTGCTGTATAAAACGAGGGCAACGTGCGCCCTATTACAATTGTTTTTCTCATAGGCGTAAGGAATGGCGAGAAAATTGATCTTGTGGAGGTCCAGGTATTTTGGAGTTCCCTTGTTAATAACTTTGGTTCTCAGGCAATTTGCATGAAGAATGTCTAGCAATTAGGTAGTATTGATACTGCTGTTTTAGGAAGCTGGCAATGATGGTGATGATTAGCCTATAGCATTTTCAACACATCAAATAAGGAACCTCTACTATGGAAGATGTGGATCTATTTCAATACGAGTATTCGAGATCAAATGCCCGACCCCATCAGATTGAACAGAGTGCGAGAAGGTTTTGTCAAATACCAGAGAATAGAACCATCAGAGCAAACATATTGCTGCATTCTAGAAAAAGCCACACAAAATTCAAGACCTCCTACACATCACGTGCGAAAGAATCCCCCCTTTTGTTTTTCCTACCGGTAGTTAGTTGGCGAGGCCTCCAATGACAACCACGTAAAAATATCTCTCAAGGCATTCGCCCAAGAGATTCCTTTTGATCATATCCAGCCACTCAAGACCCCGCATCCAAAGAAAACAGATCATATTTACCAAAATGCTGACAAGACACAACTGAGTACCTCTGTACTCGATCGCCGATCTGCTCATGATCAGCCCGCAGCGGTTATACATGTCCCCCGAAACGCACAGCGTCCCATCAGGCCATCAATATTGTATTCATGGTAATGGGCCGCCAATACTCACCAAGTCACACCACAATTTGTGGGTTGAATCAATGCGAGCCCTCCATTCGTTGTTTTTCTCATTAGTAAAGACCTGCCAGATCCCGTTGCGAAACACTAAATCATGTTATTTATCACCAAGTAATCTCTGCGTCTTCCCTTCTTCAGGGGTAAATTCTATCAGGCATTCTAGTTCGTTACTAAGATATATGTGAATTGGAGTTTCTGGGGGGGCTTTTTGTTGTTGATTGCTTTCTGCTCCTTTTTGTAAACCGTTGTCTATTAGCTTTCGGCATTCAATACCGTTCTCTAGTGGCCGGCTGGTTGAAAGGCTGACCACCTTGTTCGGGCGCGTCTGCACAATTGTAGTGTCAAGGGATGTACATTCGATCGTATTAAACCGGTACTTGAGAACAGATACCGAAGAAGCCTCTTGGGAGAGGATCTTCGTTATAATATTGGGAGCCACGAAAACCCATAAGTTGGCATTGAGACCAAAACTTACAGTAATGCCAATCAGCCCTTTAGCATTTTGAAAAACGGCAGCTAAACCTTTTACAGCATAAATTTCCACGTCTTCGAGAAGGGCCCGAAAGAGAAGATGTGCGGTATACGTTATCCTATCTGGGATCAGTGCGGGCATCGCGGTGATGTCAAGCCTATATGGTGCGACAAGAAAAAGGGCATCGGTTGTCCAAATGAATACAAGGCTGAAGACATCGGAACCAAAGGATGGTGTCAGAAATGCACGGAGCACCTCCGGAAGAACCAAGAAAGATCCCAGGCAGAACGAGAAGCCCAACTTCGTGAAATGATCCGGGGTTATGCTGGAAGCAGATGATCTTTACACTCTTCATAGCGGTCGCACAAGAGGATTCTTTGGGACATTTGAAGAAACATGTGAAAGGCTCCAAGGATGTAATTTGATGTTGTTGCTTTCTTTCGAATGGGGGACTTGGGAAGCGACGTTGTGTTCCTGTTTCGCTTGGGAAAGGGGTAGCGAGGCTATCCTAGGCACAGTTCGGGAAATTGTTTCTAATTGGGAGTATTTGTATGGGCCATGGAAATTAAAGGACACCAAACACGTTGGTCAGCTTGCGTTTCTGCCAATTGAGGGATTTGTTTATTGGTACGAGGGCAGCATGTTGGTGCGAGGGTGTGGCTTGGGTAGCTAATGGAATCGGATTTTTGTTCCGCTCACACAGAGCCCCTCTACTCCAGTCACAACGGTTCTCGAATACTAATAATATTTGAAAGGGGTCAAAAGCAATACTTGATAGAACGACAGTATCACCACCATCACCAGAGCGTACTTACCTGAGTACGTGCGTTGCGAAGTCTACCAAATTTAGATATTTCTTTTTATAGAAATATTTTTCCCTTACATACTCCTTGTAGTTACTAGAAAATTTCATGTTCTAGAATTCAGATATGTGCTCAAGCTGTTTCGCTCTGCCAGAAGGCTTTTGGAAATTTTGGTCTAGTTCATCCCCCCGATCGCGCCTGCCCTACTTTAGATTCTGTGTACAGTAGCTAACCAGGTACTTAAACTCAGGGGTGGTTGATGAGTGTTGTAATAGGATGGTATTATCACAGCAGTGTACTCATTCGGAATGCATAATCTTCGCATAGTAACGAAGTTTGAGCTGCTTTGTGTGTTTGCCAACTCTTTCCAAATTTCACTTCACGATTGTAAGAGATGACCTAGGCATCTTTAGCTAGTAGCCAATACCTCTTTGTCTCCAGGAAAATAATGATTGTTCGGTATAAAGATGTACACTATGTATAAAGAGGAGAAAGAAACCCACAATCCAAGGATGACAAAAGATTCATAGAACACACTTCATCTACACAAAGCAACAAAGAACTCGATACAAGGCTACAATCGACAATGGAGCCCCAAAACGTGCACAAGAACAACAAGAAAAGAACAACAAGAAAAAACCTCGATTTAAACCACCACTCCCATGTTCTCTAAAGGTCAATTTTGTAACAGGCTTGCACATTCCTAGTAACTTAGCTCATACACTCACAGGTCAGTCCAACCCCTCACATAACTAACACCGTTCCGATCTCTCAACAACACTACCACTCCACCATGTGCCAAATAATCGTGGAGCAATATGCCTGCGGGCATCCAGTCTGCCATTTCTGCCCCCGTCACTGTCCCGTCAAGCCCCACGGTATCTCACCCATGAAATGCCCGTGGCGAACCGAGAGGAAGTTGGGCAGAAAGCAGGTATGTATTGCCTGTCAGGGCAATGCTGAGTCTTCGAGTTTCTCGGAAGGCAAGACTGAGTTGAGAGCTAGAAAGGTTTCTTTGGAGACATTGGAAGGTAAGAATATTGAAACGAGAGTGTCAAGATCGAGAGGCGTTTCTTTGGAGGCTTTGGAAGCTTTAGAAGGGAAGATTGAGATGAGTGTCTTGATAGAGAGAGACGCTGCGCTGGCAGCTTTGGAAGGTAATGAGACCATCCAGGTGTGTGGGAAAATGGAAGGTGGGTGGAAGAACAAACTACTAATGGCGAGCTTCCTGGGGTTTTTTTTGAAAGGCCTGATGGCTTCCTTGAATTGAGAAGGCAGAGCGCTGGAATTTCATATAACTAACCAGTCAGGAGCCTCTAGAAACGAGGCAGAATCCCATCGGTAAGTCACCAGCACAAAACCCTCAACTCAAATATTAAATCAAGTAAACCCATAATATTAATATATTCGTTATAACAAGTGAGCTATTGTAACATCCCCTATCCCGTGCACATATTAAATCTTACATCTCGTACAATACATCTACAAAGGAGGAGCGTTAGGATCCTCCAAACATTGATCAACTCTCATCAACTGCTTGCCCGTCTTCTGTGCTATCTCGATGAACTGAGGAAGATAGGAAACGGTGCTGTCAAACAAATAATGCATAACAACCAAGTTACCTCCCTTGGCAACATCGGCCTCGAAGTTTGTAAGTTGCTTCTCGGGAGTGTCGGTGGAAGCCCATAACCAATCTTGAACATCAACACTCCATCCGATGAATTTGATATCGGGGATGAGAGCGGCAAGACGTTGTCGAACACGAGCACCCTCGGTTCCGAAAGGTGGTCGGAAATAGGTGGAGGTGATACCGAGGGTCTTGGTAACAGCGTCGATATCTTGTTGAATTTCCCAATCGATAGCTGCAAGGGAAGGAAGACCTTCCATAGGTGGGTGAGTGTAGGAGTGGTAGGCGACTTGGTGTCCTTGAGTGAGCATGTTCTTGTAGACGTTGGTGAGGTTGGTGCTCTCGTCGAGGAGTGGTGCACCAACGGTGAAGAAAGTGACTTTGATACCAGCGGCAGCAATAGTCTCGACTACACGCGGGGCGAACTCTGGCGATCCATCATCGATTGCGAATGCAAACGAGTTTGGTCGTGTGCATGCAAAGATGAGAGGAGCGGTGTCGAGCTTACTTGGTACAATGAAGCCGTTGGGGACGCTCTTCACAATCTCCATCTTGGTGACGGTCGTAGTGGTGGCGGTGAAGAAACCCTTGAGAGCAAATCCAATTGACTTGGTGCGGTCAATCGTGAAGTGAGAAATAGGGACGTAGATGTCGGTCTTTGCTGTGTTGGTATAACGCGATGCTTCAACAGAGTCCCATGTAAATGGATATGGAGCAATATCTGGGTTGCAGGTAGGGTTGTGTTGTTGAAGGGCAATGGAAAACTCATTGCTTCCAGAGTAAGCAATGTGCAAATATCCGTTGTCGTTGGGTGTGATATCAGTGCATCCACCAGAGATTTGAGTGTACCAGTTAATATCAGAGTTTCCCTTAGTGTTGATGGTAAGTTTTCCATTTTCCTGTTTGAACAACTCGGCATCGTCACCTCCATGGTAGAAGCCTAGGTTGTTGGATTCGGTACTTGTGAATGTATCAATGACGAGATCCGATGATCCAGAGGTAGCTGCGATAGTCTCGGTGGACTCAGTAACAGCAGGCAAGGGCTTGACTGAGTATGGAGCTCCGGTATTGCCGCAGTAGAATGCAATAGGACCGAAGGTAACGGCGTTACTGAGTCCAGAGAAGAGGAGAGTCATAACATGCTCGGTGTCTAATCCATTGAACTTAGAGAATGGAATAGTATAGTACTTTTCCGTTCCATCAAACACCCAACCGAGATCAGTTGACGAAACGTCAATAGCAGTGGGGTTGGTGGTAGTGCAATCCTTGGAAGTTTGAAGCTGGACGCCAAAGGTGGTTCCCGCTGCAGCTTTGATGTTCATGCCAATACCACCGTAGACGTTTGTCGCTTTCGTACAGCCTAGTTGTGTGTACCAGTACGAGTTTCCTCCAGTAGCAGGCGTGAGAGTGAGGTGGTTGTCGGCAACGATGACTGAGGTTGTAGTATCAGCTCGGCCCTCAACTGGTGCCATAGTTGCGTCGTCAGAGGTTGGTTCTAACATGGCATTGTAGAACAAGAAGGTCAATCTGGATTGGGAAAGAAAGTCGTCTACCAAGAGAGGTTGGCACGCTCCGGTTGGAGCGGGACCAGCAATATCGGTTGAAACTGCTTGTGGTCCTCGAGTACTCGTGGGCTGTGGTGCTGGAGTAGGAGCAGTATTTCCACCAGAGCACACCAACGAGGTTTGGCCTAATTCCCAGGTACCGTCGACAGAGAACCCCTGGAAAACAAATGCCTTAATAGCGTCGAGGTTGGCGCCAGGAAACGAGCTTAATGGAATGGTAATAGTTTGGGTGTCTCCAGTTAAAGCAGCTGTCGTGAAATAACTTGTATACTCTTGCGTCGCACAGGAGCTCGAAGTTTGTAATTCGACTGTCAACTGGGCGGCAGCTGGTCCCTTTACTGGAAATGTGAGTGCGGTGTACTTGTTGGTTTTAGCTTGTTCGCATTCAAAAGTAGTATAGAAGTAGCTGGAAGGGCTGCTGGTGAAGGAGATCTTTTTGTTTGCAGCATCGGCCTTGAGGTTGGTGGTTGTTCCATCATCTATCTCGAGAATTAGACACTGGGTAAAGTTCTCAAAAATGTATATATAGTTATAAAGACATACCGCTTGTGTAAAACCCAAGGGAGTTGGAGTTGGAAGAAAATTTGGAGTAGTCGTCAATTAACAGATTACTCGAGCACGCAGCCTGTGCTACTGCGGTATTTGCCCATGAGAGGGCGAGCACGAGGCTCGATGAAAAGAAATACTTCATGTTTTGTAGAGAGCAAAAAAGAATGTCAGTTATAAAGAAAGGACGTCATCAACGAATGAACGCGTGTAACAGAGCAAGTACAGTACTACTCAGTGCAGGCAGAATTTGCACTGTTTACTGAAGGCGAGAGGAGGGGGTATCAACACTTTTAAGGACATGAACACGCAGACATAGATTGGCAGGTGATCCGACCGTCATCTACAAATACCCCGTATTCACTGCGCCGTAACATGCCGAGCGGTCGTTGGGTGCTCTAGATCATGGGTGAGCATTTCGATTTTTTCGTCCGAGTTTCACAGCAGTTCGCCAAGGACTTTGACAGGCCTGTAAAGGTCACAGCAATAATATCAGTAAGTCTTACGGATACAGCCATACATATGCACAACTATAGTCAACAACGCCGGCAGCCGAGAACATTGGAAAAAGTGCGAAATCAGGAACTTAGGGGTAGCGCCTTTGTAGTTGTTACATCGACTTTTTATATAACCTCCAAATTTTACTTTGTATAATAGTACCAACTATCTTAAAATTGTATATTCCAGGTATCCAGCGCCTTTCCTTCTGTATACTACCCTAAGAAGGGGCGCAATCGCGAGGCAAGATAGCGGGGTCTGATCTCGGCGAGCGTGGGTCTTGACGGGTGTTGATAGGTGTTGATGGTTAGTACTTCATAAGGGCCTCCTAGAAGTATGAAATTTCCGCTCCCTCTTAAACCATTAACAAACAACCTATCCATAGGGTATATAAAAAGTTGATACACTTACTCAAGTTATGTCAAAGCATAGCCCTAGAGCTGTCTTGCGATCTTGCGTTTGTATTGTTTTGACACAGCTTATGAAATTAATATCGCTGTACTCCGTAATAAGATCCCCAAATAGAATAAAGTCCACTTAAATGCAGGGATGTGATGGCCCAGACCGGTTAAATGGTTTAGACAGCTTGCGTCTCCCTTCTTTTCACTTTCTGATACGGTATACCTCCACATTTAATCGGAAAATCTGATGCTTAGAAGGTTATATTGTGGGGTTCTACCCTGCCTATAACGAATCGTATACAGGGGTGGGGGAAACGCCAGCGGCGAGCTGTCCAGACCCTTTACTTGGCTCGTGGTGACAAGGGAATCAAAGAGTTTGATGCAGAATAATGCAATGTAAACAGCTTTCTGGCATTGACTACTTCTGACCTCACCTGTGTATTTGGCTTCTGAAAGAAGTCCTGAAGGCTCCATATGTGAGAGTATCAATTTTTAAGCTGATATGTTGCGTGTGAAGGTAAGATAAAGTAGGGGTTTCCCCTGAGCGTACCGCTTCGCCTAATGGCTCTTCCGCCCCTGTCACCCTCGGGCTGCTGGGTGACTCGTCCGTAATCAACAGACATGATTTATCGTCCGATGCTTAAATTCTTTATCGAAACGAACGGAGCAAATTTCCGAGAACAAGGGATGAGAGTCGAACTTCAACATGAAGCTTGAAAAGGGCTCCAGACCTGTCGAGATTCGAGACTGCAATGAACAACATAATACTTCGTAAACAGGAAGGTTGGATGCACGGTTCTCAATCCCCTTTATGAATGTTATTCCCGGAAGCCTCATGCCCGAAAAAAGCTATGGTGAAATTACCGTCCGCCCGTAAAAGAATAAAGTTCACGTTTAACATTTTAAAGTATTTAAGCAGGAAGGAACTCAATTTAACCATAACTCGTGTTGATTAAGCAGCAAGTACGAGTACCGTTGGGGAAAATTCGACTTTCTGCTTATCGGAGACTGCCAGGCGGTACTAGTAATAGTTCTAATACCGTGACCCTAAAAGGTGGTTCAACATGATCAGTGAACAAGACGCTTCTGTTTTTACTGTCGACTGACATAGATAGATATATACAAAAGAAAGGCTTGAGCAACATTATAACTTTTGTTGATATCGGTTCGATGTCCACCAGCGGTATTTCTTACGAAACTCACATTGCTTGTCACCTGCAACTTCGTGTGTAGCACCAACTTCGTTCTTGGAGGCGATGAACTAGTTCGTTACACGCGATTCGAAAGACCAAAGAATTAAGGCGCGATGGGATTTTGAGTAGACCGTTGTTTGAAAATACTGCTACAGACCCAGAAATAACTCCAGTGAACGTATTCTGGAACCTTCAACGCCTCCTGAACCAGCAGATTGCGCTCAACCCACGCACAATGAGAAAAACAAGTACAATGGGTATCATATAGAGGAAATTTCAACACCGCTCGTCCATGTTGTAAGATTAGTGTCACTCGAATACCAGTATATCTTCCGAGTGTTAGATGCAAAGAGTTCAACGACTCCATTTGCACTGTTAATCACCAAGCAGGTATTCCCTACACCTACCTCGCTAATCTGTACAGGACTCGAGAAAGATCCAATATTCGTAGAGTTGATACCGCCGAACGACCTAGTAACTAGATTGACCGCACCATTCGATTTGGCATAGACTGCCAGAAGAGTATCGACCTTCGTTTCGGGATCAGTCATTGTCGTCAAGGAAAAGGTGGCGTGAGCTGGAAGCCCGCTTTCTGTCGAAGAAATGACATAACCGTCATTTCCCCAAACGCCATTTGCGTAACGTCGACAGTTGATCTGCGTATTTGTGGATTGGTAGCACAGTTCTTCGATTGCGTCGTAGCGTGCAGCGCTGAGAAAGGTTCCATTCAAGGCAGGAGCTATATCACCATGACTCCCTGGTCGAAATTCGCGATTTCGAAAATCGTCAAGGCCATATTCTCGGATTTGCCCGTTTGTTCCTTGATACATAAGTCAAAGAGCCGTCTAGGAGAGATCAGTACGGAATCATTATGAAGAACATAATACTAAAAGTGTCAAGATTTCCCCACTGAGCACCCGAAAGGCAAGAAGAAAATAAAATTGGTTCATTACCCCATTCGTCCATGTCACAGAAGCAAGTTTGGATAAAGGGTGAGTTGGGACTTTGTCATCAACGAGGGTCGATAGTGCCCAGGTCTCATTGTCTTTTGCGGGAATGTGATTGAGGGTAGAGAGAAAGTTGTCAGTAGTGATGACTAAATGTTCGGTATTATGTTAGTGCTACTCTCGCATGGGTGGAAGAAACAGCACTGACAAGCAACTGTCGGACCGCCTAACCAGTCTACAATAGAAAAACTAGTTCCGGGCTTCGGGTTTGCATTTTCGACACATTTTTCTGTAGGACTCCAAGTCCCATTGAGCCGATTTCGTATACAAATTCTCCCAGGAGACGCACCGTAAATCATGAAGGACTGCGATCTTTCAGCCGGTAGAGAAAAGTATGTCCCCATAACGGGGCCCTCAACGTCAAAGCTGTCAAAAGCCAATGTCGCCTCAGTCGGGGTGATGTCGGCGACTGTAACAGTATTTTTAATCACTGGAGATGGTCTGGTTGATTCTCGGACTGCAAATACGGCGGCGATAGCTATGAGTACAACGAACGTCGAAAGAAATATCCAACGCCATAGCCCAGGTGGAGGTTGTAAGGGCCGTGTTCTATTTCTCAAATGATGGGTCCAGGTCAAAGGTGGTGGAAGAGGCGACATTACGGGCGAAAGATCATAAGTTGTAAATGGCTTATAGTATAAGATATTCACATTCAAATCACGTTGGAAGTTGTTCTCGCTAGTTGGGCTATGTGGTGGAGATTGATGTCCATGTGCTTGATGATTATCTGGACTTCGGTGGGATAAATTTTCAGTTGGGCGGACAGCTGAACTTCCAATAGGGGTCTAAATTAGTGGTAGATGGTTTTCCGTCGAAGTATGGCGTTGGTGGCTGGGAATATTGGAGGATGTAACTGGCGATACGTTGGGCTGGGTTTGACTTAAACTCCTAGAGTGCTCGAGATCTGTGGGACTACGAGGTACGGGCGGTACATCGCTTGTTGTTCTGATGGACTGTGTTATGGTATTTGGAAGCTGCTGGCTACCCCCAACTATACTTGAGAGGTTGTGTTGAGATTCCATTGAAGATCCTTGTATAGGATGGCCGCGACTTTGATCCCGACAGAAACCTCGGAATTTCTGGTCCTCCTGTTTCAATTCCTTGGGCCCAAATATTTCGCCGTATGGGATTGAACCTCCAGAAATAGGATGTTTTGTTGTTTGGAAGCTGTGGGTTCTCTAGATCTCTCTGGTGCGGTCGACGGCCGGGGAGTGTTATTGAAATACATCGCGCAGAGGTTTCCTGAAACTAATGCAGTTCGTGGTTAACTACCAGGACTGTGGTTTTGGTTTCAACTCATGAATACTTACTTGCTTGTAGTCTGTCCCAGGCCCGGACTTTTCATGACAATCGTTTCTAACAGAATTATTCCCTAGTGTGAACGTCTTCGTCTGAGGAAATCTACGGCTGGGTAATTCTAGTATATGCTATGACAACAGCCTCACTTTGTGATATTCCGGGCAGCGAATGTCAGCCATACTGCAGGGCGAAAGCAACTACAGGGTTTCAATTCCCACCTTGTTAACATTCGCGATATTCATCATTCATGATTGGATGAAATCTGTAGGCAGCGCTGCGGCACAATTGAGGCACTTCAAGATAAGAGCTGAATGAACGAATAAACTGAACTGCACCGCCTCCTCTCTGTCTAGTTGTGTAACGAGGTGTCATAGTCCAGGGGATTGCTTAGGAGGAAAAGGAGTACTCGGTATGAAAGAAGTACGAATGATGGAGAAACTTGACCCTGAAAGTCTGCAAACTTTGCTTACATGTATTTATACCCGGGCAACAAAATCCCCCGGCAGGCAACAAAAAACATGGGAAGTACCTTCGAGTCTTGATGGCCAATTGGTATCATGAACGAGATGTGGTGTCCTTCAAACCGCTTGAATCGAATAGAACAATTTCGACGCAAATTCAGGTATGATCCAGCCAATTCTGTAAAGGCTGAGAGACATACAGGGACATGCAACAAGTGGGAATAGAATATTTAGCTCGAGATGTGGACAAGAATGAGGGTGTCCAGAGTTTATGATTCTGCCGCTCTAAGCAGCGGGCGGGGTAGAGTGAGGCTTTTGGTGTGGCGCAAGCGGCCGGGTACAAGATTCAAGAGAACTGAGTCCTCGCTAGCGAGAATTTTCTCCTGCTATGATAGCAATTTACCCAATCTTGGAGGTTTAGAGTCTTCGTATATTATTGAAAGCCATCCCGGGAGTCACGTTTTCAACTCTTCGGTCGAGATTATTTTGTACTGTACAGTCGAAGCAAAAGTGTACACAGAACAATATCCGAGACTCTTACAAGTTACCACTGCAACACACTTTCCTTGGGGAACGTTGACGAAACCCGGGCCACAACCTTTATTGTTTTCGTCGTCCATACAGTTGCAACATACCCCCTTTACCATAGTTGAACGCCGTATTGCTTGAACGCTTCTATCATCCAACATCCTGGGCCCACAGGGTTCCTTTTGGGCATATGGGTTTTCTGGATACGAGAGTTTTTGTGATTGAAGAATCCGATTATGGTGGGCTTTGGAGAGCCCTCTGTATGCAATGGAGGTTTCTATGAAATTTCCAACAAGACACCGTTGTCATACTCGAACACTGCAGATTTCGGCCACGTGGTGTACAATAAACCACAACCCGTCTTGTTCTTTCTTGGCCAGGGTTGGAAGAAACGACCGAGTTTCCTTTGGATCGAGCTCCTTTTTCACAACTTCGTTCACAAGACGACGATATATGGATATCTTAATACTGCTTTCGCTACTAACGAATCAGGTACAGAGCCGAATTGTATTATTTTTTCTTTCGTATTTTCCTGATGCGTGTAGTGTGTAGTCCATCCTCTAGTCCAGGGTATTCAGAATACAGACCCGGTCGTTGTTTCGATCCGGCAAAGTCTTTTTTCTCACTTTCGAGTGGTCGGCGGCATAATGTGCAACAGGCACTGCAGCCTACAGTCCATGCTCTTCTGTCATTCTTTCCCGGCCGTGCTAGTCTCAGGGAAGGAACTTAATTTAGTCATAAAAGCGAGGTTCGTTCATTCCCAATTTCATGTAAGCTTGTACTCAGATGTCACAATTTACGACCCCGTTCAATAACAATCGCCGCCGAATTTCGCCCAAAGAATAAATTGAAGGATTTGGTGACATGGAAGAACAAAGTAAGGTCAGTCATCGCAAGAGAAAAATTTACTGACCGATTATCCCAGCGTTAGAAATGAGACTCGGTGATACACTAGCCCCTTCCGAGACCCCAGCCACCGTCGAATCCCCGGTGTTATGTCCAAGCTCTATTAATGAGAAGGTTTTGATAAGGAGAATCGATATACGCGTGATACCAATGCTTGTTATCATAGCTCTCTCTTCATTTCTTGATCGGTAAGTAAATAAGCCTACGTATGTGCTGTTACTGAATTATGAACTAATGAGGTCCAAGTGTAAACATATCCAATGCTTTGACCATGAGTCTTCCAAAAGACCTTGGGCTTAAGGGTGTTGAAACGAATGTTGCACTTACGATATTTTTCATTCCTTACATCCTCTTCGAAATACCATCGAACCTAGTGATTAAGAAATTTAGGCCAAGTATATGGCGTAAGTATTCTTTGCAGTTTCTTTATTGAATAAAACTTACACGCTCCTAGTTCCTGTATGCATTATGTTCTTTGGAGTCGTCACACTTGCCCAGGGTTTTGGTGGGACCTCTTATTGGGCCAATTGATGGTATGCTAAAGATCAAAACAGTGACAACTTATAGAGGACTGCTGGTGACAAGATTCTTTCTTGGGCTAGCAGAAGCGGGCGTCTATCCGGGAAGTTCGTAATTTAGCTCAAGTTACTTTGTAGCATTTCGAATGTTGACGATAAAGCAGGTTTCTATCTTATTAGTACGTGGTATAAGAGAGAAGAATCCCAGAAAAGGTTCACCGCATTTTATGGCTCGGTGTTTATCGCGAACATATGTGGAGGACTTCTAGCTAGCGGTATTGCCAAGATGGATGGAATCCGAGGCCTAGTAAGCAGCGTTCCCCCCCAGAATTGTTGCTAGATAGCAGGCGTGAGCAAGGGTGCTATTGTATCTGTACTTGTTTTTCCAAACAACTGACATCCCATAGCATAACTGGCGATGGATTTTCATTCTTGAAGGAGCATTTACACTTCTCGTCGGGATTCTGTCTCTTTTCCTAGTCGCAGAATTCCCAGAAAATGCAACGTGGCTCAGCGACGAAGAAAGAAAATTTGTTATTGCCAGGGCTAAATGCACTGGCCAGACTGATAATATTACTCCACGCGACATTGTGGTATTCTTCAAAGACCCGAATAACATTTTGGCGGGCATCATGTACTTGTGTAGGTCTCGTATGAAAGTATTGAGTTGCCGATATGCTGACATTTCCCAAGGCCTTATAATCCCCATATATTGTGAGTCCTCCCTTCGTTTCTGTAAACAAAACTGATTTCTTTCGTGAAGCTTTTGCATACTTTACACCGACAATTGTCAAAACTTTGGGATACTCGGTGATCCAAACTCAGCTTCATTCAGTGCCGCCTATAGCAGCAGCTTTTGTATTATGCACCCTCTTGGCCTACTTGTCAGATAAAGTTCGACTGCGCTTTCCCTTTATCGCGTTCGGTATAATTTTGGGGATCTCTGGTCTTTCAATAATGATGACGATACGCCACAACTTTTCAGTACAGTATGCCGGTCTGTGTCTCGCAGCAATGGGGTTGTTCTCATGCTCACCCTTGATTATTTGCTGGTATGTCATGAATTTCCAAAGCCATACCGAAAGAGCAATTGGAACAGCATGGTTGAATGCTTTTGGAAATTGTGGAGGATTTGTTGCGACTTTTGCGTTTCTTCAAACGGATGCTCCTTATTACCATATTGGGTACACGATTTGTATGGTTGCCGTTTGCCTTTGTGGTGGAGCTGCAAGTTTATATGCTTTGTTGCTCCGCAGAAAGAATATGGCCCTGAGAAGTAGCACTATGGGCGAGAAATCTACACCGTACTACTCATTGTAAATAAAGAAGCTGGAAGATGTTAGGTAATTAGAGGAGGAGAAGGGACATGAAGCGAAGATGCAATTCCACGTTTGATTTGAAGTGAACCCCAAGAGAGAAAATGATATATTTTCTTGCACCAACCAAGATTTTGATCGCAAGGGGCAACTTCTGAAAATTTTCAAAGATGCGTACTCAACCCACAAATTCGTTAACATGATGGTTGGGAGGGATGAAGTTGGTCATGTGATAGAAGCGTGACCTTCACTTTTCTTGTCTTCCAAGTTAGCTAGAGGTAGCTGGACTCTGGAGATATCCCAGTCCAAATTCCCGCCAAACTGCGAAGAATATCTTCCGTTGGAGTACATCAGATCATTCTACTTCTCGTCTTGTAAATGTGTGCATCAGCATGTCTTCACGCCCTCCAGCCAATATGACAATTCTCACATGACGCATTACCCCACTTCCATGTGTAGACAACCCTCATATATGAATACAGCTATATAATATTTTCGGGTAGCGTCTACACCAAGCTCGGAATCTATGCAGACAAACCTCTCCAGTCAATATAAACTCCAAACCTACTCACAGAGAAATCATACAAAATCCCACCCTCAATTAACATTGTAAAGCATTTCGCGGTCATGAATTTCCGCCCAAAGAATTACAAAATTCTCTCGTTCGACATCTTTGGGACACTCATAGACTGGGAAACAGGAATAAACGACGCTCTACTTCCCCTCCTCTCAGAACTTCCCGCTTCATCAATCCACCACCCTTCTCAAAATAACGTCCTTACAACCCGAAAATTCATTCTCAGCGCATACACCACCCTTGAACTTTCCGTCCAAAAAGAAGAACCAACTCTTCCCTACCCCAAAGTCCTCGCTTCCGTTTATGAAAAACTCGCTTCTCAACTCTCTATCCCCATAACGGCTGAAGAGGCGGCCCAATTCGGCTCCACAATCGGTTCATGGCCTGCCTTTCCAGACACAGTTGCGGCAATGCAGGCCCTTTCGAACAACTACAAACTCATCGTTCTTTCGAATGTTGATCGATCGTCATTCTCTCAGACCTTATATGGGCCCCTCAAAGGTGTGGAATTCGACGCAATCTACACAGCAGAAGACATCGGATCCTATAAACCCAATTTAAGGAATTTCCAGTACTTAGTTGATCATGCGAAGGAGAGCTTTGGAGCAGAGAAAAAAGAAATTTTGCATGTCGCGCAGAGTATTGCTCATGATCATAAGACGGCCAAAAAGGCGGGTTTCGAGCCTACAATTTGGATCAAACGCCGACCTAGGGGAGAGGAGGCTTTGATGGGTGGTGATTGGGAGGAGGCGAAGGATGAAGTTAATTTGGCTGCCACTTTTGGGACATTGGGAGAGTTTGCTGAGGCTGTGGAGAAGGGACTTTGAGATGAAGTGTAAAGAGCATTGTACTTTTTTATGGCCACTCGGACAATCTATTCTTGGCCAGGTATTATCTGTTCGATATCTTTACTTAAAACAATATGTGTTTCTGATGAATGCCTACATTGCCTATGAGACATTAGCTATTTTAGGGAAACAAGAAGTAAAAATAATAGTTAATCAGGTATATAATCATAACATAGACAGACTTGCGCAATTTTAAACTTGGTGAAGAAATGTGTACCTGCCTTATTATTCTTATTCTTAATACTATGCTACAAAAAGTATAGCAATCCCCTATTATCTATTTAGACGACTATTTCTTAATATTAGACAAGTATTACTTGAAGGATTAAGTTAAAAAGTGCTTATTAGCGAGCGTAACTTAGCAGCCAAACAGGTGCGATATCTCGCGACCACGAGCACCAGCGAGTGAATAACCCCAAAGTGTACCCCACCCTCAGCCACCTTCCCCACTGAAGACCAATCAAAGCCCGTCGCTTAGCGGAAGCCCCGCAAAAGTCGTAAAACAAATATTAAGATTCGTAAATAACACGCCCACTGTCACGAAAACTGGGATACTGCCCGCCTGGCCCAGTCAGTTAGTGTGTGTTCACCCATAAGCGCCAACACCACGAATCTGTTTCCTCCGCTAACTACTTGGACGCGCCCTGGTCAAGCGTCCGACCGCTCGATATAGTGTTAAAGAAAGTCTCCTCAAATCTATAAAAAATGCATGTACTAACCCTCTCTAGAAAAAGAAGAAGAGTAAATCCCTTTTTTTTATTTTTTTTTAAAAAAAGATAAAACATCATTTGTCATCAGTCATTAATTACTGTACCATCAGGTGTCCCTCCATCATTCAAACCCACGCCAACCACGAATACCATAAGTTCAGACCTCTGAAGGACTTTTATTCTTACAAGCTTCAATAATCCACCTATAACTTTTTCTCGACATATAAATGGGAATCCACCACTCGCTCGGTACAGTTGTTACGCTTGACGGTTTAAATTCTTCAAACCGTTTTCCCAGTAAATGCCAGGGTTCTTCGTCATCCTGCATCTGGTTGATAAGTGTCACCCTTTTCTTTGAGTATAGAATGGCTATTTTGTTAGAGAGATGGCTTATATTGAAGACGAAAAAGTAAGTTGTGGCTGCTACAAGAATAGCTGTGACAAGGAAGGGTAGTTTAGTGGAAGTTTCTGTGACGTTCGGTATTGCCTATAACGCCTTCGGTTTTATTAGAAAGATCAAATGAGGGAAAAGGTATATGGAAGGCCTCACAGCGCAAAATGCAAGTGGCAGGTAGAAAATCGAGACGTAGGTCAGCATCTTCACGTTTTCGCCCAGTCGTGTCGCTACACGACTTTCCTGAAGTGCGCTTGCATTGAAGAGCTAGATGAATGTCAGCACAATCGAGTTAAGAGAAAAACGGTTAGCTCACACCATCTCGTAAAGATCTCACTGTATCAAGCTTATTCTTGAACACATTTTGCTGGCTCAACAATCTCTCTTGGATATGGTACAATCTTTCTGCATCCTTTTGAAATTCCTTCTGTTTCATCGATGCTTGAAAAGAAGCCGGCGCTCCTGGAACAGAGATTAGGGTTGATTTGTATAATTGATCCCAAAACAAGCGCGCTTCCATTATCTAATCCTGGCTTTACCATTCCGTTATAGAACCTCGCACATTCGTCGATATTGTCACCAATGCTAAGGATAAACTCCTCGAGACAACCAATCGCCCAGAAATATCTTTGCGATCTGGTGAAATTTTCATCGTCAAAGAGCAAATTAGAGTATTGCTTCGGCCTCATGAAATCTTCAAATAGCAACCGAGTAAGATACTGGTCCAGCTGATCCCACTTTCTTGTCACTCCACCCAAAATATTTATGACAGCATTTAACATTGTCGTAATAGCAACTGGAAAATATTTCAACTCCCATGGATGCCAGTCGAAAAATTTCCCTTCTGGTAACAGTAGAACGATGGTAAAAAATGTCAACGAAGGGTCGTTCAAGCAGAGTACCTATACAATCCTATATTAGCTCTCATCTTCTATGAAATGGAACCGCATCTTTACACTACAAGTACTCCTACGGAGACTAGCTAGTCCAGAACCCTCAGGAAAATCTCCAATTCTCCATCGCGATGAATCGCTCTCGTCTCCGGCAACCAGAGTCTCGAAAAACGTGATATGAAAATCGTAAGAAAGGGGATCGGGTTCGCCTCGATAATATTCCGAGAACTTGCCGCCATACAAGTGTTTCGTCACTAAATTTTGGAAGGTACTGTTTTCTATATTTTGCAGGCGTCCGTAGGATTCTGGGCCAGTCACAGATGGGCTAGTAAAATATGGGCAATGCTCCCCTCTTTCTTCATCCCATAACAGCTCTTTTGGTAATTTCGCCAGGCCCCTGACATATGTAGGCCCTATTTTATACGTACATTAAACGATCCCATGGAGCTACATAATCCTCGTCTTTGCGGGAATCGTTTATTGATTTTTCGATTGGGAATCCCACAGGACAGAAGCACAATTTTCTCCGTCTTGGGACAATCAAAAGATTATATATTAGTAAATCTGCGCATAGGTACTAAGCAGAAGCACTAAGTTGACTTACTTTGAAAGCACATCGCGAAACGAAGATTCCCACCCTACTTGCCCTCTCAGTATGGATGAAAACTGTGGGAGATTATCTATCAACATTGTGTCCCCTTTACCAAAATTGTACTCCACGTATTTCGAGTTCCAGGGGTCAAAATCATAAATGCGAAGTCCTCGGCCGGCTACCTCGTGAAATTTCGTGTTGAGCAAGGCTACTGCTTTTATAGCAGAGACAGCTGTATCTCTGCCGAGAGGACCAAGCGATTTTGCTTGTAGTCTGAGACGAAGACGACCATCGTCAGGGACGACCCAAAAGTTACCAATTGCTTCTCGAATCAAATCCACTACAGGTTGAAGATCATCTCGGTATTGAAATGTGGATCTGTAACTTCTCGTTCCGCCCCCTTTAGTGTCGTAGTATACGTAGCTATCATACGTTGCAGTTGTTTTAAAGATTCGGAATCAGTCTCACTGGAAGGAATTTGTGGAGAGTCCTCTATTTCAAGGGGGAACCCGGCCTGGAGTCGGGAAGCTCAACATCTAGAAGACGATTGAATAATCACACAAGGACATATGGAGACAACACATCTCACCGATGAAGTCCTGGCCACGATGTGTAACTTGAAACCAAGGCAGAAACTTCGAGTCGGTAAAGTTCTCGAGGGGGACAGCTGAACGATCATCCTGAGCCTTTTCTGCAGCCATTTTTTCATTGATCTCCCGAAGGAGTCTCAGCATCTCTTCGGAAACCTTGATATCACATCCTTGTTTTGAATCCTTTTTAGCTGATGCTTCATCGACCTCGCCATTGATCTGGCGGCTGACAGTATCAGGCCAAGATTCCACCATTCTGACAGCGGTGCCTTGAAAAAGAAATCAGAATTGTTACTGTAGTGTGGAGATTCATATAATACTGCAATTAGGCAGCCTCGCAGAAGATCTCGAAAGTCCTGGTAATGACGGAAAGATGGGCAAATTCGAAGTAAGAATCAAGATTTGGCTGTTAATATCTTCGTGTAACAAGCGAGTATGCAGTACAACGCTACACATTCCGACGTTGGAAGCAGCTTCCCATCTGGATCGACAGCCTTTTCATTTTTATCATTAAAGTTTGTCATGGTATTTGAGCAATTCGATCAGAGTATAGATCTCTTCATTCAAAAACGATACCCAGGTGTCTGATGAGGCGCACAAAGTTTCTTGTAAGATTACATGTATTGCAGGTGACGCTCAAAAGGAGACCCCCGAATCCCGGGGTATTGGTATCTCCGCAGCAAAGGCGACTAAAATATATTTAGTAAATATTACAGCATAGAAAAAGGAAGAACCGACTATCATTTGAACTAACTGGAACTTGAATTTGTAACTGGAAAGCCAAAAGAACGGCGTATATCTTTATATGCATCAGATTTATTGTTCCGGTAGTCTTTTACAATACTTTCTTCCACGAAAGATCTTGGAACCAGTAATCAGAGCTCCGTCTTCTTGGACTTCATTGATAGAGCCATCAAGTAGCTGTAATGAGAAAGATGAAATCATTTAGCATGGACACAATCTTGTCTTGATCACGCGATAAAAAGTGTACAGTAAGCAGTTCCATTTCGTCTAGTTTTGAGAATATTTTGATCGAATTCTCTTATACCGTAGTCAAAAGTTAGACACGAAACAATAGTTTATTCAATAATTGCAACAGGTCGAATACAGATGTGTCCTCGTACAGAATCAAAAAGGGCAATGAATCCTTTTCTTATCCTTCCTCCTTTGAAGACTAGGTACATGCGATGGTACTTTGATAAAACATCTCCCCGTTACCACCGAACAATCCCTTCACTTCCGACATTCTTTTGGCTCTCAGGTATGTCCAGGCAACCCTGTGTTATCCTCGTGGGAGCATTAAGTACCATAACATGCTCTTACAGGACAATCTCGACCGTGACTATCCTTTAGGTGCATATGCATACAAAATTTCTATAGTCCAAGTCAGCTATTAATAACAAGCTCCAAGTATCATCTGATCGATGTGAAGATAGAAATGAAAGGTTCCCAAATCTATACAATAACACTTACTGGCAGCCCAAGTCAAGGGAACCACTACCACATCTACCTATTTCACAATCGGTATCATCAATACATGACTGGCCGGCAACTATTCCAGCGAAGAGTGCGTAAGCTGTAAGGACGACTTGTACTTCTAAGAAACGCATTTTTGATGATTGTTTGAAGTTGATCGATACGTGTTCAAATAATATGTGTATATGTGTGTGGACTGAGGTAGATAGGTAATGTGGATAAGGAGGCACAGGCGAGGTAAAGGTGAGGTAAGGTTGATATATATAGAAGAGGGGGATTCTGGCACTAAACAATCCTAGGTCATTTAATGGCTGGGACCAAAAGACTTCTATCGAAAAGAAAAAGTTATTCTCTCGCAGGAAAAGAAAGTTTCTATTTGTCCGTCGAGTAGGGGGAAGTGGGATGGTTAGACTTGGAACATACAGGGCACTTTGCAGTTCATAAATCAGCATAGTGTGTCCTTCGAGACTGGCTAGTCTAGTGGAAAGACAAATGTCACTCCTATGACCACCTCTTCTGGTGCACCTACGTGGGGAGGTAACCCAACCCTAGCTTCTACGCAAATATGCAAGGCAATTTCAGTCACACAATCACTCGGTATTCAACTTATGCACATTCAAAACCGGTTTTCAACACTTAGTACAGATTAAACCAAGGTTTTATTCTCGGTGTGATCCATCTTATCATTCTGAGCCGAGAGGCGACGAGAGGAGGGGGCGGGGGTAGTCGGTCCCCTGGTTGTGGCAAGCAGAACTTGGGAACGAAATTCTTATACAGCAGACTTCAGACTAAACAATATTTGGATAGCTCGTAGAGGGAAAGTTGGGGTTCTACGACATAGACTTTCATTGGTCGTAGTTCGTAGGCTAGGAAAAGGCAGCATAAAGTCAGAACTGGACTTTGGAAGTCTCGCAGGGCCTTTTCTTGTATTGGAAAGGACTAGTTAACGTTGAAAGGGGAGGTGGCAACAAGTGTGTTGAGCAAATTCTACAAGTTCTTCGGGGCGGTATGTAGCGCGATCAAAATTAGAAACCTACTAATCACAAATTTCTTCTGAGTGTTCAGAGAGTGATTTGGTTAGTATGGTATAGAACCCTAGTATGGTAAAAGGTTGAAAAAGAGGTTATAAAAACTATAACATAGATATCTGTTGTGCTGGGTCTACTTTCTCTTTTGCTCTACTTCCTTATTTGATCCACTTATAGTTCTGCTGCCTAAATGCTTCATGTCTACCTAAACCTTACAATCTTTATGTAAACACCTTAGATAGCTACCTTTTACAAGGCAATCAATTCTCCATGACCTTCAGTACCCAATACCCTTTCAACCCAATAATATCCTACTCTAACTTTAACTTAATTATAAACTTGATCTAGACGATAGAAAATTCGGCAAGGCTTAGTATCTGTTACGGAGTTGGAGGAACTAGGGGTTGATCACGTGTAGCGCAGCATGTAGTATGTGTCACGTGCGCGCTGCTGGCATCCTGTATTTAAGCTCTCGTTCCTCTGGAACTCTCTTCCTTCCTCACTTTGTTGTTCGCTCAATACAGCAGTTTCCGTTTGACTCCGTATTCATCACAGCAAGCAGTGGTTCACTCCACACGGTTACATTACAACAAAGTCACCTCTTCGCCTGGGAAGGCCTGTTATAATATCCCACTTTGTTTATTTGTTTTTGGCTGACGATAATCGATTCGACGACTTAATTCCGACTCGACATCATCCTCAGTATCACCACGTTATACATCCCTGAACGCAGCCGCGTTATATGTCCCTGAACGATGGCATCACCAACCCCCTCAAATGCTCGCGGAAGACGTGCTAACAGGGGCAGAGGTAGAGGTAGAACCTCCCCTGCTCACACGCCCTCACAATCCGCTGAAGCTACAATTGTTGTCCAACAAATGGATGACGAATCCCTTCTAGAAGAACAATTCCAAAGGCGCCAGAGAACTGGAAGCTTAACTCTCTCGCCGCCACCAATTACCCCCACTCAGTACGAAAATATCATGGCCAGGCTCGAATCACTTAGCCAAGAGAATGTAGAGCTACGTGCTTCGCTTCAGACACGTAACACAACTTCTTCAAATGAACCTATTCCTACTATTGAGAAGGGCAAAACAATTGCCGGACGTTCACGCCAGCCAAGTTTAGCCCAGGGATCGCCGCATATTAGCGCGCACCAACGTCAATCTAGTACGCACCAGCGCTACTCAAGTTCCCCCTGGAAGAATGCAAAGCTTAGTGCTAAAGTCAAGGATGTACCTCAATTGGACAATGGTGTTAACCCATCCTTGGTTCAGTGGCAGGTACTAATCAAAAGCAAGCTTACGGCGAATGCAGACCACTTCGTCACTGAATTAGACAAGAAGACACATGTCTTTGCTTGTACTGCAGGGAAAGCCGCTACCTTGCTTGAGACAGCTATGGCAGCGGAAGACGACCCTGAGGATGCTTTTCCAGATTGGGAATCCATGGTTGAGTACCTGATTACCAGCTTCCGTAACCCTCATGAAAAAGCTGATGCCAGGGAGGCATATAAGAGCCTTACCATGGAATCTGACGAGTCATTCTTTGACTTTAAACTCAACTTTTTACAACACGCCACTCGTGGCAAGATCGCAAAATCAGAATGGAAGGACGACCTATACGACAAGCTCACAAAGCCTCTACAAGACGAAATGCGCATTGAGGTACAAAAGATTAAAGACTTTAATGAATTTGCCGACCTTACCTCTGGAACTGATGCAAGGCTCAAACGAGACAGAGCAAGAGCTCAGGAAGCCAGGACTCGTACAAAGTTCAAACGTTCTATTGTCCCTTCCTTGCTTCCGACTATACCACAAGTCAGGACGAACACAGCACCTCTCTTACCCCGCTATTCTACCCCAACGCCTACAAAGCAAAGCGTAGAACGACGAGAGACTACTACACCAGCCCCTGCTGCCTTTACATGTTATAATTGTGGAAAACCAGGCCACATCCGCCCTGAGTGCCCACATCCTAAACGAGACGCAGACTTAAATGAGATCGTGGAACAAGAAGGTGACAGCGATGTAGAAGAAGACGAGCTGTCGGGAAATGGAAGCGCCTAAGAGAAGACTCCTTCTTAGGCGAGTTAGTTGATTTAGCTGAGCTAGATCTACAGTGGTTAATGGGTGGAAAGCATATGACTGTTTGGTGTAACTTATCAATGAATGGATACGCACTTTCTTTGCAAGCACTAATTGACTCTGGAGCAAATGGATTCGCATTTATTGACCAAACCACGGCCGTTGACTGGGCTAAATTCTTAGGAATTAAAGCTCGACGACTACCACACCCTGTCTCTGTCTTAGGATACAATGGACAGAGCGGAGCAAGCATCTCTCACGTTCTTCGCCTACATCTTACTATTAATGGACGGCGACAATTGAACCTACCATTCATGATTACCCCCTTAGGTTCTCACCAAGTAATCCTAGGACGAAAATGGCTTAAGTACTTTGGAATTGCACTCGATTGTAGAGCTAGACGCTTAACTTGGCCCCAGGCGTACTATGCGACAACCCCCTGGCTACAGAACGAAACAATCATCCCGCAGGCAGCAATTGTGCCAAAACGACCAGTACCTTCCTACCAAGCCGATATGGCCAGAAGAGATAAAGCAATGTTAAAAGAAGAGAAGCGACGAAAAGGTGGACGAGTTACAACTACAATTAGTCGATTGCCTTCACTTACTTCGCCTTCTTCGCCTTCTGAGCCGAATAAGCAGCCGGAAGTTGTTCTAGGAGAAGT